AATGGCCTTCAAGGAGGCTCTGGGCCAGGTGAAAGGAGTCAAGAGATTTGGTTCGGCGTTTGCACCCTTGGATGAGGCCTTGAGTAGGGCGGTTGTGGATCTGTCAAACAGGCCTTATGCCGTTGTGGAGCTGGGTCTCAAGAGAGAGAAGATCGGTGATTTGAGCTGCGAGATGATTCCTCACGTTATACAGTCGTTTACTGAGGCTGCCAGAATAACGGTCCACGTGGACTGTTTGAGGGGTTTCAACGATCACCACAGAGCGGAGAGTGCTTTCAAGGCGCTGGCCGTTGCCATCAAGGAGTCTATCTCTAGCAACGGCACCAATGATGTCCCAAGCACCAAGGGAGTGTTGTTCTAAGAGGGTGAAATGCACGTTTGTTGTAATGACAGACGGTACAGATTGGTGGTCTGATTTGGAGAAATTGAGAGCCAAAAACGACAGATAGCTGTTTTCCATACATAACGTCTCTCTCCATTGAGTATCACTTGGTAGCACTCATAGACTCAATGTTTGCGGCTGATTGCAATTCAGGTCAATTAATATAAAAACAATATAATCGTCAAAATGTAACCCCACGTTCATTATATTTTTTCCCGTCTTCAAACTCCCCAACTTTCAGCTATTTATCTTCCCCGTTCTCGATTTTTTTTTATTCACCCTGCATGTCTGCCCGCGTAGGGTTGCCGTTTTTATGGAGGCTACATCGAATTTCTAACCGAAGTTGCGGTAATCAACACTCCCTCCACAACACATCCAACTCACCACAATCGAACTCTTAATCTAACTCCTTTTCTTTTCTGGATGACAGAAGATCTCATCAAAGAAGCAGGAGCATTGGGAGTGTATGCATCACATTATTTAAACCTGAACGATAGGGACCGCGCAATACACAGACCTGCCCGTCAGACAATACCCATACTGAACACACCAACATCACCGTCACCTTCACCTTCGATACGCAGGAAAGGGAATCCCCAAAGTCTAGACACAAGCAGATTACTACGAGGCCAGATGAGTCGATCCACCATGTTGATAGATGCCATGAACTCGCCTCTCTCTTTGAACGGTTCCCTTAGAGAAGACGATGAGCTCACAGCGATAAGCGCGTTTCCAATATCGGATCCTGTTTTGGAGGCCGCAGATCGGTCTGAGTTACCGGCTCCGAGCTCTTTTGCAATTCTGATGAAACTGATTGAAACTTTGGCAGGAAAGGATAAGCTGGGCAAGGTTGTTCAGTATGGCTTGAGAATCCTGCTTTTCTACTCCAAGAGGAGCACGTCATTTTTGCAAAGAACTCACGCCGAAGGGCTGAAATTTCCAACTGGTGATTATAAAGGAATAGCTGGTGTTATAATGGGTCTAATCCAGAGACCAGAGTTTGTGGCATTATTTTTGCTGAAGGATTTTGAGACCAGGGCCGCAGGTGTAGTTTCTGGTCTATCCATGTATAGACAGATGTTGAGGTGTGGCAAGACTCCTTTCAGATTGGTGAATCTTGCATATAAGCTATCTGCAACCGCATCAGTGTTTGCCAACAAGGGTGTTGAGAAAGGGATATTGAATGTGAGAGATAAGTGGTTTACTCCGACTACCCTTTCGGACCTTCTCTCGGTTTATTACAGCATTTTCGATGAGTCGTTGTTACTCTTCAAACTGGGGGTCTTCGGAGATCCCAGATTCAGGAGGTTTGCTGTTAAACATGAAGCTTTAGCCTGGTACTATAATATCATCCTGGGATTGTACAAATCGCTGTCCAAGCTGAGCACCCTCAAAGAGAGTCAGAACCAGATAAAGATCAACCAACAGGTCAGGCAGCGGGCCAAGGCCCTGATGCGGAACTCAGTGAATGCCAGTTCTTCTCCTAGATCTGCGGTCACAAGTTCTTATTACAATTACCAATCTCCCACGCTGAGAGCAGTGTCTCCATCGCCAAGCGTGAGGCGTGGACTATTGTCGAGTGCTGCATCCACTGCCGCACAGGAAGAGATCGACGAACTTGGCAAACAGATCAAAAACGAACAGATCGAGATCCTAAAGCTTTTGTGCGATTTTGTGTTCGACACCATCACCGTTTTCGAGCTCAAGGTGTACGAACCCGTCCATCTATCGTTTGGCTTGGGCGCTGGCGCTCTGGCTATGAGCAAGGTTTGGATGCAAGTGAAAGAGGATTTGCAGGACAGTTGATTGTTGGATTTAGTGTATTTGAGAATGTAATATCGTCAGGACGAGCTGCCGTGAAGTCCATATATGAGATTATGAAACCGACAGAAAATATTGTATTATGTATTATTGACCTAACCATGGTTTTTTCACAAAACGCTGTTCAGTACTTCTTATCAGCCAACCACTTTTCAACATTGGCACCGTCTCTCTTGACCCAAGAAGCCTTCGACTGAATGGTGTCCAAGGACTGGGCCAGACCCTGGTCGAATCCCTTGGTACTCTTACCGGCGAAGAATGCTTTGACGTCTTCCAGTTGCTCTGTCTTGGTGAAACCAGAGGTACAGAGAGTCACAACAGATCCCAACATGCTGAGTTCAGGTGGAAGCAAGGCATAGACTTCATCCCAATTCACCTTCAACCAGGCATACAAACTCTCAACACCAACCTTACTGGTGCGCAAACCCTGCATAGGGATGTAGAGATCCTGCGATCTGACACTACCATCAAGAAGCTTGGCAAGAGTCTTCGCAATCAGTTCTTTGTCCTCGAATCTGCCAAGACATCTCAAAGCAGTGATCTTCTCGTCCACAGACACAGGATCGTTATAGATTGCAAGTAATTGCTCGTACTCTGAGGCACCTCCGGTACGTGCTGCAGTACCAAAAACGGTGGCTCTCAGGTTTGGATGGATAGCCTTCTTGTTACCAGAAACGTACTCCTTGAACATTGACTTGGAAGCTTCAATAACAGACTCATCGTCAGCACCAGCAGCTGCGCCAAAGAGCAAAGCCTTCAACTGTTGCTCCAAAAATGAGTCTGATTCAGCGAATTCCCACCCAAGAGCATGGCAGTTCTTGGAGACTAAATCTCTTGTGAACGCGTTCAAAGACTTTCTGATATGTTCTGGTTCGAACGTCCAGGCACCCTTGACGGCTGCGACTCTGGTCAAGATTTCACTCCAAACAACATAACTCTGCTCTGACTTCCAACCGGATACCAACTGCAGCAAGTTGGTTGTAGAAGAGTATCCAGAAACAGCAAGAGCACCAGCATCAGAAACAAGACCGGCACGGTCTTCAACAGACAGCAGACCCTGGGTACCAGCCACACCTAGCTTAGCCCATCTCTCAGGAGAGTAGGAGGTTCTAAAGATACCTGCAGTATCCCCATTCAGCTTGTAGAAGTCGGAATCTTTGAGCTCCAAAGTGGTTTCTCTGGTATCCAAAACAATGGACTCGTCGGTGCCTTCAGCAGTTTTCAGGCCAAGGAATACTGGGTACAGAGTTTGGTCCTCCTCTGGCTTTACATCACCAGTAGTCAAGTAGCGGTTTTGCTTGATGTTGATCTTGTTACCATCTTCAGTAACAGTCAGAACTGGATAACCCACCTTCTTAGTCCAGATATCCATAACCTTGACAACATCTTTACCAGAGGCCTCGGAAAGAGCTTCCCAGAGATCACTGGTTTGAGTGTTTCCGTACTTGTGCTTTTTCAGGTAGTTGGAAACACCCTTGATAAAGGTTTCCTCGCCTAACCATTTGGAGATCATCTTCAACAGAGAAGAACCCTTGCTGTATGAAATAGCATCAAAGATCTGGTTGATCTCATCAGCTCTCTTGACTGGAACCTCAATTGGATGAGAAGCTCTGAGGGAATCGAGAGAAAGAGCATGTTGCAAAGAGTCAGTGACGTATTGCTCCCAAACCTTCCAGTCTGGATAGAAAGTGTCACATGAATACCAAGACATCCAAGTAGCAAATCCTTCGTTGAGCCACAATCCTTCCCACCAGTCCATTGTCACCAAATTTCCAAACCATTGATGGGCCAATTCGTGCTGGACCACCTCGGCAACTCTCTGCTTGGTAGAAAGAGTAGAGTTCTGCTCATCAAACAACAGGTCGACAACCCTGTAAGTAACCAAACCAAAATTCTCCATGGCACCAGCACTGAAGTCGTGGATGGCCACCATGTCCATCTTAGGCAATGGATATGGAATGTCGAACTTGGTCTCGAAAAACTCCAGAGTCTTCGCGGCCAATTCAACGGAAAATCTACCTTGGTCCTCCAACCCTGGAGTGGTGTAGACTCTGACGGGAATTCTGTACTTGTAGTCAGCCTCAATGTACTTCAAGTCACCAACGATGAAAGCAACAAGATAAGTGGACACCAATGGGGTGGTGTTGAAGGAAACCTTCTTCTTTCCACCATCCAGTTCGGTCTCGGACTTCACATCCATATTAGACAGACACACCAGCTCTTTCTTGGCAATCAAGTTGACATCAAAAGTGGCCTTCAAAGCTGGTTCATCAAAACATGGAAAGGCTCTTCTACAGTCAGTAGCCTCCATTTGGGTGGTGGCCAGATACTTGGTCTCACCGTTCTCCTGGTATGTGGATCTGTAGAAACCAGCCATTTTGTCGTTCAATTCACCCGTAAACTTGATGTACAGACTAATCTTAGATCCAGCTTCAAGGGATCCTTCTGGAAACTTGAAGACGGTAGACTGGTCGTCCTCCAAGTACGAGGTCTCAGTAGGGGCAATCTTTCTGCCCTTGGTGGTCAATTCAGCTTCATGAATGTCAATTTCCAAAGTGTGCAACGTGACGGAGCTGGAACTGTCTTTGACATCCAACTCAATCGTAACCTCTCCATTGAATTTGAACGTTTCAAAAATAGGTTCCAGAGTCAAATTGTAGTGCGTTGGCTTGACATTGGTGGGTAAGACCTGGCGGTCTGTGGGAATTCTTCAAAACCCCGTTAGTATATAAAACAGAATATTACACACTTTGTAATTGGCTTTACCAGTTTTGAATTCTTGAAAAATAGGACTCACATAGTGCTCGAAGACATGTTCTCTGAAGAAGAGTGGCGAGAACAACAGCGAGAGTAGTGGTGTTTGGCAACTAAAGTGGGGACAAGTCGTTTGCTGATTAGTTGAGGCCTTAACGGTTGAAATGCCAGAACTGGGTTCAAAGGATTGAAAAGTCTGCCCTTTGCTGCCTGGGATGATATTTTTTGTAGTATACCAGTAAACATTTGGTCTACACAAAGTGGTGGACTTTATATGAGCTGTTGGAAAAGTCTTCCGTTCTGAGAGTGTCCGCACGGTGAACGGCATCGAGTGGCTGAGACCTTACTCCACTATGGTATTTAGCCGAAATGACAAATGTCATCCGTTTACTCGGAAATTTTTAATGTAGATAGGTCTGATTTTCAACAATTTGTCTGATTTGATTATTCTGAGCGTACTTTTTTTTTGTTTCATCCGGTTCTCTCAATCAAATGCACTCCGCTGTCGGTTTCCACTATGGGCGAGAATTCACCAACCTGCAATGCGAACGAGGCCTTCTCGAAACTGGGTTGCATTTGTCTTCTTCCAAAAAAGCCCAGATCACCGCCTTTGGAATGACTTGAGCAGTCGCTCTCAGTGGTGGCTACATCGCTCAATTTGACCTCGCCACTTTTGATTTTCCTTTCCCATTCCTTCAACTCTTCGATAGCTTCCTCCTTGGTTCTGGTGATGGACTCAGACTTCCAAGAGGCAGGTCTTCTAGAGTCTTTGTGCTTCAAGAGCAAATGGTTGACTCTAACCTCAGCTGGGTTATGTAGTCCCTTAGCTACGTAGGAATTCAGTAGGTCCTCATTGGAACCTTCTGGGGCGTTCCAGGTTGACTCCTGTGTAGTGGGGTTGTAGAAGTACTCGGTGTTATGACTTTTGGAGATTCTGATTTGCCATCCCTCTGGGAGTCCTGTATATGATGAAACGGCCTTCGGGCTTGAAGTTAGTGACATTTTCTTGTAATTTGTTAAATTGTAACCTACCATTGTTGATATTCCGGTTGATTATAGTGGATCAGAGACCAAGGCAGGTTCTCTATAGTGGCAAGGCTATTATTATTAAAAAGGCCCCGTGGAATCGGTTGAAGGACACGACCTTTGGAACGCGTCTTCAAATCCACACAGATAAGTTACGCGAAATCGTTTATTCCTTCCAAGACAACCAAATATATTCCATGACTATCTCTGAAAACGTAAAAGTGTTTCCCAAATCCGAATTTAGAGTGCTTCTAGTTTCAGATGGGTCCACTTTTTCCGAGACTGGCGAGCCTCTGCATCTCTCTCGACTGTCTCTACCCCATCCCAAAGACGAACACAGTTGTACGTTTCTGGTGGACGAAAAAAACAAATGTTTGTATGAACTGAAAAAGGTAAACTTCTATAATCCTCACTTGCCTGTTTCAAAACGCCCAATAACCACCACGAAGGGTGAATGTCTGAACTCCTTGATTGTCGAGACGGTTGGATCGGAAGATGGAATGGTAATTGAGGAACCAGAGATTTTTGTGGCCTCCAAATTCAATCTCGTTTACATGCTATTGGCATTTTTTGAGCAGAACATAAAGAATCTGGCTTATGACGCTGACACGAGCACGGGCTCTAGGTTCATCAGTTTCGAAGACATGAGTGAACGACTGTTGGATGATACAGACTCCCCACTGAAAGACTTACCCGCATGTTTTTTCGAGCAGGACACCATTGGAAGGGCTTTTGAGCTGCTATGTGATACTATGGGTGAACCTGATGACTTGTACTACAAATTGTCTCTTCAAAAGGTGATATCATTTCTACGGTCTAGGGTGGAGAGGATATGTGAAAAGTTTCCTGAGAGCATCATGGACTCTATACTTAAAAGCAAAATCAACGCTCCATCTGGAAAATCAGAAGAGTTGGATCCAGAAACTGTGAGGTGTTGCCAGAAAATATATGCTATTCAACTTCTTGGCTCGTATCTTTCTGACTTTTATGTGGAGCAGGTTTCCGTGTGTTTTAGGGACGATCTGAATAGGGGTAAAGACCATCTTGCGAAAATGGCTAGTTTGCACCAAGAGCAGAGGATGGCGCAGCAAGGAATCGATGAATTGAGTGCCTCTTTAAGTTCGACAAATGGCTCGAAGAAGAGGAAACCTGTTGTCCAACAGAAAAAGGTACCAGTGAAGAAAATAGCCGTAGGGCGGGGTGCTCTTGATGGGTTTTTCAAGAGGGCATGAACTATGCAGGTGAAATATCGATTTTTGTGGGCATACAGGCATAATACTAATTAGTATAAAGATTAGAAAGACGTTTTTCATTTGATTTGACTTATTCCTTCAGCACCTTCGTGGCCAATGCCTCTGGGTTGTGAGAATTAGACAATTTGTCATAGATGCTCAAACCACTAGCCATCCAAGACGAGATGTTGCCCAGTTCAGAAGGAAGAACAATGGTGTTGGACTCCTTGGCGAGCTTGGAGAAGGCCTCAACGTATTTCTCGGCAATCTGAAGAGAAACAGCATCTTTTCCACCTGGAGTGTTCTGGATGGCATCGGCAAGTTGTCTGATACCCTCGGCAGTAGCCTTGGCTTTCAACAAAATCGCTTCGCTCTCACCTGTAGCGCTGTTTATCTGCTGTGTTCTCTCACCTTCAGAGGCCAGAATTTGCGACTCCTTCTGACCCTCGGCGATGTTGATGGCAGATTGTCTGTGACCCTCGGAATCCAGGATCTCAGCACGCTTGCTTCTCTCTGCACTCACCTGTCTATGCATTGCCTCGAGGACATTTGCTGGAGGGTGAATATCTCTGATCTCGTATCTCAAACATTGCAATCCCCAATCCTTAGCAGCCTCGTTCAAAACGGCAGTGATGTTCGTATTCAGAGATTGTCTCTCTCTGAGAACATGATCCAGAGTCAATTGACCAATCTCGGATCTCATTGAAGTTTGGGCCAATTGCGAGATTGCATACTCTGCATCTTCCACTCCATATGAAGCTTTGTAGGCATCTATGACCTTGATATACAAGACACCATCCATTTCGAGCGTGACGTTGTCGGACGTGATAGCACTCTGAGAAGGAACCTCAATTGCAGACTCTTTCAACGACTGAACGTATTGAATTTTGTCCAAAAAAGGTATCAAAATAGCCAGACCTGGTTCTAATATTCTGTGGAATTTACCCATACGTTCCACGATCCACGCAGTCTGCTGGGGAACGAACCGGATAACCGTGTTGGCTGGTAGAGCATCTTTCTGGAAGAACGTGAGGTTGCCCGGTGAGTTGCCGGAGGTGAACAGTCTTCTGGACGTCAGAGTAATCAATGGGGAGGTCCTCGCACTTGCTAGTGCCGAAGCAGTGAGCCTCGTCGAATATTTCGTTAGCATTGGTGGTTTGGTGCTTAGTCGAAGGGTATAATGCTCAGAAAGATTTCTAGAAGCTTGCTAGAAGTGGCGGCGTGCTCCAAAGAATCCTCGAGTGGTTAAGGAGCCCTGTGTAGGTAATTTTTCATATTCGAACACAGAGTGTGGGTTAGACACAACAGGAGACAAGTTCCCGTACTTTCTTGCAAGGATCCCTATATTTCTTCTGTCTTTGTGTGCATTATGTTTAAGGGGTTTGAGGTATCCTCAAATGAACAGGCGTTTACCCTGGAAACCCTCAAGTCGGGTATACGGTTTGACGGCAGAAAGCTGGAGGAGATGAGAGACATAGACATACGTCTGGGAGACGAATACGGCTACGTAGAGGTGCGCTTGGGAAATACCAAGGCTATAGTCAGAATATCGGCACAGCTTGCAGTTCCATTTGAGGATAGGCCTTATGAAGGGATATTTCAGATATCCACCGAGATTTCACCCATGGCTGGCCCTATGTTTGAGGCTGGCAGACAGTCGATAGACGAGGTGCTAATTAGCAGGCTGGTCGAGAAGGCAGTGAGGCGGTCAGGTGCTCTTGACCTGGAAAGTTTGTGTATTATTGCGGGATCGAGATGCTGGGCTGTGAGAGCGGATGTCCATTTTCTGGATTATGATGGAAATTTCATCGACGCTACATGTCTGGCCGTTATGGTAGGACTGTCGCATTTCAAGAAACCAGATATTGCTATCAATGGAGAGGAAATTGTTCTTTTTTCAACTGATCAGAGAGATCCCGTGCCGTTGTCTGTTCTGCATATTCCGTTGTGTGTGACTTTTGCATTCTACAACCCCAACGATGTGGAGGAGAACATCAAGGGTTCTTCCAGTGGTGAGCTGATACTTGTTGATCCAACCATGAAGGAGGAGGCACAAAGTCTGGGATCGATGACTTTGACTTTGAATAAGAACAGAGAAATCTGTCAGATCAGCAAGGCTGGTGGGCTGCCTATTGATGCACCAGTGATCATGGATTGTTGTTCCATTGCATACTCCATCGTGGAAAGGCTCACGGAGAAGATAAAACAGTTGTTGAAGGATGACGAGGCCAAGAGGATTGACATTAATGTACAAAGGGCACTTAGTGCAGCGAATGATAGATAATTTTACACTGAAATGGCATACGATAAAGGTTGTAAGCAGTCAACGTAGTTTCTGTATTTCAATTGGTTACATAATGGTATATGCAAGGTCATGCACGTTGTGCTTATCTCCAGACAGCAGTCTACGATGCACTTGGCCATCTTGTTTATAATCACTTGCGAACAAATTTCACGTCAGCAGGTTCTGTTGGCAACACCACCATCGAGGTGAAATCTGGATCAGGGACCTTACACTTCCAGGTGAAGTTCTGGATATACGTCACCAGAATGGTTCCAAGCTGAACATATGCAAACTGTTCACCGATGCATCTGTGTCTCCCACCACCGAATGGCAAGTATGGCGAGGAAACGGCCTTGGTGACCTTACCGAAACCGTAATCAACACTGTCCTCGCTCCCCTTCTGCTGATCTTCCCATCTGTGGGGGTCGAATTGGTCAGCAGCTGGGAAGTAAGTGTTTGAGAGATGGGCATATCCTGGAGTTACCAACACGTAATGACCCTTGGGAACGACATACTTGGTATTTGGAACAACCAATGGGTTGGTCACCTTTCTCATGATGGAGTGCAAAGGCATGTGCAATCTGAGGGTCTCCTTGATGATATTGTTGACCAAAGGCATGTTTTGCAGGTCATCATATTCGAGCTCGCGACCTTGCAGAACTTTTTCGATCTCCTCGGCCAATTCCTGTTGTAGGTCGGGTCTCTCACCCAAATGGAGCAAAAACCAGGCAGATGTAGAAGCAGATGTGTGCTGACCTCCCATCAGAACACCAATCAGCAAATGGGCAAGCTCTCTGTCAGTCATCTTGGTTCCATCCTTGTAGGTAGAAGTTCTCATCAAGTGATCTATAAGGTCTCTCTCCTGGATATCGTTCTCGTCTCTTCTCTTGTTGATCAACGACATGTAAGTAGAAGCAACGGTTTCACGGGCCTCGTCTCTCTTACGATAATGGGGCAGAGGCAGGTTTGGGAACACAAAGTTGATTGGGGTAAATCCCTTGTCCAGGTCAGAATACAGCTGGGCAAAACCAGTGTCCAGCTTTCTTCTGATGTCATCTCCCAGAAGCACTCTTGAAGCAGTGAAAATAGTCATTTCAGCCTGAGATTTGGGCACGTCCACGGAGCCCTCGTCAAACTCTGGAGTCGTTGAAAAATATTTCAACACCTCCTCCCTGATTTTAGGGATGTACTTAATGAAGTTTTCTCTGGTCAAGGCTGCCTTACAGAACTTCTTCTGTTCCATGAGCTTCCAGTTGGGACAGTCGTAAATGACTCCTTCACCGAAGGTAGGAGTGGTCAAATGAGCGTAAGCATCTTCAGCAGATACATCGTTCAATTTCGCGTTAAGAATAAACTCGTGGCCTTTAGGTCCAAGATACACGGTCATAACTCTTCCCAACAACATGAACGCGAAAACATCACCGTACTTCTTCTGACAGTTTTCAAAAAAGGCATATGGCTGCATACCATAAGGAACAGCAGATCCAACCCATGGGATATAGTAAGTGACCAGTGGAGCCCTGTTTGGTTTCAGAGAGTAAAGGAACTGCCATAGCAGAGAGTAAACGAAAGGCGCGGCTACCACGATCGTGATCTGTTGGAGCAGCGAAAGTTCGGAAACCAGGTTCCATACCTGAGACCCAATGTCCAGGGTATCTTGAACAAAACCCATCGAGAAATTAGTCTTGAGGAGTAAAAGAAAGTGAAAAAAGATCAAGTTGGAGATCTGAATACAACCGTTCAATGAGAGTGGTTCTTAAGGTGATTATTCAGTTCGTTTAGTGCTCCAACTAAACGAGCGGAGCGATGTTTGGCGGTATCACGTGATTTTTCAGTCGAACGACTTTGAGGATGGGAACGACTTATTTGAGCAGAAAATGGCACGATTTAGTATATTTAGCGGCTGAGAGACTAGTGAATAATCTGACCTAAATGCTAATTGTGTTTTTATTTGTTTCTTTCTACACAGTCGATGCTGCTGTTGTGTGGTCTGCAGTGTCGCGTCATTTGAATGTTTGAATATGTACATGGCTGTATAATAACGGGACAAAACAGAAAAGCAGATTTCTAAAATGAGCTCAGCACCTAGTCTGTTTCAATGCTCAACTAAACTCCTTCTCTTGTTGCACTATCTTCTCGCTAGGCGTCAGCACCACCGGTATTTCATCCTCGGGTATGCTCTCAGCCTTGGTCAACTCCAAAAACTCCTGCAAAATCGCCTCACTTCTCTTCGATTTGCAATCAATGGTCTGAGATCCACCATCTAACATGTTGATCTTCAACACCGAAGGGCATTTGCGGCTTTCCTCCTCATCGGCCGTCTTGATTCGCCTGACCGAGATTGGCAACTGTGGATTGTGGAACTGGATAGTCTTCAGGTTGTACTTCCAAAAGTTTTTAATGCCTGCGTGGCCATTTTCGATATTGGTCTTGAAGGTCAACTCCAAAGAAGCTACCGTTGATGGTAGTTTGACTGCCGAGTTCGGATAGTTGGAAATCATGTTCAGATGCGCAGCTTGTCTTGCAAACCTGCGCTTAGGCAGCTCTTTGTACATTTTCGTCAAGCCCTGTCCTCTCATTTTGAATGTCAGCGATTCAGAGAAGTATGAGAATATACGAAAAGAGAAAGACTTCAAAGTCCTGTCTCGCTACCAAAATCGTCGAGAAGTTCTTTTCATAATGGGCGTGTTCTGATTAAATGATTTTGAGTTTTGCACTATAATCGCAGACTCTATGCAGAGACGCGTTCTGCCCCAGTCTATATTTTAACACCCAAAACAATCCTCTCCTTCAAATTGTTCCAAAATCCTCGGTCGTAAATGTTATCCAAATCTTCAATGGATTGGATAGCGGATACCCTTCCGCTGGAATAATCTATACTGTCCGTGACATCATATCCATCTGATAACCGATAGAATCTAACACCATCTCTTATCAGGTACAGACCCTCCTTACCCTCTCGTCTTGATAGTTTGAACGTGTCTGTACAATCATAACGATGAAGGGCCTTCATGTCAACAAGATGTTGCACATAATCCCACTTCAAAGTTTCATTGGTCGTGACTCCAAGATAGAGGTACCACAAATGTTCTCCCAAGAAGGCAGCGCAAAGCGGAATGAACAGACAGCACATTATCATCAAAATCCCTGTAACCTCACACTGCTTGGATGTATCTGATATAACCCACCACCAGCATCGCCAATTGAAAGAGTCTCTGTCCGTCAATAGTCTAAATCTCTCCAGAACCACTACGTCCAGTTTGAACTTGCTCTGTATCACTGCTACTTTCGCAGCAGAGTTATAGTAATAACTGTTCACCACGTATCTGAGAGCTTTGTGACACATGTAGACGGCGTATGAAAACACCCAGATACACGATGACAGAAACAAAAGGAAATAACGATAGTTCTTGTAGCCAACACAGTTGTTGAGCCAGATGCAGTGGTGATCAAACATGAGGAAGCATTTTCCACACGAGTTGCAATGTTTCGATCTGGCAATCTTGGGTAGTCGGCAAGTACGGCAATAGCCCTGTGGTGCATTTTCAGGACAACGCATCATCTTTTCACCGCAACCCTGGCCAAAGTCGAAGAAGATAAGCCCGTCATATGGAAATATATTGTGGAGCCTCTGCTGTTTTTTGCGACGTAACTCGTCATCCTTTTCTTCCAAAAGAGCACTCTCCACGTCACCAGGTGCTGTAATTATAGCCATTGTAAAACTTCCCACGTTGATGAGAAGACTTGGGACTATGATCAGCCAAAACCGAGTGTCTTCGGTGTAGTCTATAAACTGGTCTTCGTAGACCAGTATAGTTTCTATGTATGTGAATTTGAGAAAGAATTGAACACATTTGAACAAAACCACCACGTAAAGAAACGGCGTAAGCCATCCGTACACCTTATAAGCAAACGGATGAGTAAGTATCTGGGAAACACGATCTCCAAAAAACCGCTCGTCAAACCACGTGAGGTTGGAAGTCATGTACTCGTACACTTTGATGAGGAATTGGCGAAACTGAAATATATAGGTTTGCCTAGAGACAATGGGTTAGATATCACGCAAAAATGGAGATTTGACTGGTATCTGACCAGTTTGAGGACAAAAGGTGCGTACCTGTATTTTGGCAAGTCTCCAAATAGCACTGTCAACACTGTGCCAAATAGCAGCAGCACTAGTAGTCCTGCTAATATAGACATGTTCATTTTGGGACACAGGTAGAATGATTAGTTGGCACTAAGAAAAAATAGAGAAAAATAAATATAACCGGAAAGAGACTAAAACAACGGCCTCTTCAAAAGATGAAGCTTCATCAAAAGCACGTAAAATAGGCTTGAGAACATTCATGGGAGGCGTGTATTTACCAAACGTTCGATAAGCGGACGAGATCTGTTTAAGGAGACACATTATGCTACGAGCAAAAAGGTAGGCACGAATTTTGTGTTTACTGCAGTAGCCACCGCCGGGAAACCACAGGGGGTCGTTTCTCAAATGATTGTTATCATCAAAAGACATTGACGGTGCTTAGACCGGTCAGGGGAGCTTGAGATGGGCTTCGGATGCAACACAGATTGGCGTGCAGCAAGGGTAGAAAGGCGCAGTAGAAGACGAAAGGCAAAGCTTATACCAGGATAACGGATATGGAAAGACAGCACGAGATATTCTTGTTCTAATTATAGTCGAGGCAATGCTGGATAACTGTGTTTGCCTTTTTCGAAGTATTACAAAAATCTGTAAAAAATTGGAAACTAGAGCATTTTCAATTAATCGGGTAATTGCAGTACTTGAGTCAAGCTTTCGACAAGGCCTATGCTGCCAATTCCTAAATGATTTGTTTGAGAATACCAATACTACAATAACAAATCCACCAAACTGTTTTTTATTTCCCAATAAACTAAGTGGAGTGGGGAAGCTTCTATATAGTTGTGATCCTAAGGAAATATAGGCAGCAAGCATGCGTCTGTGCACTTACAGAATATGTACATAATTAAACCGTTTCGGGAAAACACCCCCGAAGCACAAGCGAAAGCCCAAGAGCCTTCCCCGTTACCATGATATACATAGCAATAAGGGGTAACGCCCGTTGATATAAGCGAAATACAGTCCGCTATGCAGAATCCACTCAGCCACTTTTTTGTCGGTTGAAACTCCCCGGTCGGTTAAAACTTCACAAAAATCTATGCAAGACACTTTGTTGCTGATTTTGGATGGGGTGCGCAGCAAAAACGCCATACCATGAAAGAAGTATTTGAAGTATAAAAGCACAGCAACCCTTCGAAAACTTGGATGGGCTTGGACTTTACGTAGTGGTATATATATTCACATATCCAGTCCCATTTGCACGAGCTAGCATTCGTTTCGGCTTGTTTTTGCGAACCATAGTCCTCCACTTGTGAATACATCTACTATCACCCACATCGCTTGATTCTAGACTCAAAATGCAATTGTCCAAGATTCTCATCACACTCGCTGCCTCAGTGGCACTTACAGAGGCCTTCAATTACAATGCCACAACTCCAGTCGGTGGTGCCAATGGTACTAATGGCACAACTCCAGTTGGTGGTACCAATGGTACTAATGGCACCAACGGCACTGGAGGTGCTGGAGGTGCCGGGTCTTCAGGCTCGGGATCGTCCACTAAGGGCTCGGGATCGTCTACTAAGGGTTCAGGATCATCAACTAGCGGATCAGGCTCTGGATCGAGTTCTTCGGCCAGTGGAAGCGGATCTTCAACAGGATCGCAGAACGTTGCTGACCACATCAACGCAGGTACTGTTGGAATGGTTGCTGCAGGATTAGCTGGAGTTTTGTTGTTTTGAAAAACTGGTTTGAGTCCGCTTCGTTTAATTGTTTTGTTGATTTGTTAATTTGTACACCAAAATTGATGTTTTTGTTTAGGAAATGAGAGTGAAAGATTTTCTGTTGAAGGCATGTAGTCAATAGAGTGGTGGTTTACAGTCTAGTACTGGTCTACGGCTGGCAACAGCAGGACAAGACTGAATAATCGAAAAAAGTCACCTCGAATATTCATCACAAACGTCTACTATCATCACGCAAGCACACTCAATCATTTTATCTCTTAACGAGATGTTTGATTCCCCAAGCCAGAGGGAAACAGAAAAAGTAGTACGGGAATGAAATTTCAAATCAAGACCCGGAATCACGCTTAACAGATCATCGGTTTATGAGGCTTGTGAACTCAAAAACGTAAACCGGTTGCCTAATACAGTGTCCAAACAAACACACAATCCGCTTTAGTTTTCCTCGTTCTCACACACACTTTATTCCCTCAGCCCCACAACCCGATCTGCACACATCGGTGGCATTGCCCAAAGGGTCTATGAATAACTAAACGGCCAAATAGAGAAACAAGTGTCAAAGTGTGGACTCTTGGAGTTACCGAGAGCAGACACCGGTTCTAAAAATAAAACTAACATGTGTCGTGCACCACACCCAAAGAGGCTCGGGACGGGCTGCATTAGGAAAATAATAAATACTCGGAAACACTCTTGTGGCGGTGCCGGCTGGAAAAGAGAATTTTGGCTGGTGGCTTTTGGACGATAGATACCTCTTCCTCTTTCCACTCCCTTTCTCTTCTGTTTCTCTTTTTTAACCAGATTTAACAGTTTCAGTTCTGAAGTTGCTTTGCTTGGATTGAATAGGATCTGATCTTCTCGTTCGCTTAGAAAATTGAAAACACCGAATTTATTCGTCAAGGTTTTTGTGTCACGCTTTTGATCCCAGATTCGTCTCACTTCTCTTGATTGTTAATCGCTTCTACGGAACATTCTCATTGAATCACATTCTACATAATGCAATTCTCCAAATCTGCTTTGCTGTTGGCTACTTTGGTTGCATCGGCTTTTGCTGCTGAAACCACCACCTCATTGAGTACGTATTAACTGTCTTTGATATCTTTGAATCGTTGGTTCTGTTGGAACAGGGAATTACCTGATCCTACATGTGTGATTGCTGTGATTGAGGGATCCAAATGTCCATGATATGGATTGAAACTTCTTCAGAACTTGACCAAAAACATATTTCAACTCGTGTTTGTGATCGCGCCCTGTCGGGTGGAGAATCACCGAGGCGTTTTTAGCTCGAAAAAGAGCCTTCAACACGGTCCCGAGCTCGCTTTTTGGAGATGCTACTAGTTCAATCAATCTCGCGTGAATCTACGTGGTTTACCGTGATTTTACTGAAACAGAACTCCAAAATAGGCCGTGTCCACCATTATCCTGTCATATTTTGTGACAAATTTCACTTCCTGATCTGTTGGAATCCCTGAGAAACGTCCAAATTTTCTCGAAGGGGGAATCCGTAGGGGGTGATGCGGGCGGCACGTGATGAAGCGCGGTACCTTTCTTGAAGGCTAAGCATTCCTCGTTGATCCCTACTCATGCTGTTGAAGTTTTGGAAAACAAATTGCAGATTCTGGTTGACCAGCCGATTATAAACTCAATTCTGATTTTTTTTCTCGAGAAATTTGAATTGTGGGTGCAATCGGTGGGATTCTTGAGAGGGGCTGTCAAGCCTTGGGAGTGGGCGGGTAAAAATTTTCACCACCGGGATGTTTCAGGTTGAGCAGCCGGTTTCGGTTTAAATGGCATCAGCAGAGGACTTTGGTTCGGGGGAAATTCCTCGATTCCGGTTCGAAGCTTTGGAACGGCGTGTTAATTCCAGTTCCGAAGATTTATTTTGCCTAAACTATCTCGGGTCTTGACTTCGCTTTTGTTCTCTCTGCATCCGAGCACGTTTGAGTTTCCATTTCCGGTCCGATCCACTCGCACACTACCATTGATTCACATACGCACTACCCTGTCAGACTCGCATACTAACTTACACTTTAGACTCCACTTTGACTTCTACCACCTCCATCAAGGTTGCTTCCGGTTGTTCGTTTAAGACCAAGACTGCTACTGCTCAATCCGATCTTGATGAATTTTCCAGCTGTGAAGCCATCAAGGGTACCATCCACGTGACCGGTTCTTTGGGTTCCGCCTCTATTGCCAATGTTAAGGCCATCTACGGTGACTTGATCGTCACCAATGCCACCCAGTTGTCCAATTTTGCTGCCGATTCCTTGACCACTATCACCGGTACTTTACAATTGAACGACTTGACCATTTTGGACAGTTTGTCGTTTGGCTCTTTGACCTCTGTTGGTTCCATCAACTGGGTTACCTTGCCAGCCTTGACTAACACCGGTCTGTCCAGTGTCACTGACTCCCAGTCGATCGTGATTTCCGACACCGAGTTGGAGAACTTGGACGGTTTGGATGCCACTGACGTTGAGGTTTTCAACGTTAACAACAACAAGAACTTGAACACCATTGACTCCCAACTGAAGACCGTCTCCTCTGCTTTGGAGGTTTCTTTCAACTCTGAGGATGTTGAGGTCTCCTTCGACAAGCTCGTGTGGGCTAACAATGTGACCTTCCGTCAAATCACCTCCATCTCCATGGCCTCCTTGCAGGTTATCAACGCTTCGCTTGGTTTGATCAACAACGAGATTGAGTCTATCTCCTTCCCAGACTTGACTAAGGTCGGTGGAACTCTCAGTATTGTCGGTAACGATGACTTGAAGTCTGCCAACTTCTCGGAATTGACCACTGTTGGTGGTGGATTTGTCATTGCCAACAACACAAAGTTGGATGAGATTGATGGATTTGACTCCTTGAAGAGCATTGGTGGTGCCGTTGTCCTCACCGGTGACTTCGACAAGGCCAAGCTCCCAGCTTTGACCTCTGTTAAGGGTGGATTCGACGTTGAGTCCACTGGTGAGTTGGACTGTTCCGACTTTGACGAGTTGGAGAAGAAGGGAAGAATCCAAGGTGACAAGTTCGTCTGCAAGGCTGCTTCTTCCTCCACCTCCATCTCCCAGTCCGTTTCTGAGACCGACTCTGACTCTTCCACCGAATCCGGAAGTGCCTCCGAGACTGCCTCCTCTTCCTCCTCTTCGTCCTCTTCCAAGGGTGCTGCTGCTCCAGCTGTTGGAACCATGAAGGCCACTTCTGTCTTTGGTTCTTTGGCTGCCATTGCCTTGGCCTTCTTGTAAGGGACTTATGAACACTCCCCAAAAAGGCTCTAATGTCACCTAGAAAAGCTGGATGCTTTTGTTTTGACCTTAATCAAGAGGCAACAAAGTGGGGTTCAACTAGATCTCTTTTTTGTTCCTTTTGTAAATTACAGTGAAATAAAACGAATGTACTTTCAACCCATTCTCTACTCACAAGCCACGCCTTTAGGAATAGCGGAAAGGCTGAAAGTATCGTTTCGCTTTATCCTATCTTTGTGTCTTTTTTGTTTCTATAGCAGCTTAGGCGATTTTTCTCTTCATTTAAACCCATGATATCTTGCTTGATTTTAAATTACAAACTTACAGGAATGTGTAGAACGGAATTCGGGAACGAATTTTCAAGGTCAAAGCCCTTTGGCGGAACGGTAATGGCGCGGCTGACATGGCTGAGCAAAATTTCAGAGACCTGCCAGAGGGACCTGTCAGTAGGGCCAAAGTGGGACTACTGAGCTTTCAACAATATATTAATTTATGGCTTTGATCTGATCTTTCTATATAATCACAAACCCTTACCGTAGTTACCACTCTCAAAAAACTCAAAAATGATCTGAACAATGCTCTCCAGGGCCTCAAGCCATTCCTTCAGTTGCTCGGAAACCTTCTCCTGGTCAGCTCCGAGCTTCTCGAAAAAGTCCTTTCTGTAAGGACATGCCTTCATTGCCAGCTTGAAGATGGGTCTAATCATCATCGAGTGGTACTTGGTCAACGTCTTTCCGTAAGCGTCGGTGAAGGTCTTGGTGAGCTCAGCATCTGGACGATCAACGGTTTCCCTCATGGCCACAGCAGTGAATTGAAGACCACGACTGAGCCACAACAGACCTTGTGTGGCTGTCTTCTTCTTCTCACCGGCCTCGCTCAGGACCAAGTCCTGCAAAGTGGACGCTTTATCTGGAGCAGACAGCAATTTCGCACGGATCTTCTCGATGTTACCAGTCATATCACTCTGAACAACAGAAAAAGCTGACGATCCCAGCAAATCAAACAACTTCACCAGGGACTCAGAGGCCTCGAGAAACTCGGAGGTAGAAATCTTCCCTTCAGTCACGGGCACGTCCTTGAAGGACTTCTTCATGTTATCAAAAAACGTAGACATTTTGGAGAAATAGCAATTATATGTAAAGCACTAGATGCAACACCAAATCTGGAATTCAAGCAAAAGAGTGGAACACCTCTAGAAATGTAACGATCGACCACGCTCGAGGCTCCTGAGCAGAAACACGTAACCAAATTTCAAAATACCTACCTGGGTCGTGCTACAATCGAATTCCCGATTTAGGATAACACATAGAAATGCATAAGCCTCGATAATATTAAGTCCACATTCTTTCAGATTAACAATTACATTGCTATGATCTTTCTTATTTAATATCAAACACACTCTTCAGTTGACGCAACAGCAACCAATCGTCTCTCGAAACCGTGTCACGGAAGGCTGGGTCCTTCAAGGTGTCGATAGACCTTCTGGTGACCAACGAGTAGAGCATGTCGGTCTCATCCACATGACGTCCCCAAGTAGGCTGGGCAGCTGAAGGGTTGTCTAGACGCATAGCAACACCGGCGTTAGTCTGGCCCTTCTTCACAGTGTTCTCACTCTTGTGGTTCACCTCCAAAGAGGTGACCTTACCCAGCAACAGCACGTTTCTCTCCTTCGTGGCAGGATCGATACGAACCGCACAGATTGGGGTTCCTATCCTGACCGCTCCTTCTACGACATCAACACCAATGATCATTGGATTTCTCTTATTGATGATCTGGATGGTCTTCAGAACACATGGGAAGATGGCGTACTCCAGGAAGTCCTTACGACGTTGTTCCATGAGAGTCTTCTGATATGCAGTAAACGAGTCAAACAAGTGGTAGATGATATCCGCGTTGAAGATCTTGATTCCCTGTTCCTCAGCATACTGCTCTGCTTCCTTGTCGATCTTGACATCGAAACACAGCATCACGGCATACTCCTTGGCCTTCTCCAACATGGTCGATGCCTTCATCACATCTCTCTTGTAAACTGGACCCAAACCAATCGACATGACTGGGATCTTCATGTCCTTCAAGAAATCGAGCAATGCTTCCAGGGAACCCAGAGTAGAGGCCTGGACAGTAACACCACGTCCTGAACTGTCGACGGAATCCAACAATCCCGAAAGATCGTCCATAACATCGTCCAACATTTCTTCCTCATCATCGTCTTCACCGACAACCAGTAATCTGGAACCAGCCACGGCCTTTTCCAAGTCGTTGGCTGCAATCTTGACACCCAAAGCGGCCTTGACCTCTTTGTGGTGCACGTACTCAGACTTGATACGCAATTCTCTCAGTGGCTGAGGAGTCAACAAAGCCCTGATATTGGTTGCTATTGGACCGTTCATACCACACAGGACAATTCTATCTCCTTCCCTCAGGATACCGTTGGACAGCACAACGTCGATCGTGGTACCCAAACCTTCAACCACCTTAACTTCCAGAATTGTAGCCTCGATCTTGGACAAGTACATAAGTTGCTTGCTCATTCTCTTCTGGGTCAATTCCAACACCAACCACAGCAAATCTGGAACACCCTCACCGGTGACGGCAGAGGTTGGGACAATCGAGACGTATTTGGACAGGTTTCTGTTCTGGAAATAGAGCTCAGAGTTAAGACCCTGTTCGGCAAGAGCAACCTTGATGTTGGTAAGTCTGTCTTCGAACTCCTGTTGAACAGCTCTGGACTGCTTGCTGAAAGAGTCACGGAAGGAGTTGTTTGGGGTTTCTTGCCAGCTGTAGAGTCTGTCAATTTTGTTAAGAGCAACGACAAAAGGTGCCTTACGCTCACGCAACAAACGGATGGACTCCAGAGTCTGCTGTTCCAATCCGTGCATAATATCGATCACCAGAATGGCGATGTTACACAGAGAAGAACCTCTGGATCTCAGGTTACTGAACGACTCGTGACCTGGAGTATCGATGATTAACAAACCTGGAACCTCGTACACCATCTTTTCGTAAGAGGCCATGACCGCGGTTTTCTGTTTGATAGCGTCAACTGGGAAGTATGTGGCACCGATCTGTTGGGTGATACCACCAGCTTCTCCACCTTGGACGTTAGTCTGACGGATCTTATCCAGGAGCTTGGTCTTACCGGTATCAACGTGACCCAAGATACAACAGATAGGAGAACGAAGATCATTGGTGGAAGGAGTTGAGGCAGCTGGACTTTTCTTGGATTGTTTGGTGGATCTCTTGATCTCCACGACTGGCTCTTCAGCCTTCACAACAGCAACCTCTTCGACCTTCTCTACTGGAGCAGGCTTCTCGGACTCGTCTTCCTCGACCTCGGTTTGTGGAGTTTCCGACTTGGGCTCCTCTTCATCCAGAGCAGTTTCCCAGCTGTCGGCAACAGGCTCGTCATCTTCAAGGGCCATCTTCTCCCAGTCTTCTACCAAAGCCTCCTCTTCGTCGGCACCAGCAGTCTCCTTGACAGCTTCAGGCTCAGGAGTTTGCTCTTCAACAGTCTTCTTGGGCTTCTTCTTTCCATAGACAACCTTTTTGGGCTTCGCTGACTCTTTGTTCTGCAATCCTTCAATCACAATGTTGCTGTTCAGCAGAAGCTGCTCCCTCCTTCTTTCTTGGAGAAGTTTATCCTGCTTCTGTTTTTTGGTGAGAAGTTTGCCCTCAGCCTTGAGCTGTTCCTTCTTGAGTCTTTCTTTCTCCTTCTTGATTTTTCTGGCCTCCTCCTTCTCTTTTTCCTCGGCCTCGCGCTTGGCCTGTTCCTCAGCAGCAAGCTTCTCCTCCTGCTCATCCAGAAGACGCTGCTCCTCCTCGGCTTGTTTTTGGAGCTCCAATTGACGTCTTAATGCAGCAACTGCGGCTGGGACTTTTTTGCCCTTTGGAGCAGCAGCAGCAACAGGTGCAGGTGCTTCCTCAACAGCCGGAGCTGGCGAGGATTCTTTGGAGTCTGCACCGGCCGCCTCCTTGGCCTGCTGCTTCTTCTTATCCGCAAGTTGCTTCTTACGGAGCTTCTCCTTTTCCTTCTTTTCCTTTTCTTTCTCCTTCTTGGACTTGATCACTGGCCCACCGGTAGGTTTGGCAACCTCTTCCTCCTTTTGCTGTTTCTTGTTCTTTGTCTTACGCAGCATGGACATGAAGTCACCGGATAGATCATCGGCAGATGCCACTGTTGGCTCAGCTGAGGAGGATTCCTCAGTACCTTCAGTTTCGGCTGAAGCTCCAAACTCTTCAGCGACGGGTTGATCTTCGATATCATCTTCCCAATCGCCTCCGGCTTTGCTTCCCTTCTTACCTCTGTAAGCGTAGTTAGTATACAATATTCCAAAGTTGCTGCAATTCTGCTTCACGTACTTTTTAGCCATTCTCAAAGTGTTGTTGAATGATTGAACAACGGTACCTTGGAGTGTCAGAGTTTTTTCACCTACAACATCTATCGTGTCTCGCTTTTTTTGCTGTGACACTGGTCTTCCCCCATATGAAAAATTTGACGGTTACCCGTCCACGACATTTATATTTTTCAACTCTCTATCTCAAGTGCAAACAAGACAAATACCCCATTTGACTGTTTTTTTTTTGGACAAGAGAATATATTGACTAAATAATAAGAGTCACGATGTCTACCACCGTCGAAAAGATCAAGGCCATCGAGGATGAAATGTCCAAGACTCAGAAGAACAAGGCCACTTCGTTCCATCTGGGTCAGCTCAAAGCCAAGCTGGCCAAGCTGAGAAGGGAGCTGCTCACGCCTACCGGAGGCGGAGGTGGTGGTGGTGTAGGTTTCGATGTGGCAAGAACCGGTGTTGCGACTGTAGGGTTCGTGGGATTTCCATCTGTCGGTAAATCGACTCTGTTGTCAGAGCTTACAGGAACATACTCTGAAGCGGCGGGTTACGAGTTCACAACATTGACCACAGTCCCAGGTGTCATCAAATACAAGGGAGCCAAGATCCAGATGCTGGATCTTCCTGGTATCATAGAAGGTGCTAAGGACGGAAAGGGTAGAGGAAAACAGGTGATTGCAGTTGCACGTACGTGCAACTTGATCTTCATTGTGCTGGACGTGAACAAGCCACTGCACCACAAACAAATCATAGAGCATGAGCTGGAAGGATTTGGAATAAGAATCAACAAGGAGCCCCCTAACATTGTGTTGAAAAAGAAGGAAAGGGGTGGAATCAACATCACAAACACCGTGCCTCTAACGCATCTGGATAACGACGAGATCAGAGCCGTGATGTCCGAGTATAGAATAAACTCGGCAGACATTGCTTTCAGATGCGATGCCACAGTTGATGATCTTATTGACACACTGGAGGCTCAGAACAGAAAGTACATCCCGGCCGTCTATGTGCTGAACAAGATCGACTCGTTCTCCATAGAGGAGCTGGAGCTGCTGTATCGTATTCCAGATGCCATTCCAATCTCGTCGGGTAATAAGTGGAACCTGGACGATTTGCTGGAAATGATGTGGGATAGACTGAATCTGGTGAGAGTGTATACAAAGCCAAAGGGTAAACTCCCTGATTTCAACGAGCCTATCGTGTTGAGATCGAACGCGTGCTCTGTGGAGGACTTTTGTAACCAGATCCACAAGTCTTTGGTGTCAGACTTCAAGAACGCGATCGTGTTTGGCTCTAGTGTGAAGCATCAGCCACAATACGTGGGTCTTTCACATTTGCTACAGGATGAGGATGTGGTGACGATTTTGAAGAAGTGAGCGGTAAGTAGGTGCAGGAATCTGAATTTTTCAGTGTAGGATACTTCATATGTATGATAGTGATGTAGTTGATTGTCATATATTTGTTATATGTTTGCTAGTATGAGTCTCATCTTCAGACATTGAAGGCAGCCACTACAAAGGCGAGGAAAAAACTGACGTTGAAACTGGGTTGATCAAAAAACAGTTTTCCAACGTCAACTCTGTTGGTGCCTAGCTTAACGATCCTCGAGACAGGCATGGTGACGATTCCTCTCGACCTCAAGAACTGAAAGGTCAGGAAACTGGAAACTGTCACAAAAACAAGAACACTGCTCAATTTGCCAATAACAACCCCAATAATGAACCCGAAAAGGCTTCCCATGGTCAATTGAGAGTAATCCAGTTTCCCACCAAAGGCCTTATCGTGGACTGGTTTGAGTGTTGGAATGTCGGTAGCAAATGCCGGTTGCTGTCTCAGGCCAACATCATTGTGAATCACCGAATTCGACGAGGCTATAGAGCCAACACCATAGCAGCCTAGAGCTCCCAAAAGAAGGCCCAACTTGGGCGCGCTGGACTGTTGCACTCGTATCCGGGGTAGATGGCCAAAGCTCATTCGAGATGGCTTAAGCGAAAGCCTAACACTTGAGGTCGTGCCCAATCTGGTTGCGGTGAAGAAACTGGACTGAACTCCAGAATGAAGAAATTGATTGCGTAGTAGAGAACCGAACATTTTTGGATAGTACCTGTCGAAAAAACAATTATTTGTGGTGTGGTTGTGAAGGAGAAACAGCAAGAATCGGCTTCAATTGCTGCCCTTGAAACGAGTGGCCGTGCACTACTAGAGTGTGTACCGACAAGATGAGGCTGGTAAAAAGGTGATAACGCGAAGAGAGGATATCTACTGTTTTGCTACTTTTGAAGTCTGCACCAGAAGTTGTCAAAGCTCCTTGTATTGTTTCAAAATTGTCCAATGAGAACTCCATCACGGTTCTGATCCAAATGATTCCCAGCAAAATTTCTCAAAACGTCTTTTTGGGCGATTTTTCACTAATCTCGCAAGACATCGGCAACGGCTGGTTTGGGGCCGCGGGCCGGGTCATGAACCTGGTGGTTTTCACATCTCCGGTTTCAAAGACTGTTTCATTGCTCAAAGAAAGCGGTTATTTTAGCCATCAGACAAACACGTGCTTTTTGTGTCTGGACCCCGATTTTGACGTGAATCGGCTTTCTCCTGATGATATTGATCTGCTATCCAGTTTTGAGTCTCACAACGCCAAACCTCTAGACGAACTACTTAATGTTGCAAAACAGCGACACAACCCAAGGTTTTCGGTTCCCGTGATCACCCGTGATTGGAAGTCAAGCATCTCCACAACAAGTTTGTTCATTCAAAGTTTGTCCCAGGCCGGGAAAAACGTGTATATTATTGCAGACTGCTCTCTGCATAACATGGCCACGATACTGGCACTATCATACACCATTTTCGCAACAGGAGCACAACTGAGAGATGCCGTTCAACACATGGGCTCTGTCTCTAGGCAATTGGGTCAACTTTCGGAAGAGATTATCCGAGATTATGGTTCCTACTCACTTCTGTCCCAGCTGAGACAACAGGCGATTGGGATGAGGCACGCCGAGAGTGTTTCGTCGCAGAAGAGAGAACTCGAAACCACCCAACTTTCCTCCCTGGACCTGTCCGATTCCCGTTTGAAACGGAAAAGGGACTTGGATTAGATTTTGGCTGAAGTTTCACTTTAGATCTAATTTTCGATCACCACATCCGTTATCACCGGTCTGTGGTCCGACAAATGGTATCTGTCATCGTACCACATCTCGCCTACCTTGTATCTTATTGCTGTCCACTTCTTTTCGCCATTATGGGCATTGCCGCCAAACTGGAAGTCAATTCTGCTGAAGGCCCTCGTGATACCCAAAGCTCTGAAGCTGGTGAACGTGGCGTGGTGACCCAGTCTACTTTCCACCGGAGTAGCTGCCATGATGTCATCAAAAGTAAACGACTTGTAAATCGAACTTTTGTATTTGTCAACGAACTCGCTGTTCATCTCAACATAGTCTTCATTTCCAGTAACCAGATTGTAGGCTCCGCAAGAACGACCGGACGATTGCGAGTTGAAATCACCCAATAGGAATACCGGACCAGCCTGTTGTTCAAATTCAAAAGCCCCACGATATCTGAGAAGTGATCCACCTAAACGCCTCTGCTCCTCACTCTGATCATCTAGATGGGCATTCAATATGGTGAACTTCAAGCCATCAACAGTCCTCAACCTCACGGCAGTGGCTGATCTATAGGAACCAGCACCCGGAAACTTGGAGGGTTCAAATGGAGTGTAAGATAGCCAGAAAGTATCCCAAGATAAAACTTTGACCTTTTTTGTGTTGTAGAAAACGGCCTGGAACTCACTGCTTTCTCTACCGTCATTTCTACCAACACCCACCCATTCAAAGTCGCTTCCCAACAACTCATCCAGATCACGAACTTGTCTCACCAAAGCTTCATTCACAGTAAAAACCACGGGCTTATTGAACAAAACGTCATTTGCTATGTCGATCCTTCTCCTGGACCAAGGAACTTCTGTGGGGATCCCATAGTAGTCTATCTCGTCATCGTTTGGAATGGTGGAATTCAAGGACTCGATTGTCTCTTCAATACTCAAAGAGTCAGGCTTTGAGTCAAATCTTAGATTCCAATTTTGAAACCTGAGTTCAGCCAGCTCGGTGTTTGAGTTCAAAGACATTGGTGAGACCGGGGAAAACAGTAAGAACATCTGCACAAGAGCAATGCATGCAGATACCACAAAAAAGCCGCCAAAAATCGCCCCAACAGGGGAGAATCCTTTTGAATAACTCATTTTGAGAGATTATACAAAAAACTGAGAAGAAAACCAAACCGTATAACCGTTCAATTAATAAACTATAGCTAAAGTCCGGAGCTTCCAGCCATTTCGAGCTTATCTTCAATGGTCGTGCATAAGCAAAGTTGGTTTGGCTTGGGACAGATCATCCTCCTCGAGGAATGAACCGGGTTCAGTCCAGAGGAAGAGAGCTCGCACAGAATTGTTCGTTTCAACTGGTTTAAATTGTTCTGAGATCCGAAGGGGGGCTTCACGATGTCATATAGGGCTGCTCAAGACGTGCAACAGCCGACGAGCCTGCCGAGTGCCGAGGTGCTACGATCTGAGCTTGCCAGACTGACGAAGTTGTTGCGTACAGCTGGGAATGCACACCAACTGGCGAAAATCGTCACGACAATAGAATCAAAACAACAACAATTGGACGAACAGCTTGCAAGGTACACATCCAAACAAACCGTATCTCATGCTTCCAACGTCAGATCATTAGAGAGCACCAGGGTAGAGCTATCCACAACATTGAAAGCGTCAAGATCTTTATCGCAGATATTGACCAAAGCCAATGACCTGAGCAACCAGATCACCGAGAAGGTGAGACTACTTGATATGGAGAGGTCAAAGGTCCATATAACTGCAGACTATGTGGACAATGTGAGAATCCTAAAGAACGAAGTACAAAAGGCTGCCGCTTCCATCAAACAGCAGGACTGGTTAACGGCGTGCAAGTCGATATCTCAAATTAGAAGTCTTCCTGAAGGTCTTATTGATGGGAGATTTGTTTCCGTGGTGGTACCAACCAGTGATATTCCAGACTCACCGAGGAAGGTAGTTGGAGAATGGATAACACAGCTCAACGATATGTTCACCAAGGAGTTCAATACGGCTGCGCAGAGCAAGGATGTCCCAAAGTTGACCTATTACTTCCAGTTATTTCCTCTGATAGGCAAAGATAATGTTGGAATCGAGTGTTATTCCAGATTCGTGTGCAACATAATCAGTGATCAGTCGCGGATCATCATCAGGAATGCACAGGGCCGTGATGTTCAAACAGATTACTACGCGCAATTGCTGTTCCAGTTATTCCAGACGATAGCCGATATTGTTCATCAGCATAGCCGCATCATCAAAAAGTTTTATGGAAGCAGTGTCATCACCACCGTCCTGAAAGAGATCCAGCACGAATGTGATCTACAGAGCGGATTGATCTTCGACACGTTCTGGGACTCCAAGAAGATATCCAAGACGCTCGATGCAATAACCAGGTACGATTATCCAATTTTGGTGAGAAGCATGCTCAACAATGCTGATGATTATGATGAAGAACAGGACGATGGGTTCTTGCCCTCGTTGTATGAGGTAGGCAGTCTCATTGAGGAGTTTTCCACCATAATGAACCATTGGTCCATGTATTGCAAGTTCTTTATTGTCACATGGAACGAAGCTCTAGGATCTTCAAACTCGGATAGACCGATATTCCCCAAGCCTCTATTGCAGAGTACGTTCATGGAGAAGACCAGAGTATCACTTTCAAGCACGTTTGACAGGCTTTGTACCTTTGCCGTGAGAAGGACTATAGAAGGTGCATATCAGTTGGAACAGCTTCCAGATCTTACTCCTCAACTGATAGTGGCTGTGAAGTTCCTGACATCAACCATGAGAACCACAGCCACCTCTTCATCAAACCTGGCCTCTTTGTCACCAGACGAACCACCGGTCAGTTCCATGATTGATGATATCACCATCTCACTCAACTCTATCATGCACCAGACTGTGAGTACTGGCCAGCAGTTGACTCTCAAGAACATGGTCACCAACATAAGGAGGATCCTGGAAAACGATCTCCTAAACATTCTTGCCAAAAAACTGAGAGACTTCCAGCCCAGAGCGAACTCCCAACTGCTCACTCCAAGCAACCTGGCGATGTTGCAACAACAGGCGAACATGAGTATACATGGGGGTGGTGCTGCAAGCATATACTCCAATTTTAACGGGTCATCTACTACCCTGGGATCTCCACGCAGTGGAACTCCTCCTGTCCATTCGTTTGTGCCCATTGGAGGAAACCCAGGCAATATCAACGCCAATATCGCAGCTCCTTCAATTTCGGCAGCAAACGTTTCCGGTGCCAACATGGCCCATGCTGGAAGCAACATGTTTGTGAGAGGAGCGGCCTCTGCGTTCAACGCCATCAATATCAATGCTGGTGCAGATGAGAGTAACGCCACGAGACTGGCCAACTTCATCTCGATACTGAACTCGGTATCGATGTTTGGTCACCACCTTGAAAGACTGGTTAGCTTACTGGATGAAAAACTTGATCGAGACAACTTGCTGATCATGGACGAGAACGAGTTTGCACAGATGTTGAAGGAATTGGAAGAGGGCAAAACGGACAACTTTGTTGTCAGCTCAAGCGTAAACGAAGCTGGAAGCAGTGTTCATGAAAAGGTGAAGGTTGTGATTGGAACTCTGTCCTCGAACTTCCGAGAGAAGACCAAGTCGATACTTAATGGACAGGTGAACGTTCTGTTCCAGCAAGTTTTCCGCAACAGAATCTCAAAGATGATCAATGATACCTTCAAAGAAGGAGAGTATTTAATCAGCAGTGAGGATTTGGCATACGGTTCTGTTGGAATGAACGAGTCAGTTGCAAAGTTCTTGCAAGAGTGGAACTCTTTGGTTCTGCCCTACCTGGCTACGCTGACTAGGGACAACTTTACGATTCTTATAGACATCGTGGTTAAGGATATTTCTGCCAATATTGAGTCCAAGATCTGGGGAATGGAAAAGAAGTGTAATGAGCTGGGATCTTCAAAACTAGAGAGAAACATCAGTCTGATCATTGGTGAGATCACCAAGTTAGACTACGGGCTCAGAAACAGGTTTGTCAGAGTGACCCAGATCATCATGTTGATGGGACTTGATGAAGAGGATGAGGTTGAGGTATTTGACGAAATGGACTGGGTATTGACTCCCGTTGAAAGAAGTAGGGCCAGGAACCTACGCGTTGACATCAAGTCTTGATGATATCGACCGTCTACATGTTGACATTAAGCATTTACACTCTTTCACTTAGATTATCATTATGTACTAGTATACAGTTGGGAGTGGTTTTTTTGACCATTCTCCAATCTTATTTGTTCTATTCCTCCAGCTCATACGGATCAGATTCGTCTTCGTCATTTTCTCCATTTTCTCCATTCTCACCAGTATCCCCAGCTCCGGTCTCGTCGTTCTCAGCCACCAATGGCTTCTTTTTCCGCGCATTTAAAATATCTTCATCCTTCCTGATCTTGAGGCGACCCTGAAGTAACGCTGGGTTGAATTTGGGATGAGAATCTGGACAATTGGGGCCTTGTGGACAGAACCCAGTCAGGTACATTGGACACAACGGTCTCCTAGCATGTCTTCTCGTACAATTTGGACCTTCCGGACAAAATCCCATGTTTGTGTAGTTATGACATTCCGGTATTTTCGATTGTGGATCAACGTGGAGATATATACAGTCTGCTCCCTGCTGACATGTGCCCGTCTGAGCAAAGTAAGCACACTCAGGCATCTTTGCCAGATTATATTCATGGAGGAAATCACAATCATCTCCCATTTTGCACAATCCTCTTAGCCAATACTTGCAGACGACCTTGTTTCCAAATACTTTGCTGGGATGTTTGTTCGGGCAATCGACGCCATTTGGACAAGTTCCCGGGCCTGACCAGTACTCACATATTGGTCTTTCCGGATCCAAGCCAAAGTTGTATTCTTTTCGCAGGAAGTTTTCGAATTTGAATCTCGGCCTACTTTGTGGCACAAAACTGAGCATTTTGAAGATTGAAAGTGTTTAAAACGGTTGATGAGCAAGCACTTTAAAGAGTGTAGGAATGATTAGAAAGCATCATCATTTCTAAGGAATCGTATCTGGATAAGGTCAACTTGTCAAGCCAAATTATTGGACCAATGCACTACCTGCAATTGCTGGTAAGCTGTACACTAGGGTTCGAGAATTTTCTTTTGGCAACCACATATTGGGAAAATTATTAATATTTCTAAATGTATCTGGATTGGGGCTTTCTAAAGATACCATTATAATCATATTCTCATCCTTAGTCTCCATTCCATATCCCTCTTAGCAAATAGCACCTAATACTAAGTGCTCTCACCAATTCTGTCCCACACTACTGAAAATATATGGAGTGACTTTTCGCCAGACGGGATCTCCAGCCAACGAAATATTACATGTAGTCAGGTTTTATCGAAATTTGAAGGGGTAAATTGTATATATAAGCACAGATAGACTACAAAAGACCAGAGTGGCTGTGTAAACCAGCAACCATTGATTTGCACGGTACGACACCAGCCTGCAGCACTGAAACTTTTCACTCTGTATAACAGCAACAGCAAATAATTTTGGATAAGCGAGAATAGTAATATAACAGCTAAGAATGCGGTTCTGAACTCAGAACACACATTCGACTAGTTCACAATAGGCATGTAAAGCAAGGCCTCATGGTTGAGTGCTCACGGTTGGATTCACTCGTGGTTGAGATCGGTTCTACCAGCTCTGGTAGATATCACACGATGGGCTGTGAAATATTTGTCCACCCTGTGACATCCTATGAACTGACCAATCTTGGAGATCTTCTCATGACGATTGGACCGGTTCACGTTCAGACGGTAGTTGTGTGTGTAGATATCGAGCACAGTGTTTGAGCAATCAAAGAGGACATAGATGTTGAATAGCAATGGCAATCTTTGACCTTCATCCTCGTATTCGTTTGGCTGTAATCCGTTGGAAAACGGAACGGTTTCATAAGGGATATCGACTCCAGAGCCTCGAGCAGCATTGACCGAACTCAGCAGTCTCTGCTCGATTCTCACCATGGACCTCTCCAGATTCATCACACGATTGGTCAGATTGCTCTGGGCCTTGGACAGACTTTGGAGAGTCAGTTGGTAGTTTTGAGGGTTGGTACCGGCAGAACCGTCCGAGCCAGCCAGGGCCGGTGTGGCCTGAGTTTGCAAAGGACTGTCATGCGCTTGGTTGACGGGCAATCTATAGAGTGGCCCACCAAAATTCATTTGGCGAGAATTTGGATCACCGTAATCGTGGTTCCCTAGCGAGTTCAAAGCAGACACCATGGATCCGGCAGACGCATTCAGCTGCTGTTGTGACTGTTGCGATTGTTGCGACTGCTGCTGCGAATTCTGCTGGTTCTGGTGAATGTGGTGGTTTCCACTGGCGTTGGCAGAGTCGATAGCCGATCTGACACTCGTGTGACGGTTGTTGGTCAGCATGGAGCCATGGTTACCAAAGGCAGACGAGGATATGTCTCCTGATTGGTTCAGAGCAATCTCCAGTCCGGACGTGGGCGACTGCGACTCCGGGTTCAACCGTATGCCACCGTTAGAGTTAGAAGAGTTGGATAATCCTCCTGCTGGCAAAGCACTAACACTCCCTGGGGTGGTGGAATCCGAGTTCCTTGGAACCTCCGGAATGGTAAACGGTCTGCGGCTAACCGGAGTCTCCCCTGTTTGGATAATATCATGGGCCTTGTTGATATGTCTTGCCAGATTTGTTGGCCCATTCCTGGACGAATAACGGAACACCTTCTCACATAACATGCACTGAACGTTCTGCACGTTTCCCGTTGTTGACATATGGCGATAATGCTGCCAAACCCACGAGTTTGGAGGTCTAGCCATTTCGAATGAGTGCACAAATCTGGCAATTGCAAGCGATTAGTCAAGATTGGCAAAAAATGGAGTTTCACGTCTCAAGATCTGGCTTTGGATGGACGGATCAGGCGTGGTGGTTTGGGTATTCCTTCAAGGAGCGGAAGGTAAACTAATCGAGGGAGCGGAAATAATTTGCTTTGGGAATTGCAGGGGTGTTATTTGCCCGTGGGCTGTCATTTGGGGTTGAAATTTTGGATAAGGGTAGGAATGGTGGGTTTACGTTTCGGTTTAGATTATGATAATTGGTAGAAATGATTTGGACAAGGGGTTTCAAGTTACTGGTCCAGAATGAATTTAAAAAATCTCGGGTGATAATGCGTTTGGTTGAGGGTATTCCAGACGGTGCTTTGTGACCCATGGCTATATACCCGTATTGTTTGGCAGAAACCGCGGAAGATCACTGTTTTCCTTCCACTTGAGCTAGCAGATTGCCACCGGGTTCTGATTGCAGGCAATTGAGGTAATCCACCCATCCTGATCCTAGTCGGATTATTCAGTTATCAAACAAACTTAGATTGCCTAGTCGGACCCAACGGTCACCACCTCCCCTTCGTGGATTAGGAGCCCTGTTTAACCATCACAATTTCCTTCAAATTCTGGTCTTCGCAAACCGCACAAAGCGTGCCCAACGGCTGCATGTTATTGGAGACCACTTTACAGAAAGAGAACTTTGCAGTCCTAGACTAAGGTTATTACTAAAATGCAGAAAACGCTTTAAAGATCTCACTCACTTTGTTAGGCCCATCAAAAGAATGATCCTTCGAGTCTATTGTTCCCCTCTAAGAATTTCAATGCGTAGCTGTGAGCACATTAGTCATTGCAAGCTCAGCAGTCTGTTCGCTTGGAGAAGGAGTGACTGGGCAAAACCGTAGGACTCCCAAGCAGAGGATAATTTGCCAGCCCTGAAGGCTAAATCAGGGTCCAATACCTGAAAGCCAGTTTGAGCGACTCCACAATTAACGCGTTGTAGTCTTTGTTTGTCTTAGAACATATTATTCGTGTTTCCTCGCCGCAGAGCAGATGTTATTATCTGTACCAATGCTGGGGAACTTATTTGTGAGACCAAGAACAAGGATGGCAAAAAAGGCTACGAAAGAGACTACCAAGAAGACGATGAAGTTGACGTTGAAGCTGATGGTCAGTGAAGATACTATTAATAAACGAATTAGTGCTACAGTTCCCATTAGTCTGCTGAGATTAACACGAGAGGTTGTTAGAGACAAATGTTGGCTATTTGCTGAAAGAGAGGATTACAAATACATCGAATGCAGTCGCTTTCACAGAACCCCGCGAGTAGAAGATGAGACCTATTTCAATTCTTGCATGCTATTGGAGGCAACCTGTAGGATCCGGGGAATGCAACTCAAAGCTGCATTATTGGCAATCACCTTTGTTGGAAGTCAAAGTCACACTGACAACTAATCCAGCCAAAATGTGACATAAATCTCTGTAACCACAAATCTTTAAAACAAAGTATCCATAACTTTATGCATCATTATTTGTTTGGTTGTTTATTGGCTTGACACTCAGGTCGCAGTGAAAAACCGTTCAAAATGTGCGGGTGCAGATAACACGCATATCCATCTGCAGGTCTGTCTGGATCCTATCTTTCCAGATGGAGCTCATTTGTGAAGGGCCGGCAGGGGCGGCAGAACAGAGCTGCTTACAAACAAAATATAAACTTTCCAATAATTGTTGTTGGTATAAAATCAACAAGATGTAGAGATGCGTAAGAAGTGAAGAAAACCTAAGTATTGGTGTATTCGAGAAGAGATGTCTTCAGCCATGTTTGCTCCATTCTTTTCTCTCAGAAAAGCCGTCAAACCTTATATCAGTCACCCAATATTTGTTTTTGGCGTCGTATCTGCCTCACAATGGTTGGACAATATCAATGTATCGATAGTGACTAGTATGGTGATGCAAATCCAGCAGAAATACGATGTGCCTTATCCAGTAGCAACCTGGACCTTTTCGGCTTTCTCGCTCTGTTATGCCAGTTTCATCATGATTTTTGGAAGGATAGGCGACATCGTGGGACACCATTATATGTACATTGGAGGCATGTTCTTTCTGGGTATATTCAACATCATAGCTGCTTCCGTGCAAAACATATATGTGGTGATCGTGTTTAGGGCACTGCAAGGTATTGCTGCTTCTGCCACGATACCGTCTTCCTATGCCTTAGTTAGTAACCTTTTCACTGGAAGAGCGTCGCATATTGCAATATCAGTACTCACCATACTCATGACTACTTCATTCGGATTGGGAAGTGTTTTGGGTGGTGCATTTGCGTTGACCTCCATTGGATACAGAGGTGCATTCTATCTTGTGGGTGGCATATCCCTTCTTGTTGCGTTTCTGGGTGCTCTATGTGTTGAACCTGCTTCTGTGAAAGGAGAAAGTCTGAAAGATCTGGACCATATTGGGGTTGTAATAATGCTTTCGGGATCGTTATTACTGGTCACTGGTCTGACAGAAGGAGGTGATACTTGGAAATCTCCATCAGCTTACGTTCCTATTATATTCGGAGTTCTTCTCTTATTCCTCTTCTTTGCATGGGAACTGCATATCATGCGAAAGCTCAAAAGGTTCGACAGCGTGCAGTTGCTCATACCTATGGAAACATGGGCCATTCCAAACGTTGTTCCAAATTTATTGGTAAATGGAATAGGCTATGCCAACATATTCTCCATAATGTTGTTGTCAGTGGAAGTTTTCGAATATGTTGCATTGAATTCTCCTGTGATCGCAGGCCTCAAAGGTTTAACGAGTGCAGTTGGTCTATTCGTTGCTTCAATACTTGCCACTCTTACGTTTGGCAAAGTCCCACCAAAATATGTGGCTATTATTGCTACTACAGTATACCTTGCTTCTTCCATCGTCATTTCAAGGTTGGGTTACTCAACAGAGTCTTGGTGGAGGTATGGACTACCGGGCCTAGCGATCAGTGGCTTATGTCAATGCTTCATCACCTTCTTCCTATTTAACTCGGTGATTGTATCAGCACCTCTTGAGATAGAAGGGGTTGTTTCAGGAATGGGAATGACTTGCGTTCAGCTGTTTATAGCTATTTCCTCTGCTGGTACTTCCTCGATTGTGGGCGATGTTGAACTTGGTATGACTCCCGAAATCCAAAAGAGGATAATGGTAAAATATCGCCACGCCTTTTACTTCGTCATTGCTGCATCTGCTCTAAATGTTGTGCTTAGTTTGTTTATAAAGGATATGGGGCTTGGGTCTTTGAAGGAGAAAAGGGAAGGGAAACTCATGGGGAGCGATACTGAGGATTCTTCAGAGATGGAGGTGGAGGTTTCCAAACATGTCTCGCACTCGTCAGACAGTGTTTGAAGATCACATAGAGTTTGCTTTTCAGGGTTTTTTAGTGTGTAATAGAGTCCTATTTATGATTGGCAAACCCTCGTTTTGGGCTTAGAGAGACGGGTTATGCATTAATAAATGTTCAATAACTGCACGACTATCCAAGGATCGTTGGGTGCGGCTTAAACAATACGCATGCTCTACGGATTACGATTATAGATGAAAATGTTCAATTTTAGTAAAGTAGATGATTATTTGCTTTTCTCCAGCTGGCGCCTCATTCTGGCACCCTCACGAGCCCAAAATTCGTTTCTATACAACTCCCAGATCTCCCTGGTGGCCATGTTGAAGACCCTGGGATTCAGCACGAGTTTCAGTTCTGTCGCACCAACCCGCGGCTGTGACCGCAACTCCATGGTACTGACAAATGTCTTGAGCCAAGCCGTCACAGAGCGCAATACAGGAATTCGAGTTGGACCGACCAGGTCGATTCCGGTCCGGGTAGCCATGGCAAACTGTCTCAAGGTCCATCTCGATAGATCCGGCAGAATGTCCGAAGTAGGCGACCTAACCTTCACGATCCTCACATTTAGTTGTCTGAGTCCTTTATTGGTGGATGTGATGAATCTCCTTGGCCGCACAACGGTCCGATGGTACTCCCCGCTGAGGTAGAAGAGCAACAAAGTTACGGCAGTTATCAGGAACAAAACCTGGTGGACCGCCTTCAAAAATGCACTATCAATGAGCTCAGGTGCTACCAACAATCGATAGCCACAAAAAACGAGCGTGAAGGCCATCGCCATGAAAAACCCGAGATATTTCCTCCTCAGTCCTTTCTGCTGTGCAGCCTGTTGTCGCAAAGACTCTTCCAAAATAAGCAAGTTTTTGAGAATTTTTGCTTCAGCTGGCATCTCTGTGTCTCTGACTCTTGATCTTGATGACATCCGTCTTCTGGAACTACTTCCACCGGATTTACCTCTGCGATCCCTCGGAGTATCCGTCTCTTTTCGTCCCCTCGGGGACCGTCTCGGCGTTCCAGCCTCATAATCGCTATCCGTTTGCACTACCGAATCGCCAGATCGCACACTGTTGTCACTTTTCCTTCTGGCTGCCTCGGATCGTATTCCCAACCGAGATGTCTGGTAGTAGCTTGACCCAATGCTGCTAAACGAACCAACATCAGAATCAGATGATAATGCATAATCCTCAGGGTCAGCCGGCTGACGATGTGATCTCCCGCGAATTCGGGGCGAAAACGGCGGCGAGAGTACCGAAGTCACCGTTTGCAGTTCTGGTGTCCTGTCCTTTGCCGTTCCAACAGGTTTGGAAGGCCTCGCCAAAGGAGAACTTGACAAAGACCGTAGAGAATCTTTCTCTACGGTCTCTTTTTCCAACTCCTGATCGCTCATATCGAAGGTCCGTCAGTCTGGTACCGAAAAATGATTTCGAATGGTGAAAATGGCTAACTGCTGGCCGATATCGATGAAACCCCGAGAACTGCTGGGTCGAGTAGTGTGGCCCCCACACAGTAAGCGCTGAGATGGGCGATGGCCTGTTTTGGGCGGTTGAGCTTTTGAGCGTTTGAGCGGCTGTCTGGGCGCGTAATCTTGCATCAGGGAAAAGTCTGATTATTAGGTGAATTGGGGTCGTTGAAAGTTACAGGGTAAGCTGAAGACTACTCAGTTATTATATTGGCAATTGCTTTGGCTATCTAGCAGCACTTCAGATGCTCGGTTATATGGAGTATTTGCAGGACTGTTTCTACACCTCAACAGGATGGAATACCGACAACAACTATGACAACATCTTGGCCACTTCGCGAAACTTGTTGGCATTTCCGATACCGAGAAACTTCCGGTTTGAGCTGTCATCGAGATCGAGCGAATTCACGAACAGCTCAGTTTCTTTAACCAATACTGGCATACTAGGCGGGTCACTATCATACTTGTCTACTACTACGCCATTGGCCAATGCGATGGCCTCTCGCTCGGTCCCACTTCAGTCGATGGTGTCAGGGTATCGGATCCTCGAGACTTTTGGTCCGAGGCTTCCAACTCAGTTTGTGGGCGCAACTCTGCTGTATGGAAGGATTTACTTTCCCAGTCAGTTCCTCGAGGGAATGGTAATAAAGCGGGTTTCGCCCAATACCCAGTTCATTCTCAAATGCATTAGCACTCCCAAGGTGACAGGAGGTGTCAAAGGTGGAGGTGCTATGACTTTTTATTGGCAAACGAATAAGGCAAAGTCCTCGCGAGAATTCATCTTTTCGACCAGTGAGGCTTTGCTTGGTTTCCGATGTCTGTATAACATTGGAAAGGGATTTCGCGATGGACCAAGTCGACGGGGCAAAATTTTTGGTAGCGATGGATCCTCTCTATCTATCGGCACAGAGCTGTGGTACGGTGCTCTCAGTATGTCTCCGGGGCTATCTACAGCACTGCGGTATTCCACTTATTCGTCTTCCACTGGAGCACCAATGACTATGACGTTGTCTTGCAATCCGTTACTGGGAAGTTTCTCTAGCACTTACTCTGTGCGAACAGGGATAGGGTCTACATTCTGTTCCAAGTATGATCTAAATGTGTATTCTTCTGAAAGTGATCTGAGTTTCGGTTACGAATTCTGGAGAAGCATTGCTACCAGACCACCCAAGGAGCAACCCAAACTGGACGCTCCAGCATTCAACAAACTTAACGAAGAAGAGCAAATGCGCGTTGTTGGAGAGTTCATTGGGGCCCAACAGGACAAGTTTGGCAACCCTGGTGCTGCATGGGGATCAAGAGGTACTGCTCCGTTCCATACAGCCAGAAAGTTTGTATCCAATCTGCGTGAAACCGACTTCAGCAGCGTCCTCAAGGCCAGCACCAGTATTCAAACCGGAAAACTGAGTGTATCATTCTCGGGAAAAATCAAGGACTTTCTGGTGACGACGGGGGCTTCTGTTAATTTGTATGATACGTCTTCGACGGTGAAGGCTTATGGTGTACAGATCCAGTACTCGTCCTAGCACTAACCATTGATGAATGATAAAAGTACATAGACGATGAAAGATGTTCGCAACTTACCCATTTTGACAAATAACCCATTTTTATCCTTAATAGAAAAACCTTTTTTCGAGGTCTTTGACCTCTTCCGCTTTAAATTTTGATTTTCAGGGTTCGGTTTAGAATCGTCTGGAGCTGCATTGCTAGGTGCATGAGCTCATGCACGAGGAACCAAAATGATGCAAATCCAAAATCAAAATACATTTGTCAGGTGAATAGGGGTTATCCAATTAAAATTATTTAACGAGGCATATATCCCATGGTCTCCAATTTTCAATAGAATTAGACAGTTTCCATTAGCGCTAAAAAGGTTTGTACACAGAAGTCTGAATTAGTTGGCTGCGCAACTTCTGTTAGTCTATTTCAACATGCCTAGTCTTGGAAGCTCTATAACTGTGCCTCTGTTCAAAGCAGTACCTGAACCGATTATTTCTAAAGACTCAGTCAAGCTCTACAACCTCTGTCTCCTTAACCTCCGACACCCCACCAGCCACATCCCCGTCCTTGAATAACATTCCCTCAACCATCTTGGCCGCACGCTCCTCAAACTTTGTGTCCTCGCCATCACCGCTCATACTGCTGTCAAGTTGAAGTTTGTTCTGGGCGAGAGACCAGATGTTCTCCTCAACAGTGTTGCGCGTGATTAGTCTATAAACGTTCACCTCCTTCTCCTGCCCCACTCTGTGGGCCCTGTCCTCAGCCTGCTTGTCATCGTGTGGGTTGAACGACTGGTCAAAGATAATAACATTATTTGCACACACCAGATTGATACCAAAACCTCCAGCTCTGGTTGAAAGCAGGAACACGGGGATCTCTTCGTCCGAGTAAAACTTGTCGATGATAACTTGTCTCGTCTCAACAGCAGTCTGTCCATCTAGTCTCAGGAACTTGATTCCAAGAACACTCAGCACAGACTCTAGAATATCCAGCATCTGTGTGAAAAGCGAGAAGAGCAACAGTCTTTCACCTCTAACAACGATTATCTCATGTAACAATTCCTTCAGCTTCTGGATTTTGCCGCTTCTAAGGTAAACGTCCGAGTTGAGCTCGAACTTAGACAGCGTCTTTGGGAACTTCTGACACAGGCGCTGGAGCTCAAAGTCCGACATCACTCCCATGTCCTCGTAGATATACTCCTCGTTGGCAGTGACATATTCGGGTTCTTTCATGATCTGTTTCGACATGGTTTTGATCGTCTCATCATCGAAGATGTGTCTGAAGAGAAGAGGATGCAAAACAGCCTTTCTGAGTTGCATCAGCAGATTGGCAGCACTGGGAACCTTCAAAGGAAAGGCGTTTCTGCTCAAAGCACCCTTGGCTTGTTTCCTGTGTTCCTCTCTAGCCTCACGTGCCTGGCGAACCACCTCTATCTGCTTCTGGTAGATCTCAGTCTGGTCTTCCATCATGTCACAGTACTCTATAAACTGGCGTTTCTCAGGCAGGTGTTTCATGACCTGGCTCTTCTTACGTCTCAGCACAAACGGAGTCATCATGGTTTTGGCATTAGCAATTGCCTGTTGAGCCAGTAGAGGGTTGAAATCCTCCTCCCCCTCTTCGATCTTGGAAGAGGCTTTCTGGCCAAAAAGCACAGCGAGATCGTCCTTCTTCGCATTGAAAAGATTTGGAAGGATAAACGCAAGCAGCGAAATCAGCTCTTTCAGATTGTTCTGAAGCGGAGTGCCTGTAAGCAACAGTCTGAAATCAGCCGAGATCTTCATCAGCTTGGTGTATCTATCTGAGGAAGAGTTCTTAAGCATGTGACCTTCGTCGTAAACCACCACATTGAAGTCTCTAGAACGTAGAAAAGCCTGGTCGTATTTGTTTCCGGTAGCAAGATTGTAGGTGGTGACAAGTACATCGTAGGTCGAGGAGTCTTCTAAATCGTACCTTAATGATTGCCTCTCGCTCTGGGATCCATAATAAGGTTGAACAATCATCTCCGGGCAAAACTTCTGGAACTCTCTGAGCCAGTTCTCCAGCGTTGAAGAGGGAACAACCACCAGATGAGGACCTGAGTAGCCCTTCTGTTTCAGGTGGGCCAAAAACGCAATGACCTGAACAGTCTTACCCAGACCCATTTCGTCTGCTAGAATACATGATAGTTCCTTTTCATAAAGCAAATTCAACCAATTGAGACCAACCTGCTGGTAACCTTTCAGCTCCAACGAAGAGGCCAGAAGCTTGGGCTTTCTCTTGAAATATCCCGTGTAATGACCGCGCTCCCGCTTGGTCTGCTTAACAACTATTCGATCTTCATCATCTTCATCCTCATCATCATAGTCTTCTTCGTCGGAAGAGTCTTCTGGCTTCGTTTTGGCTGGAACCTGTCTCTTCAGCAGAACACTCTGGTGATCATCTTCAGTAGCTACACTCAAATCAGGTTCATCTGGAAGTTCATCTGCAGAGTCAACGTCAACCTCGACGATTTCCAGCTCGCCTTCTTCTCCTTTCACTCCGACTCCCCATTTCTGGATCTCCTCCGTAATCGAGGCACTATAGGCAGAACATTTGGAAATCAGCGATTCAACAGCATTATAGCCCCGAAGTCTGTTAGTTGCACTCTCAACAATCTTGAGCCCGGTTGGTTTCCGCCTGCCCTTTTTGGGCTTTTTCAACTCGGTTTCTGTGAAATTCTGGTCCTCTATTTCATCTAGCGAAACAAACGGTCTCCTTTCAATGAACACATTGGCAATAGCAGGAGTGATGGAAGCAATATCAACAATATCTCTCTTCTCAGCAGTGTTCAGGAACTCTAACACTTTATCCTCAAATCCTTCGACATCGTTGTACCCCATCTCAACCACATCATCGTCAGAATCATCGTCAACAGCATTCTCCTCTTCGTCATCGTCCACAATCATCAGGATTTCAGGCTTCTTCTCCACAGTCGACGACTGTGTTGTTTCGGGGGTGGCTGAGGCCTCAGTTGACGGCACCTTGATCAGATCATGCTCCGACTCCGAGGAGGATGATCGTCTATACCCTCTGATCAAACGGCGTCTCTTGTCAGATAAGCTAGGCAAAGACACTGACGCCAATGGATCATCATTGGCGTTGGCCGCATTCGAGAGATGAAGCCTTTTGAAGTACTTTTGAGTGATTGACTGGGCGGGTCTTTTGAGATCAACCTTCATGGACTTCACCGGCGAATCGTCTTCGGTCTTCACCGGTGAAGATGATAAAACATCCACCACCGGCTCTGGTTTCGACTTGACTGGTGTCACAACCGCCACCGGATTGCTCGTCACCGCCGGTTTTACCACTGGAGGTAGCTCTGAAATGTACTTGCTGGCATCACGCAGGTTAGGGTGTAATTTGATGGCTTGTAAAATGGCCTTGGTTTCGCGCTCTGGGAACTTCTTCCTAAGAACACTAAAGTTCTTCTTTACGTCCAATGATAGTTTTGGCCGTGATTCCTGAGACGGTTGCACCGGCTTGAAGGAGTACTCGTTCCTTAAGCTGTTCAGAGCCAAGGGCAACTTTCGCGACTCTGCCACGGGCGACGAATCCGGCACCTGGATGGTTTTATCTCCAGATGAAGCGTTTCCGTTCTCAGTCATGGCTGTATTGTTGCGTTATCAGCTGGCAAACAGGCGAAATCCAGATAGGGAACCAGGTAGTTTGTCTATTGCCAGACCATCCACGCGCGTCTGAAAGGACGCAGTGAAAAGTCGCGTGGAAACGAAAAACGGTTTTGAGCTGTGCACTAAATGTTGATTTCGGTTAGTGCACTTATTAACCCGGCTGTCAAGCAACCGCCGCACGGAATCAGGCGGCATGGTTCGACACCGGTGCTGCTAAGGAAGTGGACCAAAAGCGGATCGAAAGCTTGTCAGCAGGATCCATTGAAAAGTGCCCATTCCTTTCAATCGTTCACAAGTATCTGGAAGAAATGTTGATCTTCTACCTCATTCCTCCATGCGGCTTGAACTGTGATAGTGGCGCATCCCTTGTTGCCATGGAGATTTGTTGGCTTTCCAATTGAGTTCCGTACCCTCGGCTCTTTCCGTTTTTGGGGGGCTACATCAAATTAGCTAGGCCACGCCATTCAAGCCGCGCGATAATGGGCCTTGGTTATAAATCCATCTTCTGGCCTTCCAATGTTCTTGGGTATCAGATAACCGGCAACGGGCAAATGACACAAGCTATAAAACCACAAGAACGCACAATCCAATCACCACGTGATTGGATCAAATTGGCCATTCTGATATGTGTTATAGCTATCCTATCGCTAGGTGCACACGATATGGCTATCTCCCATATGGGTGTCCCCTATCCTTTCGAGAACCATGTTCCACTATTAGCACAAATTGTTGGCCAGATTATCCGCATTGGATCTATGACTTATGCCTGTCATCTCGCGAGTTGGTATCTTGATCAGTTCAGTATGCCGATTGCAGTTGCAATATTTGGACTGCTGATAGTTATGCTTCAAGGGACGTTGCGTGATTTTGTGGTTACTTGTGTTGTTACTGATGGAATGCTCAATGGTAGTTGGCTATTCACGCTAATCACATTGTTGCCCAGAATGTTGAATAACTTCTTCAATGGCGCAATTGCAGTAACGATCTCACGTTCGACGCTGTCCCAGCCATGGGTAGTGGCAGCAGCAGTGGTGGGAGTGGCTACCTTTGGACGTTTGGTTTTTCTACCGATACTCTTAAAGGCTGCAGACTGGATTGTTGACGTTTTAAACCTTACAGAGCCACCAGAAGTCTACCTTCCACCCTATGATTTTCACGTCTACATGTACATCTATGGAACATTTATTGAGCCAACCATTTCTTCGTTTGGACTTGTGTATCTAATCTGGCCAGGACTCAAAGGATCATCCAATCGTCATGTACTAGCCTTTACAGTGCTTATTCTGCTGATCAGGGGACGCGTTGTTGCTCTTGGACTGTTCTCGTTTTGGATCCAGGAGCCTTGGGTGATGGCATTTGCTGCCGAGGGACAATTTTTTGCTGAGGACCTCATCATGGCTGGTTTTACAGGGTTGACTTGGAAATATTTGTCCAAACCAGTAGAGAGGGAGGGCGTGTTGAGGATTTGATGAAATTTTATGCGCTCTATCTAGTCTGGGGTAACAATCGTAGAGAGGCTAGCCGGCACGTGTTTCCGCAGCCCTTTCTCCTTAGAATTGCAGCATAGAATCTGCCGAACAATGAATATTTCGAACATAGTTTCAGTATAGTAATTACCTCAATATTTAAGTTCCTTGAAGTCAAATTGCATTTCCAATAATCACAGGGCCGCAGCTGAAGTCCGGATTTTTTTGGTCGTGTATAATCAAACGCTTGACTGAATCCGGCACTACCCCGATTGGCTCGGGGTTGCCCATCGTTATCGACGCATCTCGGATAAGAGCATTGTCGACCATACGGCTCTTCCGCACGCGATGGTTGGCTACGATATTTTGTGCTGTGGTTCGAATGGAAACTACCAGCTGGGTACTGGTACTAGTGAGGATAGTGCAGTGCTTCAGAATGCGGTCATGCGGGGAGTGGATAGACTGACAACCAAGCCCACCTCGATCAGGTGCGGAGGGAACCACACGCTGATGCTAGTGGAATTGGGCGACGTATTCGTAGCCGGAGACAATAGCAAGGGCCAGTGTGGTCTCAATCCGCAAATTGACGGTCAAAATTGCTTATCGCAATTCACGAAGCTTCCCCGGCTCAACGGCAAGCGTTGGACGCACATTTCTGCAGGCTGGGACTTCTCGGTACTGATAAACGAAAATCACGAGGTGTACGCATGTGGTGAGGGGTTAAACGGTGAACTTGGACTTGGGGAGCTAGTTACTTCAACATTATCCAAGTCCGAGGAAGACAAATTCACGTTGCTGCGAATAAATCTTGATGTTGGCTCTGGGGTGCGGAGCATCAAATCCTCCATACACCATACGGTGATCTTGCTAAAAAGTGGTGTATTACTTGGATGGGGAAACAACAAAAAAGGCCAGCTGACACCAGTGAGTCTATCAAAGCTTGTTTGGAGTCCACAGACCATTGAAGTTGATGGAAACAGGGTCATTGGCTTCAACGTTTGCCGCGATTTTACATGTATCGAGCTGGCCTCTGGAAGGCGTCGTTTTAGAATTCTGGGAAAGAATGCCGAGGAACTGGAAGAGGAGGCCCACCAGATGTTTCAGGGGCTTACTGAAAATGGTTATGACTCGTTTACTGTCCACAACATGTGGACTTCGTTACATTTGTTCGGGTCCAATGGTGAGAACGCTACCGTCTCTTCGATGGGTAACAACTCTCATTCACAGCGGCTTGAGAGTTTGCCGGATCAACTGCAAAAAGATGCAATGGTCTGTTCCCTCGGCAGTGAGCACGGGCTGTTCCTGACGATGTCCAACAAAGTGTATGCGTGGGGTTGGGGAGAACATGGTAATTGTGGAGTCCAAAAGGAAGAAGGTACCGTCTTCGCTACGCCCAATGAAATATACGATGGAAGGGCCGGGAGAGTGGTACTGATCCAAGGTGGGTGTGCCACCAGCTGGGTGGTCACCCAGAACTGAGCGATCCAGAAAAGTTGGTTGGACATGGTGTTAATACACCATTGTTTTACGATTATATAATCTAGAGAATGTCACGAAGTATCTTTTCCATATTCATCTATGTTTAAACCACGAAAGATGGAAAATATGTTCGACGTAGTTGATCTTGGACAGTTGTATCAACAGACTAAAAAACTACCCCAAATCCTTCTGGATCATTGGACGTGAGCCAAAGACTCGAGACCGACAGAAACAGTGTGGAAGAGGGGCATACGTTTAGCTATTTTCTTACCGTCCAGAAGCAGATACACTGCTGCCGAGCAAACCATTCGTCGCACATCGACGGAAAAATTTGCTCGACAACAGACGATACTGTAGTTCATTCTTTGTGAATGAGAAGTCTGGAGGAGATGAAGAGCAGGTGAAAAATGCAAGGTGAAAAATTTGGTATGATGGCAGTTGGTGTGTCAGTAGTGGCTACTTCTGGCTCTCCAGGGGAGATCGGATTGGACGTCTGGAAAAAGAGGATTAATTATATTATTTAAACCGTTATGAGATTGATTAAAGCCATTGTAAAAGATGAGCATAAATTTTCAGTATAACCTTGCTGGCGAGGACGCTGGGTAATGGAGAATCAGTCTTGGAAAACCTCGCATATATCTGCATACTAGCTAGGTACCACCAAGATCACGCAGACAAAGATCTCGGAAATACGGAAAGCTTGACGATTTGATTACCCGAGACCACGTCAACGAATGCAGTTCCGCGTGCTACTTTATTTAACTAAAAGACCTGAGCTGAGATCTTACCTTTTTTGCTGAGCTTTCACCCCGCATGCACGTTACTTACTAGCATCATCTCTACGGGAGACATTTTCCAAAAAAATCGTTCGTAAAAAAGACAACTAAACCACATCTTCAAAACTTTTAAATTTTAAGCCCATCCAGCGTAACATCCAATTCGTACGGATCAGCAGCAAGAGTTGCCTCCAAGCTCTTGAGCTCTTCCAGTTCATTCTCAACGGTCCAGTTATCATACTCTTCTTGCGAATGAACGGGTCTTTCAGCCTGAGGAGTGATTCTATATGCGTGTCTGGCATCAGCAGAGTTCCAGTCCAAAACTGCCGAGTGCAAAACCCTTCTGTTGTCCCAAACAACAACGGTACCAGGTTCCCATCTAGCTCTGAGTTGCAGATCCAAAGCAGTCTCGACATGATTAATCAAAAATGAGAGTAGATTGTCACTCTCTTCCTGCTTCAATCCTATAATTCTTCTTCCAAAACTTTTCTGAATGTAAAGGATCTTCTTCTTCAAGACCGGATGCCATCTGACAAGAGGGTGGATCGAGTCCACTGGGGCCCTTCTCTCAATACCACCCTTATCAACTGAATCTTTGGCCTGGTCAGAAGATGTGTGCGCAACCTTTAGGTTGTCAATCATACTCTGCATCAAAGGTGATAATCTCTCGTAAGCCTCAACTGTGTCCGCAAAAATTGTGTCTCCACCACCGTTATCAGGACCTTGCAACATGGTGAAGACAGTTAATCCTGGTGGCTGCAGCTCGTAGCTGACATCTGTGTGCCATGTGATGTTGTTGACCCTTCTGGAAAACACCTTCTCAAACTCCTTGGGGCTCGACCTTCTGTAAGTTACGTGAAACTCTGGATATCCTAGTGGAGCACCGGAGGTTGGATGAACATGCAATGGGCCGTAGTAGGAACCCCACTGTTTGGCAAATTCGGGTCCTTTGTCCTTGAAATCTTGGTTTCTGAAAATCACCACACCACGCTCAGCCACCAGCAAGGCAAGGTCATCTTTGGCTGCTGGAGACAACTGCGATATTTGGATACCAGATCTGACCTCAGTTCCCAGCTTGGGGGTAACGTTCAATTGTTCGATTGGACCAGTGGCCTCGGCTAGCAAATTCTTGTACTGAGGGTCAGCAAACAGTCCGCGGTCTCTGTGCTTGAATGGCTGCAGCTTGGGGTATTTTTGCTTAGGATCCCACGAAGGCAGGAACTCTGGGTGCTGTGACAAGCTTCTGTCCTTGTCGGACACTGTGTAGACACCATCCTTGATGGAGTCCTCGTCTTTTCTGAAGTGGATATCCAGGTTTCTGGATTCAAGAACGAGAGGCATTTTGCAATGGTTGAAAAATTGGACTTTTGTGAGATTTGTACTTGTTCTCTGTGAAACTTGACTGGTACTTCAGACTCTGCTCTGACGAGATTTGCCGAGGATAGCCCAGACCTCTTATATAGCCCCGTCACGAATGCACGGTGCTACGACACTTGCGCCTACACATAGTGGCTCAAATGCACAATCGCAATTGTTTGCAGAGTGATGGTTCGGGATATTTCAAGCACACCATCTTATGGGGGTACCATTCCTTATTTGTGTAATTTGAGCTGCATCTTGCGCCATAGTGTGGCTTTACCGGTTTTTTAGCGATAAGCATGGCTACCGGATTTGGCGGGTTTGATCACGTCAAGAGGCCTCAGATCATCGGAGGCCGTTGTTGACGTGAAGGGGTGGTACGATCTCCGGCTTCAGGCTATTCTGACATGGTTTTAAGTTTCAAAGCCCATTAACAAGCCGCATCGTGGCTGTGTGTCGGCGTTAGTGGAGATTCGTGGTCTGGCAGGTGATGGGGATCCCGGTATTGGTGTGAAGTGAAAAATTGGCTTTAACATAGAAGACCATATTAATTTGTCGGCTAGTGAAATGGGTATTTGGTTACAGTTTATGTTGGTCAAGAGCATGAATTTCAGAACTTGGAAGCGATCATCTAATTGGCTGGCAGGGAAACACCCTCCACCCTATCTGCCCGTTTATCATCATCTACATGTTCACAGTATTACTTATTAACCCATAGTTTTTACCTAAAATTCAACTATAAACGATTCGCGTCGTTCGGATCGGCAGCGAGCACCTTTTGAACTTTTTTCAAATCCTCCAACTCTTTCTCTGGAGTCCAGTTCTCGTACTCCTCTTCAGACGCTACTGGTCTCTCTGCTTGTGGAGTGATTCTGAAAGCGTGTCTGATAACAGGGTTCTCCCAGTTTGTGGTTGCAGAATGAAGGACTCTTCTGTTATCCCAAAGAACAACAGTTCCTGGTTCATAACGGGCATGAAGTTGAAGGTCCAATGCGGACTCAATGTGGTTGATCAGAAACTTGAGAAGAACATCGCTTTCCTCGTCCTTGAGTCCAATGATCCTTCTTGCAAAGTTACTGTGGACATAAAGCAACTTCTTCTTCAAAACTGGATGGTATCTCACAAGAGGATGAACATGCTCCACCTCGTCTCGTCTCAAAATGCCACCCTTGGTCAACGAATCAGTGGCTTGGTCCACTGAAGAGTGGACAACCTGTAGACCATCAAGTAGAACCTTCATCTTGTCAGACAACCGGTCGTAGGCCTCAATTGTATCCGCAAACAGTGTGTCTCCTCCACTAGGTGGACCTTGCAAGACACAGAAAAGAGTCACTCCAGGTGGCTGCAATTCGTATGAAACATCTGAGTGAAACGTAATGTTGCTGAGTCTTCTAGCAAACGTCTTCTGGAACTCGTCTGGATTCGATCTTCTGAAGGTGATGTGGAACTCAGGGTGGTTCAATGGAGCACCCGAGGTCTGGTGGATATGCAGAGGTCCAAAATGGCTTCCCCATTGCTTGGCAAACTCGGGAGTCTGGTCCTTGAAGTCTTGGTTTCTAAAGATCACAATCCCACGTCTTTCGACCAATAATGCCAGGTCGTCCTTGGCTTCGGGAGAAAGCTTGGTAAGCTGAATTCCAGACCTGATCTCGGTACCAAGCTTGGGTGTGATATCCACTTGTTCAACCTTTCCTGTAGCCTCAGCCAGAAGCCTTTCATAACCAGGATCACCAAAGAAGCCACGGTCTACATGCTTGAAAGGCTGCAGTTTGGGGAATTTCTGAGACTTATCCCAAGTGGGCAACCATTCTGGATGGTCGGCCTTTTTGACATCAGGCTCGGCCAGAGTGTGCACGGTTCCATCCACGTTGTCCTCGTCGGCGCGGAAGTGTGTGTCCACGTTGATTGAGTGAGTAGCAATGACCATTTTAGTGCAGTTGATTCAAGCGTGATTTTCCATGGAAGACCTCAAAGCGGAAAATCGCTCACCTTTATAAACCGCCGCCATGATCAGTTCCCCGGAAAATTCTATGGCTGACACAGTTAGGGATTTGAATAGTGTAGCGCAATAGGCACGGGTCATTTTACCAGGTGTGGCGTTTTGACACTTAAGGTTTGAGTCGTGTCCCAACCACCTCGGGTGGATCAGCCCCGTGGAAATGGGCCCATGCCCAGTTTTCGGGGGGTTTGTTGCAAGTCCCGGCAAACTCGCGATTCTCGTACTAAAACGACTTTCAACTCCGGATCCACTTCGTTTATTATCAGGTATTTGCTGAGCCTTCAAAACACAGATGCTGTTGGGGGATGCTGATAACAGCCGCCCACGAGTCCAGTCGGCCTGTACAGTTTGCCGAAAGCGTAAGATCAAGGCAAGTTTTCACTACGTCGGCTAACGGGCCGTTCCATTGCCGGACTTAACTAACACATGTCTACAGTGTGACAAAACAAAGCCTGTTTGCAACATTTGCCGCAAGAACAATGCGTCTCATCAGTGTGTGTACTTAGAGCCCTCTTGGGTCAAAACTACTACTAATGGCGAAGCCAAGTCGCCGCTTAAGCAAGAACAGAAGAAGCCAAGTCCCTTGGCAGAGATACGGTATAAGCTGCGGAAGCTGGAGGCATCCATGGCCATCAAAGATCCGGAGACAAATGTCGGACAAATTGATCCGGAGGAAACGATGGAATTTTATCCTAAAAATATAAAATTCGACCACGTCAATTGCACTGTGGCCACGATGTTTGGAGCCCTTTCGCTGAAGGGAGTAATACAGAAAGACCCGATCTTAAACGCATTAAGGGATCGGTTCAGCACCAAATCTGTGAAGGAGAAGATTTCCGAACCGGTTGGTGATCCCTCTGCAGACCTGGCTCTTGAGAAAAAGTTCCGGAGCCGCCTTTTGGAGACAATTCTGAAAGACGATTTGAGTAAAGAGCCGTTATCACAGAACGATAAGCACAAACGAACGCCCCTAGCAAAGCTTTACTTGAGCCGAAACAAGGTGAGAGTAGAGCTTGAGATTGTAGAGCGTGTTTCGGGCGTTGCTCCGCCAAAAAAGGCAGCCTGGTTGTTGATTGATCGTTACTTCAAGTTTGTTCATCCATTCTTCCCATGCATGGATCAGGAGCTCTTTCTGGGCCAAATGCGAAACATGATTGGTCCCAGATCGTCTGAGGATGTTCCGATTCAGTTCAACATTGAACGAAGAATGGACCTTTTGACTTTAGCATTGTTTTTCGTGGTTATTCGTTTTGCATATCTCACGTTCTTCGATGGTGGGGTGCCCATTGATGCTGAGTCCGACGAGATGAAATACCTTCTAGCTCATGCAGTTAAGGAACACGTGATAGTGGCTGCTCAGATTTGTGTTACACCTTTTCAACTACTCAAACTATGCACTTTGGAGTATATCCAAATAGCACTGCATTTGAAAGTGTATCAGCAGCTTGCGCCTGAAGAGGGTGATGTTGCCGATTCGCAGGTGTTGACTGGGATGATCTACCAAATGGCAATTTCCATAGGAATGAACAGAGATCCTTCGGGCCACTCCGAGTTCCAATTGGACCATCGTGGGACCAATTTATGGCGGAAAATGTGGTATACCATTATCTCCTTCGACACCTTCAACGGCTTCCTGCTGGACAGATTACCTCCAGTGGTGACTTCCTACTTTGACACCAGATTGCCAAACTTTGGTGGAGTCCAGAATGCCAACAATTTGGATCTTACCCTCGAAAAAGAAACAATCGACAACATGCTGGAGAAGAGAGGTCTGGATGAACGATACAAAGCCATCACCAATATGGCCTTGGACATCCGCAACCCTCCCAAAGTGACGTCAGTCATTGATGCTGTAAATGACCTCGAAGCTTATTTGCTCGCTCACTATAGTGGGTACGCCGACCTTTTGACTCCGTCAAATGGTATTCATGTGGATAACGTACGAAAGGCCAAACGGGTGATGCAGTACACTGACTGTTGTTCACTGGTGATAACGGTATTATACCATTTGTTTCTTCACTTTGAATCCCAACAGAACGCTAGCCTTTCATTCCATTTCCTCCAAAAGTGTCTTACGATGAGCTTTGAGGTATCCACCAACTGCTGCTCTTTATTGAATAGGATGAAAGTATTCTTCGGACCTGGTTTGGAACCAATAGTCACTCCAACAATTCAGTTTGCGCTTCAGTCCATGTTTTGGTTACAGTATAGTATTTACCTGAGGTGCAAGCATTGTATGTACTATTACACTGTTCAGGGGAATCTATATCCTGATCTCAAACAGAAGTTCGATCTTTTGGCTGAAAGATCGCGCCACACCATCAAGGTGGCCCTGTATTATTTCCGGAAAAATGCCAAGCGCAACTATTTTGCGTGGAGAACAGTCAAACTGCAACTCTACATCACTGAGAGAGTCAAGCAGGTTAGAGATTGCTTCTTCAACCCAGACACTCACCAAACGAATGCCTTTGTGGCTCCTCGATCGAACATTTTCTTCAAGTACTCCACAGATCAGCTGGATGACCTGTACACTATTTGCAGTCTTGACAGGATTAGTTTCTACGGACCTCAGGAATCTGAGGTTGCGGCCTCACTTGACGGAGATGGAGTGTCTGGATTAGAGAGCTTAGACAGCGCGTGGTTTGATGTCATGGTCCACAACCAATTGGACCAGTTCCTTGGTGATTCATATCTTTCCAGCGATCTCGCAGTCGACCGAACTGGCTTCCTGGATGCACCTCTAGGAGACTTCAGTTTCCGGTATATGTGAATATAGAATAATAAATGCTGCATAGTTAAGAGCCCTGACGTAACTGTCACGTGCGTATCGAAGCCTGTAGAATTCTTTGGACATTTGCACGACCTGGAGATGGACTAATGCGCCACACGTTCAAGACAGATTGGTGTTCTTTTCGGAAGACTAGAAGGAGTTAAAGTATCAGTTTTTTTTCTTATGAAAATTGGAATCCAGGCAAAAGCCTTGTTATTAGCTTCATTTCTCTGTTTGGTGTTTGCATTAGAAGATCCGTCGCTTGTGTGTCCGGACGATAACCCCGAGAACTGCTATCCATTGGAATTCGAACCCACTACAGAGTGGCAGGAGATCAGGTCTGGACAACGCCTCCCTCCAGGGTTACACGTTAGGTTGGACATGAGTACTGGGGTACAGCAAGCAAAGCTGGTGGACCCTTCAGAAGGTGAAGAAGGAAAAAACGATGATGTTATTGCGGTGGTTGTTGAAGAATCACCCGCTACTGAACAGCCGGCAAGGGACACTTCCTTTAAGGAAAACGCCCGGATACCCAATCACGAGCGGGATGAGTTTTCCGTGGCAATGGAGACAGTCTCAGAGGCTGTGTCAGGAAAGGAGGTGGGTGAATCTGTTCTGATTGAAAATCTGGAGGCTCTGAGTCATCTGGCGCACGAGTATGACTTTGGTGTTAAACTGTCTAGAGATATGGAACCATTATTGAAGTTGACTGGATTGACATCAGGAAACAGCGATTGGGATGTCTTTCAGGTCAGAGAACCTGCTTTGAGGGTGATTGCGGCTTCCTTGCGGAACAATGGGGTTGCTCAAGCCACACTGCTAGGAGACACTGTATCAACGAAGAACACTGCTTTGGTCCAGAAACTTTTACAGACTATCACGACCGAAAAAGATGCAATTCTCCAAAAACGTCTTTTGGGAGTTCTGAGTGCAATTCTGCAGGATCAAGTTGGAGTCCAGGTTTTTAATGAGATTTCTGGCACAGACCAACTACTGTCTACATATCCGCTAATAGCCCTTCATGCACAACCACGAGTTGTTCAAATCCTGGAAGATTTAGAAGCCGATGGCGAGAAAGCCGAGGATCACGAGAAAAGAGAATATCCTGAAGACGATTTTGTTCCGAGGTTGCTTCAGAAACGTCTCTTACAAACGAAAGCTGACGATGCTACTGGAAAATCTCTCCTGGAAGCGTTGGTATTACTCAAAAATAAAAACACCGGATTGAAGGCTTCTTCTGAGTTGTTGAACTGGCTTAGCAGTGAAGCCAAAAGAGTTGCCAATAAGGACTACTCTGCCCGCTTGGTTGAGATCAGACACAGAGTGTTTGGCAATCCGATGGGTATGAGAAAAGCATTTGCAGATGAGTTGTGAGGATATAGCACTTCTTCTCAAAAGAAACGACTCAGGCTAGGCAGATTAAGCCAGTGGTAGTACTTACAACAACATATAGCTCTCTTAGAGAGATAATGAAACGATACGCTAGTTGTCACTGTCAGATTGATCTCATCACACTAATCAAGTGCCGTACTAGTGATAGTCAAAGCTGAAAAGTTAAAATAAACCAATTACTACTGTTAATGGTTAAAAGTGAAAGATATCAGTTATGCTAATTATCACTACTAATGAGACTATTGGGCGAGATATATCACCATCATCAAAGACACAGGTGCGGCTCAAGAAGTGAAAACTTCCCTGACACCAACCAAAATTGATTTTGATTCGATTTAAGGTACTACGAATTTTTTTTGTTTTTTTTTCAAAGTTTCACTATAGCTAATGATCATAAAGAAATTAGATGGTAAAGACAAATATACAAGACAGTAATCTAGTTATTCCGCTTTCAACCCGCTTATTTCTTAACGGCCTTTTGAGCAGCCTTGGTGACCTTACCGGCCTTGTCAGACTTCTCAACAGACTTGATGACACCAACGGCAACGGTCTGTCTCATGTCTCTGACGGCGAAACGTCCGAGAGGTGGGTAGTCAGTGAAAGCCTCAACACACATTGGCTTGGTTGGGACAAGCTTGACAATGGCGGCGTCACCAGACTTGACGAACTTTGGAGAGTCTTCCAAAGACTTACCGGAACGTCTGTCGATCTTCTCGAGCAAAGTCTCGAACTTACAAGCAATGTGAGCAGTGTGACAGTCCAAAACTGGAGAGTATCCAGCAGAGATCTGACCAGGGTGGTTCAAGATGATGACCTGGGCGTTGAAAGATTCAGCACCCTTTGGTGGGTCGTTCTTGGAGTCACCACAGACGTTACCTCTTCTGATCTCCTTGACGGAAACGTTCTTGACGTTGAATCCGACGTTGTCACCTGGGATACCCTCAGTCAAAAGCTCGTGGTGCATCTCGACGGACTTGACTTCGGTGGTAACACCGGCTGGGGCAAAGGTAACGACCATACCGGCCTTAATGACACCGGTCTCAACACGACCGACTGGCACAGTTCCAATACCACCGATCTTGTAAACATCTTGCAATGGCAATCTCAATGGCTTGTCAGTTGGTCTTGATGGTGGCTCAATGGCGTCGATAGCCTCCAAAAGGGTCTTACCCTTGGAAACACCGGCCTTGGTCTCCTTTTGCCATCCCTTGTACCAAGGACAGTTGTCGGAAACGTCAATCATGTTGTCACCGTTCCAACCAGAGATTGGGACGAATGGAACAGTCTTTGGGTTGTAACCAACCTTCTTGATGAAGTTGGAGGTTTCCTTGACAATCTCGTCGAAACGAGACTCGTCCCACTTGACGGAGTCCATCTTGTTGATGGCGACAATGAGCTGTCTAACACCGAGGGTGAAAGCCAAAAGAGCGTGCTCTCTGGTCTGACCATCCTTGGAGATACCAGCCTCGAATTCACCGATACCACCGGCAATGATGAGAATGGCACAGTCAGCCTGGGAGGTACCAGTGATCATGTTCTTGATGAAATCTCTGTGACCTGGGGCGTCAATGACAGTGACGTGGTACTTTGGAGTCTCGAACTTCCACAAGGCAATGTCGATGGTGATACCTCTTTCACGCTCAGCCTTAAGCTTGTCAAGAACCCAGGCGTACTTGAAGGAACCCTTACCCAATTCGGCGGCCTCCTTCTCAAACTTCTCGATGGTACGCTTGTCAATACCACCACACTTGAAGATCAAGTGACCGGTAGTGGTAGATTTACCGGAGTCGACGTGTCCGATGACAACGACGTTAACGTGAGTCTTTTCTTTACCCATTGTAGATTATGATGATACTCAGGAGGAAATGCTGTTGATTTCTGGTGTGAGAGACAGAGGAAGAAAAAAGAGAGCTGAGGGGTGCCAAAGTGGCAACTGGGGATCTCAACTTGATTTATACTACAAGCCCCAGGCCTGCAGACAGATGTGAAAAAATTTTCATGCTAGAATGTTCGCAGTCGGTTCCAGCAGTACGCGCGGACCTGGAAAATGACTGACCAATCAGCGCAAAGTACAGGGGGTTGACCCACCTGTGTGCATATCTATTGAGGACAGCACTACGGGGCCTAAACTGGGCCACTAAGTGGAAGAGATAGGTGGAATTTTAGAGCTTCCCCTTTGTGGATTCGCTTTAAAACTTGACTTCAGGATGACATTCATCCGGGGTATAGATTTCTACTTTTTTTATCCAAAATTTGCCAATTTTGAACCCAAATCACATAGGTGGAGATCACAGCCTCATGGATTTGAACAGAAAATTTTTTTTTTAAATGGAATGGCCTGCATGAGTAGTGTGATTCTCAACCCTTGATCAATTTTTTTTTCTCTCTGTTTGGTCTAAGTTAAGATAGGATTGAAATTTGCCGATTAAGCTCATGAAGGCGATATAACGAGAATCTACAAGATTCTGTGATCTTTGGCAGATTTGTGGAGTATATATACCAATTGAGCGAGTTGTAGACGATAAGTGGTTGTGAATTAATTTAAGCGGCAAAACTCCGGCGTAGCAGATAACCAATGCCTTGATAGAATCAAGAAATCACGACGTTTAATTCTAAATCTCTCACATTTGAGAGTCCTATGAGTTAATAAACGTCAGGCGGTCTTATTCACTTAAATTGCATTGAAATTTTGCCAGGTATTGATTGTCTACTGGGATGCACAGCTCTGACAGCGATTCACAAAGCCTAATTGCGGTTCCCAATCAGGAAAACTCCCCCGCAGCGGCTCATCGCCGGTTGCGAGCCTTGGTTATGGTGTTGTGAGCGCTGTGAGTCAGCCGCACCCCTTGTGATCTTTGGTAGCCGCTCTATTATGTTTATTCTTTGTTTTACAAGACAAAAACTTCAGTTTTGTTGGTTTGAATTCCGTTAAAAAGACTAGGGGGACTAGCAGTACTCTTAATTAGTTGGTATCCTTTTGTGGCAATGCCCTTTCAATCGTTTGGCATTAGGCGCTCAGGAAGCCTCAAGCTAGACCCCACAGGCAGTTACAAGAGAGTGTTGCAGCCGATAAACGGATATAACACCGTTTGTTCTGTCCCTAGCGCTGACTTTGGGTCCCCGAAAAGAAAAGTCAGTGATACGGTTCCAGACTTGTTTGAGCCGAAAAAACAAAAACCTGAAATTTCCAAGTTTTCAACATTCTTGCCAAATGTGTTGATCGAAGACAGGTACTCTGAACAAGTCAATCAAACACAACGCAGCACAAATTACGTTTCAAAGTATGAACAAAGGCCAATTGAGATCTACGAAGATGCGGAGAAAAGATCCTATGGTGATACTGGTGAATTCACTTTACGAAGTATCATTAGGCCGTTCGCTTTGGCTGACTTTCAAGACTCTCCCACAAGGAAGTCGGTGACCTTCTCAGAACAAGAACAAGTTCATCGGTTCGAGTCATCTGAAGCTTTAAATTCTTTCAGATCCAACCCGATGGAGACTTCACATTCCTTCAGATCGATTCCTTCACCTTTTCTGTCACAAACAGAAGAACACGACGAACAAGAGGAAGAAGACGAGGACGGCGCTAGTATTTTAGAAACAACTGAGATGATCGAACGAGAATTTCAAGATACTGAATCCTCTCTGTTGTTACCTACTGAGTCAATGGATTCAAATCAAGGGCCGCAAAACTCACCTTGTCGCCGTCCTGCTCCCTCCTTCGCGACATCTGCGTTTCCCAGTCTTGACGAATTAACTGCTGACGGGGAAGAAAACAAAGAGAACCACAATTCAGGTCCACAAAATCCCATTTCAACTGGAACTGAGCCTTCGGATAGTTTGGTTATTGGCCAAAACTACTCCGAAAACTACTCTGCCAACTTTGCGAAACCGGCAACAGCAACGCTTCCATATCTCGATACGGGTGCTATACCGGGACTGAACTCTCCCATGATCAATGAGATTCACGAGATCGATAAGGAAATACGAAAATTACAGAAAAGAAGAGAAGCTATCATAGGCGGCAACACAGTGTACATTCCTTCTGCCGGTTCTTCCAAAATGAAGCAATTTATCAACCCCGAAGCAGAGCCTTTGAACCAAGCATCACAAAAACAGGAAACTCACCATCACAAGTGGAGATCTTTAAGACTTGTCTTTGCCCATTCCAAAGCTTACGAGTCCATAGTGGAGGTGATTAAAACGCCGCAGCTGGAAATTAACTCGGAGGAACATACGGAGCCATGCACAGCCGCATCTACGGAAAGCAGTCAGGGCTCTAGACGGAAACATGGCTGGAGGAGTATTTGGAGGCGCCGGGTTCCATCCCAAGCCACGTGAATATTTTTCACAGCAGATGTTATCATTGATCCTTTTTTTTTCTTTTTCAATTCGATACCGAGCTGACTAAAGCGTGAAATAATAACACAGCTGCACGTAGGATTCGGTTATCAGCGGAAACGAAAAGACAAGCGATGGCGATATGCGTTTTGCGCGGAATCGAGTTGCCGTATCCGGCAACGTGATATCATGCTGCTTTGTTGATAGAGAACGAGTACATGCGTGATTCTTTACATCTAGCTTGGTTATCTGAGTGGATTTTTGTATCTTGTCTTGACCGATCAACATATTCCTCTTCTTTATATACTTGACAGGCTTGTCGTTCGTTAGAACAAGGACATTGCATAGACTCGCATCAAAATGCCGCCAAACGATCCGCCCGATGTGAGTCAGTTGAGTCCGGCTTACGCTCAACCAATATACATGAACGCTGAGGCTGCCGTCATGGCAAATACAACATCACAAAGAAGAGGTTCGATCCGACTTTCTTCCTCTTTCAACCCGAGGCCAATAAATTTTCGTGGCTCTTTCTCGTCACATGAAGATGAGGAGGAAACTACAGGTCTTTTGACCGATACTGCAAATGGCTACGGTGCTGCTGAAACTGCATATATCCAGACAAGGAGAAGCTCTCTTGCTTCACGTAAGGGGAGCCTTGCTGTGATTCCATCCAACTATGCGGAGGGAACTTTTTCGGAGGCAGAAACGTCTTATTCCACGGAGTTCAGAATGTTGACAACATACTCCGTGCCGCTGGTGGTGACATTTTTGTTGCAATACTCGTTAACTGTGGCATCAGTGTTTTCTGTAGGCCAACTCGGCAAGTCAGAACTCGCTGCTGTATCATTGGCAAGTATGACTGCCAACATATCTGCTTACGGAATCATTCAGGGAATCAGCACTTGCCTTGATACATTATGCCCACAAGCATATGGACGCAATGACTACAAGACTGTGGGGCTATACTTCATGAGGTGTACTGCCCTACTGTTTCTGGTTTATGCGTTCATTTTTGTTCTTTGGGTTTTTTTCTCCGAGATGATTCTAATAGCAGTGATCCCAGAACGTGAACTGTGTGGTTTGGCATCGCAGTATTTGCGTATTCTTGTATGGGGAGTTCCTGGATTCATCATCTTTGAGAATTTGAAGCATTATTTACAAGCCCAAGGCATTTTTCATGCCTCCACATATGTGCTGATGGTGTGTGCTCCAATGAATATGTTGCTGAACTACGAGCTCGTGTGGAATCCCCTGTTTGGTATTGGTTACGCAGGCGCTCCAATTGCAGTCGTCATTACCAACTGGATTATGGCGGGTCTTCTTGCTCTATACACATGGAGGGTCAGAGGCTATGAATGCTGGTGTGGATTCACTCCAGACATCTTCCGCAACTGGCACCGTATGCTTGCACTCGCCGGACCGGGAGTTCTAATGGTTGAGGCAGAATGGTTGGCTTTTGAGATCATTACGTTCTCTGCATCCAGGTTTGGAACAGTTGTTCTGGCTGCCCAGAGCGTAGTCTCAACAACATGTGTGTTGGTTTACCAAATTCCGTTCGCTATCAGCATTGCAGCTTCTACACGCGTGGCTTGGTTCATTGGGTCTGCATCAAAGGATGCTGCAAGAATTGCGACCCATTGTGCGATGATAATAGGGCTTGGCTTCGGTGTTTTGAACGCTATTTTTTTGGCCACTTTCCGTCGAAAAATTGCATCATTGTTCTCTTCTGATCCAGATGTGATCGATCTGGCTTCCCAAGTGCTGATAATAGGTGCCATTTATCAAGTGAACGACTCCCTCAGTTGCATGTCTGGAGGAGTCCTTCGTGGCCAAGGTCGCCAGCACATTGGTGGTTGGCTCAATCTATTTTCGTACTATTTCCTTGCTCTCCCTGTGGCATTTTTGTGTGCATTTGGGTTTCATATGGAACTATTCGGTCTGTGGATTGGAATGGTGATTGCCCTGTTCTTTATTTCGATCTCTCAGTCGTATTTTGTTCTCACCGCAGATTGGTCTGCTATCATCAAGCAGTCTGTACAAGATGCGATTACAGAACACACCTCGGGCACTCCATTGGTGGAACATAATCTTTTGTCTCCGTCCGTTTCGGTCATCTCAAATGATTTTTGAGTGCCATCCTAGGAACTAGATGCTTGAGCTGTTATAATCGTTTATGAACCTTGTGTCCGTTTCAACCTGTCCTTACCCACTACAAGCTTCACTCACTTTCATCTAAATTTTCATATAATTTTATCGGCTTTTCAGACACTCTCATTCTGCTCATTCAGAAATTTACTACCAGACAATACCCTGTTTTGGTTCATTACTACTGTATCATTAAAGCTATGAATCACAATTCGATCAACAGCTCCTCCTCCTTGTGAACAGGTTTAGGCGGTTCTTGATATGCTGTTGGCTGATAACTGGAAGCCTCTGGAGGAATGCTGGGATACTGAAGCGACTGTTTCCTTTCACTAATCGGCGACGTCGCCTCCGGAGCAGGTGGATACTGCGAGTAGTCCTGGGAGGATTGCTGCTGATATGGAGAGACCGATGGGTGAGAGTCTGGATGTGGCTGATAAACTGTAAATGGATCCGAAGGAGCTCCCACGGAACCCTGAGAGGGAGCACCTAATGGATAAGCCGGGTAATTCTGTTCAACAACTTGCTGTGGCAGCGACGATCCCGAAAATTGCTGGGGAATCGGGGGTTGTGAGTAAGTCTGTTGAGGCTTCGCATACTGTGCTTGCTGTGAGTATTGTGGTTGTGGATAATGCAGAGCTGGTGATGAAACACCGTCCGTCTGAGCAGAGATCGGATATGCCGGTGCGTTGCGTCTGTAAACATTCTGTAGCCGGATATCCAACAAACGATCATAGGCAGTCATTATCGCATCCAATTTCCCATACATCTCTAAGAATTTCTGTTGCTTGGAAGCGGAGTCAGCCAAGGCTTTGGAAAGTTTGGGTCTCAATCCCGCAACACTATTAGACAGATTCTCCACCGAAGGGTCAACAGTTGCACTGCCAGAATCGTGCATCCGACTCACCAGCTGCGAAAACAGTAAAATGTTGACCTTTTCTGTATGAGACAGATCGTCGGAAACAGCCTCCTGGTACTCAACGTCTTCCTGTGAGAGGGGTGGCTGGTAAAGCGGCGTGTGCTGATAGGCCGGCTGGGGCAGAACCGAAGAAGGCACTGAGGGAGTCACCGATAGAGGACTGCGGTAGCTATCCTGGTTCGTGGGAATAAAAGAAGACGCTTGCGGCAACAGATTGTCGTAAAGGCCTGGGACTTTGGGCTGGACAGAAGTAAGAGCGGGAACTGACGATACGGGCACGGCCTCTGAGACCGATCCCAGTCGCATGTCTTGCAAACTAGCAGCTATTGCCGCCTTCATGTCTTCATCTTCCTCATAATCATCCACCACAGACTTCACGGGCTCAACAGCGCTGGGAGCCTCCTGTGGATTTCCTGCCTCTCGAAGAGACAGTTCGATGGCCCTTCTGAGGTCATCGTCGTCATCTGCGAGACCGACTTTTTTGGTAGAATCTGACCTTGCATGACCTTTTGAAGACTTCGTCTTTTCCTTATGTTCTTCATAACACGAATCGCAAACTCGAACCGGAATGGTTATACCCAATTCCGGCAATTGGCAGCTCTTGGACGAGTGCGTTCCACAAAAAGCTCCACCACATGACCGACAATGGTGCCGCCTATTCACAAAAGAGAATAAGGTGGAACATTGCATACAGGCATCCGATTCCATCCATTCCGGTGCCACCCTCGACTCGATGAAGGCAGGGTCAGCCACCGAACTGATCTCGGGGAAGTCGAAAGTGCCCTCATCGGTTAGTTTCTTGTACACAGAGGTGACATAGTTAAGCCTAGAATTTGTGCTGAACATGACTGACCATGATTGAATGGATTCCAGCAATTGGCTTTTCACCTCTGGGTTAATATGGCGATCGTGGAGATAAGCTGCCAGTGGATCGCAGAATTCCTTGGATGATACCTCAACCACAAAATGTTCGCCTCCGTTCTTGATACAAAAATCAATCAGTTTCAGGGCAGACTTCTGTGTATTGGGGTTCTTATTGGTCATAAACCGTTTCTTGAGAGCTCTCATGGCATCTCTCGCTGGCACAGCTTTGGAACGGATCAAGTCGCTTACCTCCAAGGCGGCAGCCAAATCGATCTCACCGAAGGCGATGGATTCAGCCGTTGCCTCTGCAATTTTCTCATCTATGTTCGGCACCGATGCACCCCCAAACCATGACATCTTGGGACAAAAACTGTAGACTTTTGAATAATCGGTTGTGGATTCAGATACGGAGTGTTGCCCCCTTTTGGGTGAGACATTCGAAAGTCGTGATGTGGCGAAGATATTTGTTGGTACACTTCAAGTAGTGCATAACCAATAGCCTGACGTTTTTGGCAGCGAGTGTGACAGTTGACAAGAGATACTTGGAAAAATATTTGGCTGGTATACGAATGGCTCTACGATACTTATGCTTACCAGGTCCAAAAAATTCGTGCAAATTTGGTGGTACCCATATTCCCTGTAGAAACCCCTGGTGGGATCCTTGGGCTTTAACATAGAAGTCGCCGTTTGCCATACTGAATGGCCAGACCAACAGGCAGTTCTATTTATATGCCTACCGTGATTGAAATTCGAAGGCATTCTCACAAGTCCATCTACGGTCACATTTACGACAAGCATTAACGTGTACATTCTCAACTATATCGCTGAGTGCAATCATCCTAAATTCACAGATATGTTAAATCTCCAGTCTCCAGCTCTTTTCTCAATCCACAGGCTCATGCCCATGGTTGAATCAGCAGAAAAAGTATAGCGCAGACCCGACACCCATCATGCCTACAGAAAGCCACCACCAGAAGTCATAGTCGAAACCCGGATTTTTCACTGCGTTCGTGCGGAACCTGTTCTCCAAGGACCTCTTCACCTTGTTTGAAACGCTCTCTGCCGTTGCCTCAGAGGCTGAAGTTGGGTTCAAGGTTTGCGTAGGAAGCATAAGAGGCGGCCTATAAGCAAGATACAGCGGCTGCATCGCGGACCCATCACTTTCGTAGAGCTGGAGCTTGTACCGACCGTGGTACGAGTCCACGCTTAACGCATAGGAACGGAACTTCTCGATTTGGTGGTAGCGCGAGTAAGTAGAGACTCCGTTGTCAGAGCATGGCTCACTAAGCAGCTGGCGACCATCAACTTCAAACGGCGTCAGAATCAATGTTCCATTTTTAAGCTCCTCGTAGGTGCCATGCTGGTAAATGAGCGCTGCAACTGGACACGAGTGATTCTGAGGGTTAGGGGTGATCTGATAAGTCGCTTCTTCAAAATGACCGTCTTCTGTGAAGGAGTAAGACAAACCGGGCAACGCAGGCTCGATCAGCAGCTCGTCCACTGGATCGTAAAAATCTGGGCCTGTAAATACGCTATTCGACTTCGACGACCAAGTACCCACTAGCGACATATCGTCTCCACTCACCAGAGAAAGACGTAGCAGCATCGCCACGAAAAGTGCGATTCTGAGCATGGTTTTTGAGAGTGAAACTGAAGGAGAGATATGTAGGGGTTATGCCCGCTGGAAGCTGACAGTAATACCGGATTGGCGTCGTGTAAATAGGCTCAGTCGACTCCGCAAAGAGTGAAATATGAGTGCAGAACTTGAAAAACACGCTTGGAAGAGCGTACAAAGGGTGGATGGTAAGAAAACTAACAAGCCGAGAAACCGTGTCTCATCTGTGAGCAAAGTCCTGAGGGAGGAATGGTCGTGTGCAGTGCAAGTGTGCGGGGCTCAAAAGAGAGACCGGTGAAGAAAGGCTAAGTCTGAGGCGAGTCAGCGCTTAGGAAGAATGAAGATTGATATTCATACGGGGTGGGCCCAGTTCTGGGTTTTACTAGCTGGAAAATCACTGCCATCTGCTACCAACCGTTCTTGCTGAGACAACCGCTATGCGCTAACCCTTCCGTTCCGTCTCAACTCTGCCAGAAATTCCCGTGCCTATAATTCCAAGCCTCTGCTCCGCCACTCCGACTCAGCACTCAGCCACTGGCTCACCCCCACCAGCCCACCCAGCAAGTGCAGCCGCACGCAGCCCCAAATCAGATACGTTCGGGCACTACCATATGAAACTTTTCAGGGGCCAACGCAACACAGCTTTACGCAAGCGTATATATTCGAGGAATATTCCTGTTTCGTAGCTTTTTTACAATTTGTAGAATCCAATTGAGTCGTTAGAGTGCCTTGTGGCGTATAAAACTATGCAGGGGACGGAGCCGAGGTGGCCTCCGTATGATGGGCTGATGAAAATGCAAAGCGAGGAATGGGATATGCAGCAAAGCGGCTCTCGGAGCGGTTGCGGCTTTGACAGAGCAGATATGAGTGGCTTGAGCATCACGGTTGCTCAAGTGTCAGATTGTTTGATCAGAATGTTTGATCGGAGGGCTTGACCATAGTGGCTTGACCTCCTACACAGGCTTCTCTCTGTTTGGGGTAACCATGGGCGAGGGAGCAAACGAACTCATCGAAGACATACACTGATCAAAGATAGAGTCAACATCGCTGTCATCTGTGTGGTGATACTCAGCAAATACCTCGGGATCTGGTGATGGTGAAGGAGCTGGTGCCGCAGGAGTTTGCGCCTGGAGCGATTGCCAGTACCAGCGAGCACGACGGGCGAACTCTGGAACCACTGGCGTTTCCGAACATCTCAGTAAACCAGGAGATGCCTGGGAGATGGCTTCCAGAAGTCTCACAGTGACGCTCCGTGATACTCGCGGAAGGGTACATCCGTATTGCTCAGAGTCGTAGGCAATCCCACAGATCCGAGAGAGCACATCGTGCACGGAAGCAGCCAATTCTGCGGGATGGATCGAAATGAGATCCGTGGAATAAAGGGTGCAGTCACATAGAAACAGCTTAAGAGCAACGACGTCGGCATTTTGGTCCGAAAGAAAGCCCGAGGCAGTGGAGTTCTCGGCGGCCGTCATCACCCATTCGTGGATGGTAGGCTCAGTCACTTGCCAGTCAAGAGTGTCCAGAACATGACGCTCCATCTGCACGAACATGCCCTCGTCATAACCACTAACAGGCTCACAAAGCGAGCAAAGCTCTGCTAGTCTAGGGATCCGAGCACGCACCGAGGGACCCAGAAAGCGGCCACCGGTAGGGCATGCAGCCGACGAGAACGGGTGATTGAAGCCCCCATCAGCCTTTGCCGCAAGCCACAAACACGTTGCTGCAACCAGCTTGGCCTGTTCTACCAGAACAACTCTACGAGAGCAGTACCGATCGAAAAGTCTGGCTGCCCTGTAGAAGGCCATTGGCGCGACTCGTGTTTTCCGGGCACATCTGGCCAGAAAATCCATCAGCGGAATTCTGTAGTCGGGCGTAAGCTGGGGCTGTTTCGAGATGAGCCCGATATCGGGCCTGTGGATATCCAGATCAGCAATGGCACTGCTGGTGAGCTCGAGTCGGTACTCCTGTGCAGTGGCATGGTGAGTCGCTATCTCGGCAACCAGCAGCTCATTCGGATAGGGTACCGGGTTATGGGTGTAGACGAATCTGTCTCTTGGGACGGGTGGGAAGTTCTTCATGGAAGCGGATGTGAGAAAAGGAGAAACTGGCGCGGAGCACTTGAGAAGCTGAAGATTCAAGACTCAGAGAACGAAATCTAAAGCTTGGAGTGAAAGTTTGACTGTGAAGACTCAAAAATCTGGCAGAATCAACGATTTTCCTTTGTCAATCAATTCAAAGATTCAGCACCGATATTTTTCAACAGATCAAGACCTCTCTGAAGACTTGAAAACTAAAATTTTCGATTCAACACCTTGTCTTGACTGAAAATTCCAACAGAATCAACACCAAGACAACAATTTGATTCGAATCTAAAGATCTGAACTTTGATCTAACTCTGGTCCAAGTTTTGACCTCAGATGGATCTTTTCAGCTTCAAAAAATCTTCAATGAAGTTTTTTGAGACAGAAAAGTGGAACGGTGGGAGACCTCGAAAAGCCAACTATAAAAAAGTTGGTCTAGACCACCAAATCGATCTCAGACAAGACTTTTGCTCACGCGAAATTGTTCAACAGGCCTGATTTTCAACTCAAAAGCTCTTTTCAAAACTTTCGCGTCACTGCCTACTTTTTCCTCTTTGTCCGTTTTAAACTCAATGCCTGGAGGAAAAGCTTTGTTCAGCACGCTCTTCCAACTGGTGAAATCCTGGGCACAGATCAGCAAGTCTCGAGTGGAGATTTGAAAAAAGACAGAAACTCGCAACAGGAGCAAAATTTTCAGCTCTCTTCCCGGTAGCCTGTTTGTGCTCTGCAAATAGACCGTCCCTTTTGTCGGTGTAAGCGAGATCAGAAGGCACTTCCCAGTTCTCCAAGTCTCCGCGCAAGGTCTCCATGGCATTCCTGCGAGGTCGTGTCGGTGCCGTTGCAACGCCCAATCTTTGTAGTACAAGGTTTTGTGTGGAATTTAAAAGAAAATTAGCTAGTTTTTAGACAGATATGAATATATGGTACTGATACTGCGATTCTGAATATTTTGTCTAGCATGGTCCGTAGTTCTTGTGCTAGTTGACTTGTCTTTCTGGTCCTCAAAACCACCTGTATCCGGCCGGTTCTGAGGTTAACTACGCGTTTTCGATGCGTTTACCTAATCAGGGAATTCTACTAAGGGCCATCACGGCAAACGTTGATCGACTGGAAAGACTTTTGCTGGTCGCTACTAGACCCCGCTAACGGGCTTAATTGTATAATGGGACTGTGGAGACTTGTAATAGAATCTAAGAATTCCTTTTAATGGCACCAAAACTGTGTTTTTTTGGCCTTATTTCATCCACTTATTACCACATCACCGACGGAACTAGCCTACTTTTCCACCAGTAGTGTCCGTCCCAGATGCATACGAGAATGCGAATTTCCAGGATCCAGTCTAAGACGGCGTTGGCCCCGCTAGGATTCCCGGCCCCCATTCCGTCCAAAATGCATCTTGAACAGGCTTTTGAGCCTCGCATGCCGGGGCACTATTTTGGGTTCGCATTGAAGCCCCTCGAAGCCCTGTGCCAATTGGTCGGGCCCTTGCCGAAAAGCATTTTGCAGTATCCGCCTCTATATATAGCCTTTCGAATCAATGACCTGAGAAAAGTCAATGCTACAAAAAAAGTTCCCCCTACGCTTCTTATCCCGTTTCAGCTTTTCTGAAATTCATGAACTTAAATCCCTTAAAATATTGCGAAACCCAAACTACCGTGCGCACTGAAAAAATGGTGCCAGGTTTGTGGTCTTACTACTTACTCCTGAATTGCCCAGCGAGTTTCCGTTACCGGCTGCAAAGATAGGTCAAGTGGCTGAGCCGCACTTGTCGTGGCAGGACAATCATGTGCCGGTTTTTCTTCTTGGCTCTAGCAATCATCAGCTTTGGCCTCTCCTGCTGTAGATTAGGCTATAATTAAGTCTCAAAAAGTTTGATAGAGGATGTGAACAGAGCGCCCAGAAATTGAGATGTCGCCATGGACGAGCAGCTGGCTGTAAAGTTCAAATATAGGGGATTGGTATGTCCGGATTGGCCATAGTGACGTGTTTTTCAATTTAGGTCAGGATTGCAAGCCTGATGCTCAATTTAGGTGCCTTGTAGAGTTTTGGAGCTACTCGGGGTTACGCAAATAGCTCCCGTCTTTCCAGGGGTCCATTGCACTAAGCTTTAGGCCGCGCTACCTTAAGCCGCCTCAAATATTTACTCACGCTACACAGTAAGGGCAGTCTAAAATACGACCAAAGCCTATCAAGCCGTCCAAAATCTGAAACATGACAATTTGTCACAAATAGTTGGAAAAAGTAAAAGTTTAAGATTTGGAGTTCATGTCACGTGATAGTGTTTGCTTGAGGGGACAATGGCTCGATTCACCAGTCTTAGTGTTCATGAACTGCATATTGGAGTTCAATGCTTTCGCAAAAGTCTGCATGTTTCCCGAGAAGTATAAGGTTTAATTTGAAGGGGCATTCCGTTTGTCTGAGAATTTCCGATTTCTCGGGTCAGGTCCATTCCCAAATCATCTTCCGCCTAGAAACCTAGGTTTCACTGCACAGCTGTACAGCAACCATTTGATGACTCAGAGTTGACAATCTCCAACATGAGCCTGGAAGCATGCGCTTATTCACCTTTTGCCACCCTTCATGACTATTCCAAAGGCAAAAAATGGCCTTTTTAAAGGTCAGAACAACCATAAACGTGCGAAACACAACAGTATTGGTTTACACACGAAGTTTACTCTCTTATTATGAAACGGACACGACCTATCTCCAACGCGTTTCCAGTGTTTACTCTTCTGTCTCAACTCTTCAAGCCGCAACCGCGTCTTTCACCTTCTCGTTTCAAGCGCCAGCCATGTCGTGGTACAGAGACAGGGATGTGGATTCTGAGACAGACAACACGTTTCTCTCATATAAGCCTTCGAGTTTTGCACAGCCCACACCTACTGCTAATAAGACAGGGCTGTTTGGAAAGGTGTACCAGATAATTTTTGGAACAGAGCCCACAGGCCAGTTGCGGACTTCCAGTGATGAAATTCAGGGTACATCATATAACGTTAAGCAAAAAAAGAGTGACGGGCTGGACGATTCTGTGTATAGGCCCTATAGGTCTAACCGCAGCTCTTTGGAGGACAGATTTCCCTACGAGGATAAAGTGGAGGATACTCTGGAGAGGATACGTTTTCATTACAATTCGTCGAATCCGTTTTATGCAGCGGACTCGATGCCGGTTCCAGGTCGATTTCCAAAAATTGAATCTCCCAAACCCAAGGAAGCAACCCTTGTGAAGTGCGACCCAGCCGTACTCCAGGAGCTGAAACTTAAGCTTCAGGACCAGCGTTATGAGCTTGAGAATATCGTCCATCGTGTGGAACTAGATCGTAAGGCTGATAAGGAAAACCGTGACTTCAGACAGAAGTACTTCGATCTGAGGAAAGTGCACATGGGTCATGTTGAGGAGTCGAAGAGGATCTCTAAGGCATACGAAGAGCTCGCGGACAAGTACTATGATTTGAAGTACAAGTTCAACAAATCCCAAGAGCAAACGGGATCAAAAAAGCATACAGAGGAGATGGAAGCGCGACTGAGGAGACTTCAGGAGCGCAACGACGAACTGGAACTGGACATTTTGAGGAGACCAACGGGAGCAGCAACAGATCTGGCATTGGAAAAGGAAAACAGGCTTTTACAGAGTCAAACTGACGAGTTGAAGCTGGAGCTAAGGTACCGGGACAGAACTTTGCGTGATAAGGAGGAAGAGATTGAACTTTTGAAACAGAAATTAAAGGAGGCGCATACGCAAAGACCAAGTCTGATTAATAACGGTCTTGGGAATGGCCAACAACGACCAATAAAGCGGTTTACATCTCTCTCGAAGCCTGAGAAGGAGAACAGGGCTAGTGATAACACCACAGATCTGTTGAATCTATACAAGGATTCAAGTCTAACGCGGAACTTGAAGTCGTATAGGGTTTAGTGTATAATATTTCGGACAAGAATTAGTAAAATTGGTGGAATTATCATCTATTGGTAGAACTTGGTCTCAAATCTCAAACTATACTAAACACAGTGCGGCCCACCACTAGTGCGCGATGAAACATTCACTGTACCTTTTGATCTCCACACGCCTATATGTTAGGACTAGTTATAGTATACGAAGGCACATTCTTCTTATTATTTATCCTTAGTTTACTTTATAAGATATCAATAATGTTCTTCATTTTCTATACCCGGTTGCCGTCAAGTTTATTGTTGATCACCGACTCTTGGTCGACCCTTCCTACAATCAGAAGGTATACTTTCACTCAATCACGTGATGGAGGACTAATGTTTGAAAATAGGTACTCATAACTTCACCTACGAAGGTCATTATAAACCTGTCGCAAGGGAGTTTCACTTGTAACATTTTTGACTCTTCTCTATATAATTTAAATCATCTTCCCGAACTCTTTTGCTTTCCAACTAACCTTCACCAACCGCGAGCGAGTCGCTTACCAAGATTTATAGCCAAAGCACGACCTTTTTGCCGAAGCTCTTGAAACTAACAGAAGATTAACAGACTGGGGTACAGCACTCAACACAACATCCATCCGCGATTCATCAAGAGTGCAAGATTGAGTCATCAGATTCGTGTAGCAGGCATTTTCTGCAGACTTCCCATCCTATTTCAACTGACGCAGGACGCAATTACACAGACTTTTGTTGGCTGCTACCACTTAAGACACTGTTGTACCAGTTGTATTACACGGGAAACACCCAAACATGCCCCAGACATCGAGCGTTTCCACTCCCGTTGTGAACGGAAAGGCCGTGCGACATCTACAAAAGCTTTCCAATGGGAGAATTGAGATTGAGAATCTGGTCAACGAGTTCCAAAAGCGTTTGGGCAAGAACTGGGACGGATACCAAATCGCGGTTTCTCTTTTTTTGGTTGGAAAGCTCTCAAGGCAAGAACTTGTGGAGGAACTAGATGGAATTCTTGATGCTCGCACAATAAAGCTACACAACCAGCTTTTATTGGCCAATTTGGCAAACTCGGTGAGGGAAGGCCCCATAGATGGGATCTCAACCGCCGGTTTTGGAGGGTCTTCTCTTGGTAAACGAAGAAAAGACTCTCGCAAGAACTCGTCGCAGTATGAGAGACTGAAAAAGGACATTTTGGCGCTTCCTATAAGGGAAAGGCGCAGGATCAAGGGGATCACCCGTGAGGCTGGGAAGACCGGAATGGTCAACTCGTGTATCACGCTGACCCGACAATCAATGCTGCCAAAAGTGCCTATAGTGAACAACAAGGAGACAGGTATTGCCGGTAATACGATTCAATGGGCCCAGGATGTGATGCATGGTTTCCAGACACCACTGGCCACTGAGACGTTCGAGATTCCAGACAACGATTCACTGAAGGCGAGAATGCTGTGGATTGCGCGAGAACACGGCCTGATTGGCCAGCTGAATGACCAGGTGGTAGAGTTTCTGCTTCATGCTTTGGAGACTCATTTGAGGGGGCTTGTAGAGTCTGTTATTGATGTGGTCAAATATCGCAAGCTGCGGTATGCTCCTGATATTATAGACGAGGTTCAAAACGGGGCACCCAGTGAACCAGTTACGACTTCGAATCACAGGCGGGTCACATTGACTTTGGAGGATGTTCATGATACGATAACCCAGCAGCCTTACATTATAGAGCCTGGTGGACCAACGTTGAGACTAGAGAACATACTATTGGAGAACGACGATCTCCAGACTGAAGATAAGACCGGAATAGCACACTTGCTAAGACCGATACCGAATAGATCACTGGATGAGTTGAAGCTGAGACAGCCGATGCTTAGCTCAGTCGCTAATACTGCCAATGGTGCGCCGGATTCATCCAATAAAAACGAGCTGAATTGGTTGATTCATGATATATTGACGGAATGAAAGAGACGGCCGATTGGCTTGAACTGGTTGATTTATGGTGTTGACAAAGTAAGAAATTCAGCTGATGAATCCATAATATACCACTCAATCACCCAAACTGGTGCTAGTCACCACAGGACCCACACAAAATACATTCGCTTCTTTTTACTGAGACATTAACCAAAAGATTACCTTTTGCTCCATTACTTATCCCCGTTACACCAAAAACTCACTAGCAGTCTTTGAGCCAACTGAATCTTTCAACCGCAATTGACTAACTGTTTTCAACCACTCGAACTCCGCATCATCACCAGAATCATCAACAGAGACAACTGTTTGAGTCTTTGTGTTTTCGTATAGTGCTGCCACAAGCTTGGAAAGGCTGTCCATTGCTTTTGTCAAGGGTGTGAATTGTGAAGCGTCCTGTAGGACCAACTTCAATTGAACGAACATCGACAGCTGATATCCTGAGTGAACAAACATCCCGAAAAGTGAAGACTGATTCTCAAACGCTTCCATATTGGAGATAACTTCATTCAGAGCGGTTTTTGAATTGATTTGCGTACTTTTCACCGAGGAGACATCGAACTTTCCATCTGAGTTAATCGGACCAGAACAAACCTTCCCTGTAGAGACGTCTATAAATTGTCCTTCTGGGCTGAAACTATATCTGAAAAACGAAATATCCCTGTCCTGACCGCTCAATGTATCGTAGTAGTACTCCATCGCCTTCATCATGGTTGGGAGATCGGGAAGTGCCGTTCCAACTTCAATAACAGACACTGAACAATTTCCAAGGCATTCGCGGACAAGCAGCCGAAGTTCTGGCAAATGTTCCAGCCCAGTCTCGCTGCATCGAAAAACCTTCTCAAAGGTCAAAATTTCACGCGTTCCTGCAGCGTGCTCGATTTCAGTGTATGGTACTCTTATCGACGTCTTGAAGAACTTGGATTTTCCAACCACTCGCGCAAAAACTCGAAGGGTTTTTGAATGCTCGTAGATTTGATGTTCTATCTTTCTCACGTGGTTTTGTTCGTGTTCAAGATTGGCCTTTCGCGTCTCGTAACAAACGCGCTTTTCTTTCTCCAGCTTGCTGGAATCCAGCAGAAGTTCTCGCCTCTGGTCGATATCCTCCTCTAACTTGTGTTTTTTAGAATCAAGCTTCGCGATCTTCTGTTCGACCGTCCCTTCATCAGGTCGAGAGTTCTTCATTTTGTTTACCAAACCCTGCTGTTTGAGCTGTTGATGCATGACATCTGCTTCGCAGCTTGCAATCTTCTTTTCCACAGACAATAACTCTGATTTCAAGGCCTTCAGCTGAGACCTCGGCTCAACAGACATTTCTCTGACATTTGCCAGTTTCGAGTCCAAGACAGTGTCTTTCTTTTCCCTCTCTTCCTGAAGCTTGCTAGTTATTTCGCTCTTTTTTTCCAGCAGTTCCCGCTGCAACCCAGATATCTGCAATTTGAGATCCGCAACTTTACTCAGATGATCTCTCTCTTCAATCTCGCTATCTCCATCCTTCAACATTCCCTCGAATTCTTCAATTGTCGAGTCATAAACCTTCTTTAGTTCCAAAGAATGCTCTTCTAGTTTCAATGCGTACTTCACCTCAAAGTGCTTCAAATCGTTGTCAAATTTGAGCTTGTTTCGTCCAATTGTTTCATCCAATTCCTTCAACCGTTTCTCAAGAGCTTCAGTCTCCCTGATGTAATTATTCAAATGACGATGATGCTCTGATTCCTCAAATTCTGCCCTTTCTATTTGGGCATGTAGCTCTGCTATTTGTGAGTCCAACCTAATCAGCTCTTTTTCCGACTCTTCCTCATCGAGTCGACGCATTCCTTCAAACTGGTTCAACACCTGGTTCACATCAAAAGTACTGGAAGTATGGTTCTTGTGGTTCGAAGGCGCATTGCTGGAAGTCGGCCTGATTGTAGATCTCGTTCGCGGTATCTTGGATGGCTGTCGTGGCTGGCTTTGTGACATTAATGCATTGAGTCTAGAATTGTCTGTTTCTGCAAGTGTTTTGCGAGGAAAAGACATCGTGAAAACTATGGGTTCCTGTTGTTTATGTGACCTATCGTGTTTTGGAGCTGCAGGATTTAGAGGTCTTCTGATCTGACAATTTCAGTCGTTATTTTCGTTGGAGTTGTGTTATTATCGATGTGTTTATCTTGTCCTTTTTTCTCGAAGAATACTTTCTCTTCTGACTCTTCAACCGTCTTTTAATCACCGCTACAGAGCAAGTTCTTGCCTATCGCCTTGCAGTTTGAGTAAACACACCATATCGAGCTAAATTGATCACCACACTAAAACAGTCACGTGACAGAATAATTTTTTTTTCAGATTTTTCGAACTTCAAGTTATGTACAGGAGTATAATAAATCAGCCCGGAGCAACAGTCATTTGTTAAAATCTCTAGACTGGAGGTTGCGAGTCATGGCGGGTAGAGCGACTCTAAGCCCGTCCAGTTCCTTGGCCATAAAAACCTGACAACCCAACCGGGAGCTGAATAATGGGGTTAGTAGATGAAAATAAGAAGCTTTTGTAGCCAAAAACACTCACGTCTCGGTCAGACCAAACGCAAGGTCCAACATATCGTTCTCGTCATCGGATGGCTCAGGGATCGAGTCGTAGTACGCTGGATCCACAATGATATGGCATGTGGAACAGGCGCATGAGCCTCCACAGGCACCCTCCATATCCAGATGATTCGCCTGTGCAATATCCAGCAGTGAATCTCCCTCAGCTACTTCGTATGAGCTCTGTGAGCCATCCTTGCTGATAAAGGTTATTTTGAGCTCTTCACCGGGGTTAGGCTTCTTGAGGTGGCCGTGCATCGCCGCCATGCTTTGAGAAAACCCTCGCGATTGCCACGATATGGGACTGAAAAAACCAGTGCCTCTTGGCACCTTCACCAGCTGTCTCAGTCTCAATCCCAGCATTACTCGTCTGATGGCTAGGTAGAAAACTGTATAAACTGTTGCTTTAAAAAGGCAATCGGCCAAAGTACCAATTTGAGATATGGTCCGTGTGTGCAACAAGCAGTTACGTGTGCCACCTAATGGCGGACAAAGAGGCGGGGGTTGCCACATGGCAAGGAGTTTACAAGCTAACTTGTTGTATCACAACACTCAGTTAAACAACTGTGGTTTTGGTTTTGGATTTTTTTTGAAAACAGCGATAAATAGACCGGAATACAAGCTTTTACTGGATCACTGATTATCAACTACAATGTCACAACTATTCGCCAACTACGAGTCTGACTTCAAGGTGTCGTACACCGAAGCTCAGCAACGCTTGTCGCAGATTTCTGGCTTGGTGGACAATTCCCAGCGGCTCAGTGGGATGAAGGCTGTTGAGGCTAACATTGACGAGTGCTTTGAGGTTGTGGAACAGATGGGTATCGAGGTCCAGAACATCTCCACGGCCCAGAGGTCTTCATACAACGCCAAGATACGGACATATCAGGCGGATTTGAACAGACTTCGTAAGGAGCTGAAGTCGCTCATGGATGACGAGGACCGCCGGAATTTGTTCGGTGATTACCCTGAGCAATCCGGTGCAACTGATGCTGCGTATTCGCAGAGACAGCAATTGCTGAAGTCCAATGCTTCGCTGGACAGGTCTACTCAGAGACTTCAGGAGTCCACGAGGACGGCACTGGAGACTGAGGATGTCGGTGCTGGAATTTTGAACTCGCTAAGAGGTCAGAGAGAGCAGTTGATAAATGCCAGAGACACGTTGATGGAGGCTGATTCGTATGTTGACAGGAGTATCAGCACGTTGAAGTCAATGACGAGGCGGATGGTTGCCAATAAGTTCATTTCGTATGCCATCATTGCTGTGCTTGTGATACTGATATTACTGGTGATGATTAACAAAATCAGGTAACGAGAAGATTGGAAGCATGGCACGCTATGTGAAAGTTATGGAAGGTCTTGAAAATGCTCTACGGAGACACTGTGGGCTCTATCGACTTTCTGAATACTCAGATGCCTTCAAATCTACACTACACGACTATTTGGATGTATAACCCTTCATAAATAAACTGGATCGGATCCTTTGTATAAAGTAAGCAGGAACTGAAATGCTGAAAAGTCGAGGAATTGAGGAATCGAGGAATCGGAAAATTCAGTGCATTGATGGCTTGACTGATTTGCAAAGATTGTTCAATGACTCAAGAAGAGAGACTCATGATAACAGACCCATAGCAAGCTCTTCAAAGCGTGTCAAAGCTGCTCACAATCTTCGTCTCAATGCTGCGCTTCAAGCTCATCACCAGATACAAATCCTTCATCGTTATCGTCAATTTGAAAGCTTGACATTGCGTTCCTCACCTGAGATAAGAAGTCCATCATCCTCTCTTTATCTTTCTCACTTGCGACACTCTTAGGAGACCCATCGGCTGCGGCCTGGTTCTGCTGATACTGGGTATGTCCCACATTGGAACTCTTTCTGCTCAATCCTGGTATTCCACTGGCCTGTGCTGCCTTAATCTCCTCATCCGTCATTTCCAAAACGTCTGCAGTGAGAGTGAAAAGACCTCTTGCTGACTTGCGTCTCGTCAGAGACCCGGGAATGGGTGTTTGAACTGGAACATAGTCCGAGAATGCCTTCTTGGAGTGGAGTGAGACAAGGCTTTCGGATCTCGGAGTTCTCGCACTTCCTGGAGCGCGACAAGAAATTCCTGTATCATGAATCCACTTGGCTACAAGCGCGGTCCAACCACACTGGTGAGAAGCCCCGAGTCCACGACCGGTATCACCATCAAAGTACTCGAAGAAGGGAACACAGTCTTTGAAAAACTGGTCGTGGTTCATCAGTTTGTCCCCTCCGTTGCAAGCTCTTTCTCCCATATCATCAGGGATCATGAGGTGAATCAGACGATGCTGCAACTCCTCAGCAACTTGGGCCAAGTTGAGATACTCACCAGAACCTTTGGGACACTCCACCTTGAGAGATGGCCCATAGTATAGAAAGAACCTTTGCAAAGACTCCACCAGCAAGAAATTGGTGGGCAGCCAAATGGGGCCTCTCCAGTTGGAGTTACCACCAAACAATCCTGAATCAGACTCTCCAGGGAGATATCCCACGGTGTAATCCTGACCATGAACATTCATCTTGAAGGGGTTCTCCTCGTGAAATTTGGACATCGATCTGATTCCATAAGGCGAAAGAAACTCGTCTTCGTCTAGCATTCTCTCCAAAATCGCGACCAGCCGGTCCTCATCCACAAGGGAAAGTAGCAATCGGTCACCTGTACCACGACTCTTCATCGAGGCAATGTTACGCTTGGCCACATGCGATTTGGTGTTGATAAACCAGTCCAGTCTTCTCTTGAAGTTCGGGAACGACTTGAGCAGTTCCGGCTCCAGAGTCAGACATGCATAAAGAGGAATAAGTCCAACCAGTGATCTCACAGGTAAAGCCTGTTTATTATCACCACCCCATGTGATGGAATCATAGTAGAAGTTGTCCTTCTCGTTCCAGAGTGACTGAGGTGTGGATTCGGTATCGTCTGGCAAAGCGTTCATGTAGGTCAAAGCATCACTGATCAGTAAGAAATGCTCGAAAAACTTGGAAGCAATTCCCTCATAAACGTGGTTGGTCTTAGCCAGTTCTAAGGCTATGTTGAGCATCTGGAGCGAGAAGAAAGCCATCCAACCCGTCGAATCTGCCTGTTCCAGTGTGCCTCCAGTGGGCAGGGGCTCGGACCTGTTGAATATACCAATGTTGTCTAATCCTAAAAAGCCACCCTCAAAAACACCGTTTCCATCGGCATCCTTTCTATTGACCCACCAAGTGAAATTGAGCAACAGCTTCTGGAAAACCGACTCCAAAAAGTGCGTGTCAGTGACTCCGTACATCTTTCTCTCAATCTTGTAAATCCTAAAAGCTGCCCAAGCATGAACAGGCGGATTAACATCACCAAAGTTCCACTCGTAGGCCGGGATCTGTCCATTTGGATGCATATACCACTCTCTCAAGAGAAGCTCCAGCTGCTTCTTGGCAAAACTGGGATCCAACATGGCAAGAGGAATACAGTGGAACGCGGTATCCCATGCAGCGAAAAAGGGATACTCCCATTTGTCTGGCAGCGATAGCACATCGTTGATGTACATGTGTTTCCAATCCTTATTTCTTCCGTTGGCTCTGTTCGGGGCGGGTTTGACGTCTGCAGTTGGATCTCCACGGTACCAGTACTCCTGGATAAACTGGTAGAATTGTTTCGTCCATAACAAACCAGCAAATGCTTGTCTCTGTACGTTACGCATTTGATCTGGAATGGGCAAGGGAGAAACTCTCCAGTAGAATTCGTCGGCATCCTGTTCTCTCTTCACGAACATCTCGTCAAATTCCTCCTCGTCTATCTCGTCCTCATCTTTGGTGGTCAACTTATAGCGGATGGTGGCATAGTCTCCAGCCGAGATCTCGTCAAAGTTGAACCATGCACACGCCTTAGTTCCCTCACAGGCTGGGTTGGTGGCATCTTCGACTCCATCAACCACACGATCATGGAATGCATCTTTGGTGAACTCAGCCTTATTGGCAACACCATAAAGTCTCTTCATGTTAGTCTCGTTGTCAGTGAACAGAAACGTGGGCTCCACATCAGTGTCATTCATTGGAGAAGGCGCGAAAATGAGTCTTCTGCCACCAAACTTCCAGTGGTCCACACCAATGGAATTGGACCCTACTTTCGACAGATTAGGTTTCGGATTCTCCTCTTCTTCGGGCATTCCCCAAGCCCAAGTGTTTCTGTAGAAGATATGGGGAAGAATATGCAGAGGGGCTGGCTTTGAGCTTCTGTTGAAAGCAGTGATACGGAAGTAAAGCTCATCTGGGTCATCATCATCTTTGGCCATCTCAAATACAACGTCAAAATACTCATTGTCCTCGAAGATACCAGTGTCTGTAAGTTCGTATTCCTTCTCTAGTCGTGACCGTTGACCGTTCACCTCCACCAGCTCCTTGTAAGGAAATTTGGCATGTGGATACTTGTACAGGTATTTCATATAGGAATGGGTAGGGGTGTTGTCCAGGTAGAAATAAAGCTCCTTAACATCTTCTCCGTGGTTTCCCTGGGGGCCAGTCACACCAAAGGCACGCTCCTTCAGGATATCGTCTTGGCCATTCCAGAGTGCCAAGGTAATACATAGGAGCTGGTGATTATCGGAAACACCTGCGAGTCCGTCTTCACCCCAACGGTAGGTCCTGGACCTGGAATGTTCAAATGGGAAGTCGGACCAAGCATCTCCGTTGAAGGAATAGTCCTCACGAACCGTGGCCCACTGCCGTTCACCAACATACGGGCCCCAGCGCTTCCAGTACTTCTCCTTGTTGGCGTCCTCCGCAAGCCTGAGCTCCTCGTTGGTCTTTTTATGGGAAAAGTAGTCTGTCATCGCAAAATGTATCTTGCCCTTGAGACTGCAGATAAGAAAATCGACCTAGAACTGGCCAAACGCAAAATCTCGAAGTACCGAAAAAAGCCTAACTAGAAAGCTACTCTATCACAGAGTGCTGATCACCAAAAGTTCTAGGAAATCTCCCAATTGGCTTCGCAATTCCTCTCGTTCAACCCCTTGATTCGGCGTTGTAAGCAGCAGGGCGTGTGTTTGTAATCAGAATGAAACTTGAGATTAATGCCTCCAATTTCTCACAAGCAATGACTTATACTTTCAAATTGCCTCACAGATTATTCAGATTTTTCAATCTAAATAAAAAAACCTCTGTGGTTCTGTCAGGATCAATTGTTGTTTCAGCAAACAACTCCTTGAGGCCTCCCTGGCAAGGAGATATATTTGCGTGTGTCAACCAACCATCTCTGCCCGCTCGGTCCGGCAGCGTGGGGAGAAGACGTGCCCCGCAAAATTTGACATTGAAAAAGACAATGGCCGAGAAGTACGATTTTGTTCGGTGCCTACAGAGAGTTGTTTTGTATGTTAAATATTGTTTTTTGTTTTCTTTTATGGAACCCAACCGGTCGACAATCCTAGACGACATACCAATAAAAATAAAGAAGCTAAGCGTGGTTTCCTTTGCTAGCACTGCTGAACATAGCCAAATCCGAACTCGTGATAGTGTACACAGATGCCTGAGACTCTTTTTCAGACCCTCTGCAAAATAGTCTCAGGAGAATTGAAAGGTGCAATAATACCTTTACAATCTGAAATTGTTAAGCTGATGGATCTCATCAGCCCAGGGCTGGCTTCCGCATTTCAAGTCAAACCCCGTCTCCATCACTCTAGGTACCGAGTTCAACTCGGACCTCAACCACAAATAATAGTTCTCCTGTGGCTTGCTCAGATTTTCCTCGCGTGTCAACATATTCAGTATCGTTCCTGTAGACGTCGCAGGTGCAATAGATGGTGTTCCGCATTCGGACTCATAATCCGACTCAGAATCGTTCTCGTGGATCAATGAGGGTATACTTGAGTTGCGAGAGTCTGTCCGCAGCTTTAGGGGCGCAGTTGTGTAATTGTTGTAGTAGGAGTCCAACAAAGGAATAGAATTGATCTCATCGCTCGATTTCACGATCTGACTTGGATACAGCCATTCGTTCTTGTGGTGAGAATCATTATGCGAGCACTTCGCCTGAGAGTCCACTAGACGGCATCTCTCAGAACAATATAGTGAATTGGCCATACAGGGTTGGCCATCAACCAGGCAAAATTCGTCCTGGATAAACATTGTATCTAGGTGTTGGCGTGAAATGTTGGAGTGGGGGATCCGATAAGTGCGATAGGTTCACTGGCAGTCAACTATGGCCAGTGAGATGGTAATCCTGGTGTATATGGATATCACGAATATATATATCAGGTATAAACACCTATTGAGTGATGAGCGCAAGAGTGAAGAAAATAGTGAACCAAGCTCTAAAATTCGGTGGAAATTTCGGCCCACCGTGTGGAATATATACTCGCTCCACTTTGTGGTGACACATCACGTGCTATGCGAACAATTTCGATTGTGGTGGAAATTAGCGCCAATCCCAGCGTTCTGAGTTAATTATGGCACAATCCTTTGACGATAGTGGTGATGAGATTTGCGATTGCCGCACGCCATTTGGAGCAATATGGTGGATAATCCGCCAAAACCGAGGTTGTGACCCATCAATGAGTCACGAGAAATTCATCAATCGAAAAAAATTGTATGTGTTTGATACCTGTGTCGTGACCAGAGTGAAATTACTGCAATAATTGGTGATAACGGTTGAGCAGTTTCATAACTGCTATCATCTCGCCATTTTCGGAATAGCCATGCCGCAAAAAAAATTCTTCGCAATAATAAAGTTCAGTTTCCTGTTTGACGTTGTTTATCGGACTGATCAGTACTCACTGTAACCTCTAGCCCCCACCCGAATATTCTGGGTGGAGTTTCCTTATTGAGATAAAGCGTGGGATGTTTCTATCCGGCCAAGTCAGCGGTTCCAAACGTGACCATTCTTGAGTGGTGTCACGACTCGGTCTCAGTTCCCAATATTTGGTTTTGAGCAGTTGTTGTTCACCTCCGATAAGACGATAAGATTAGGTCAGTAGGTGCCGACTGGTTATTGATGGAGCAATCGCCAAAGAAACGTTTCCACGAAAACTGATTTGGGAAACATGACCCAAGGACTTTTAACACCTAAGGTAAAGTGCTAATTCCACACCACAGTAGACGTCCCCACAAATTTGGTGATCTGATAAACAGAAGGGTCATTTTGAACCATGCACTCACAACAAAGCAATTTTGCATCTTTTTAGCTCTCGCACGCTCATCTGTTGCTATTTAAAGCGCTAACGCAAGGTATGGCTCAACAATAAGGATTGTGCTGCACTTGACGTGGAACGGGCAACGCAGAGAGAAAAGGTATACAGTATGAGCTCAAACGATGTTGGTCTGTTTCAATCGTAGATGCTCAAAATATTCAAACACCAAATTTTGGGAACACACTCTTTCGGCACGGCACCAAGCACGTTTTTGTGCAACATGAGTACCGCACTACCGCAATTCCCCCAACTCAAACTTCGCGTTTACGCAAACGGCACTTCCACAAAGGCGTCATTGTACCACATTAACATACCGGATCAAGCAAAGAGCAGGTGAAGAATTTGCAACTGTAAGATTTTTGTGAATAGCGTTTTTGTTATAGCTGGAATTTTCTGCAGTTGACGTTGCCATACCCCACACTATACTGCTTGGAAGACATTGTTGTGGGCGAAGTATACCAGGCAAAAAAGCCGCCTGAAAGCCTCTTCAAACCTTCTTAATTGCTCTTTAAACAATCATGCTTCTGGCCAAGTCGAGATCGCTGTTGCGTGCAAACCGATATGTTCTGGTGTGTGTTGCGTCTATCCTGTTCGTTACCGTGAACTTCCTTTTTGTGATGAGGACTTATACTTTGGATGAGGAGTTCATTGAGCTTGACGTGTTGAATGACAGTGATCTCAGCTTCAAGGAAAGATACCTGAAGACTCTGAAAGACCCCCAGACAAACTTGGTGTCATACTCTGACTCCTCCATGGTGTATGACAAGCTGAGGATTCTTGACTTTGTGGACACTCTCATTAACGAGCCAATTAACGAGTTCTCAATCTCGTTGACTAGGGATCCGTATGAGCTGATTTTGAAGTCCGAAACAGATTTTATTGGTCTGCAACCGGCTGAAAAGGCCCAGTTTTACACCAACATCGTCCGCGATTGCAAGTGGAGGTTCCGTCCGATTCAGGAAAAAATCTACCGGGATCAGTATGATCACCAACGGTATTTGGACATCCGCATAGCAAAATGGAGCAAGATAAAGGAAATTATTAGTGAGGCGGATTACAAAGCTCTAGGTTTGGATGAGAAGGACTTTGAAACTGCCATTTTGAACAATAAGAAGCTCAAGATTGAGCATAATAAGAAGTCCATTGACGAAATTCAAAACAGTTTGAAACATTTGCGGTTGTTCAACAATATCTACCTAGATGGTGATGAGAGCGATTCGCTTGATGAACAGTGTTCGCAGATGACTGACGTCCAGTTTCCTTGGATGTCGGGCATCCTTCCTGCTGCTTCCAGATGGGATAAGAAATCATCTCATTTAGTGGATCTATATCCCGTGGACAGAAAGTGTATTGTCAAGAAGATTCGTGCCAATTTAAAGGGACGCGGAATTGTTATTTCGACTAATGACAGGCTCGTGAACGAGCTTAGTGGTCTCATCGCTTTGCTCAGAGTGTTGGGAAATGAATATCCAATCCAGATTTTCCATTCCGACGATTTGTCAGTCCAATCTCAGAAACAATTGAACAAAATAGCGACGGACACCGTGATCAACCTGCCCAAATCTTATAGTACTGTTAAGGGCAAGTTCAACTCCAAGATCCCCAAGCAAGACATCACCTTTGTGGATGTTTCACGCGTGGTGGACATCAGATATAAAGAATACTTCAAGCATTGGTCAAACAAGCTTTTGGCGTACCAATTCAATACTTTTGAAGAGATGATGATGCTGGACACGGACACAGTGCCGTTGCTTCCTCCTGAAGACTATTTCAAGATGAAGAACTACAAATCGGCGGGTGCCTCTTTCTTCAGAGACCGTGAAGCAAACAACTTTTTGTTCCCGGAGGTTGTTGACTTCTTCAAGCAGTTTTTGACTACCGATAAAGACTTTGAGGTGTTGCAATTGCCCTTGCCAACTGAAGCTTTGACTCGAAACAGATTCTTCCACGATCGCGCGCGCCATTTTATGGAGGCCGGGCTTTTCTGTATCAACAGACGCCAGCATTTCAATGGAATACTCGGATCTCTTCAACTGAATTTCTTTTCTTTCGTCATGGAGACAGTTCATGGCGAGAAGGAGCTCATTTGGATGGGTCCCCAGTTCATGGGAGACAACAACTATCTGTTCAATCTCAATCCCGCGGTAGCCGTTGGAGAACTGACCTCAGATGAGTTCCTTGAATCCAAGAAGAGTCAAGAATTGTGCTCCACTCATCCGGGACATCTCTCTGACGAGGATTCGAAGACGGTTGTCTGGTTCAATTCCGGTTTCAGCACGTGCAAGAAGCCAGAGGCTTACTTCAAAGATATCCATTTCGAAAGAAACTCGAAACTGCAGTTGAAAGAATTGAAGAACAACTACATTGCTCCTTTGAAGGTGAAAGCGGTTATCAAGCCACCACCTGGAGAATACGAGGTTCCAAACTTGGAAGACCACTACGAGCCCAGTCGTGGCTGGATCATGACCACACAGTGTGAGAATTACATGTGGTGTGCCTATGACCATCTTGGAGGAGGTACAATGGACGACGATGTTCCACGTGGTGTTGTCCACGAGTACACAGCAGAACAGACCCAGCTTTGGGGATTTTATGGTGAGGTTTGGGTGGATTACTTCAATCTAGGATCCACCATGGACGAGGACTTCTACCTGGATGAAGACGATTATGATGAAGTCAGTGGAGGTAACAGACTTCTTTCCAGTGAAGGAGGCTCTGTTGGGCTGCCCAAGGGTGTCAATCCCCAAATCAACCCTAAACCTGTTAATCCGCATACCAAGAACGGGAAGAGCAAGGGCCTTGTCTCTAGTGATAGTCTGGTGAAAGATCCGAAGTCTGCTTCTGATGGTGATGCTACCCGTTCCGATGATGGTGATGATGACGAGCTGACGGCGTTGACAAATAAGATTAAAGACAAAATGGAGTCCAACGTGGAGTCCAGCGCAGAGTCCGAAGAGCTGGTAGAAGACACCGAGGAAGGCCCCTTGAAAAAGGCAAAGGCAAAGGCAAAGACTGGAGGCAAAACAGAAGGCAAGACTGAAGAAGGGGGAAAGGTGAGTGATACTGAGGCTCAAAAGAAGCCAAAAGATCCAAGTAAAAACGTCGAAGATCTATCTGGCTTCACTGAAGACTCACCTGAAGAAGTCAATGAAAAGATGGTGAAAGAGGTGCTAGGTGAGGCTCCCAAGGAAGCTTAGTTGAAATAATAACCCGTTTTATGGCGATTAGAAGCAAACTCTGAGTTTCTTCATGTCTTTTTTGATGCCTATAGTTATTATCTGCGTTATTTATGATAATTAAGATTTTCTGCATAGTTTATGGTCAGTAGTACAGACTGTATGATCGCTATTTCCATGCGAACTAGGAACGGACTGTGGAGACTTGGCTTCATTGCTGTTCGTAGTGTATGATTAAAATATTCTCCTAGAATATTTATGCCCCTTTATAAACTATATGATCTTCCAGATCTCCAACCCCATGACCTGGAACTGTTCCTCACGACTCAACGGCTCGTTGCCAAACGTATCCACCGTCGAACTGGCACCTTTGACTAAGTTCTCGTCTATCCAGAGACCAAACTTACCGTTTCCCGAACCGATTGAGATGAAGCTGTGATTCGAGTATATGATGAAGTCGTTCAGCGAGGTGTATGGGAAAACTTTGAGCCGAAACTGCACAGGAAGTGAGGAGCTAGACGAGTTTGTTAGGTCTTCAGTAAGACTCGGAATCCGGCCCTTCTCCACCTTCCACAAAAAACACTCGCCATTTCCGTAATAAGCCCTTCTATCCATTGGCCTGAGGTGTTCGTTCAGATAGCACCCAAACTTGTCGTGGTTCTGATCATAAACCACCAGAAGATACCCGATCTTCTTGCCGGTTTCCGACCGGTCAGGGAGTGAGGAGCTGTACAGTGTACTCAATGAGCTTCCATTCTGCTCCAACGAATAGCAGAGCTTCCAATTGTGCGTTATTTGCAGTCTCAACGGCAAGTGCAATCTAAGGTCCTCTGCCAATCCCAGATCGAGCAGTCGCTGTTTGGTGGCTGTCTTGTACCCTGTCAGCTCCAGTTTCGTCAACGGAGGATCCACCCACCCTATTGGGGACGGCGATGGCGACTTTGACGGCTGTTGGAACGGTGAGCTTGACCTGGAGCTGCTCATGCTGAAAGCCTTCCTGAGCTTACTCCTGGTGGAGTCTCTGAGGCCTTCTCCCATTGGTGGCTGTGGGTCAAAATAAGTGATAAGTCCAAGTCTTGATCAATTCCCGCGAACAAACACACTTTTACGAGTGTTTGGATATCGAATCAGAAGAAGTATCCCAGTTAGAGTGTTAGTTGAGTGGGATTAAGTACTCACAACGTCATTGACCTGAATTTGGTATGCCTATCAATATGATAGTACACGACCTTTCCGGAAGCAGGCAGCGTAGTAAGATTGCGTTAATAGGTCGTGATAGGGGACTATCAGAGAAGACTGTGTTTGAATACGATATCGCTGAAAATGTCGGTTTGAGGTGTCTGAAGTTGGCGGAGAAATAAATTCTATATTTTTCTGTTGGAATCTTCATGGTTTGGAGTTCTGGCAGGCCTGGTGATCCCGTGGATCATGTGGATACTGTGGATCTTAAGACCTTGTGGAACTCGTAAACCATGTGTTGGGGATGGTCTGAATATTCTGCATTCACAAATCAAGTTGGAAAATATCCCTACTGACAGCTCTCATACCTCATGGGTACGATTCAACTATGCCTATTGACAATTAGATAACGAGGCAAATCCGCATTGCAGTCTTATCATCGAGAAGCTGTGCGGCGCGGTCTCTCAAAGCTGTTGCATCTCGGCGATATCATGCCCCTCAGCGGAGAGTGTTTCAAGAAAAAATATGTGACCAATAATGCAAAGCCAGGTGAATTATTTCGGGCTTTTGTCCTGATGACCTAAATTCTTCTATACGTTCTCTGTCTCAACCCCAGGTTGGGCCCTCGCTATCCCCGGTACCCTCGGACCCGAATCAGCACCCTCTGATTTTAGTAAATGCTAAACCCCTTCCCCACAACCCATTTTTGTTGAAATGGTCCCGGAAGACATATCCTAACAAGCACAAAGATGCTATTTCTTTGATGTATTTTGAAATCCGTAAAAAGAAAGAGTTGGCTTAGTTGTTATCTCTCGAATCAATAATGTATATATATATTACGTTTTCTAATTTGTTTTAGTTCCTCCCTCCATGCACGTCATGCGGATGCCCCGGATTTACCTACTTTCAAGAAACATGCCAAGAAAACGGCCACGGAACCACAACCAATGGCCAGCAAATAGGCGTTTTTGAACCCATCGAAGAGCTCTGGAATATGCTGATCCTGCTCTGGTGTGCCGTAATACGGGTTTCTTGCACCTACCAAAGCACTGGATATGGCAAGTCCAATTATCCCGGCAAACTGCATGACGGTGTTGAAGACACCCGAAGCCGAACTTTGCAGCTCTCTAGAGACTGAGCTCAAAGTCACCATATTTGCCACGTTATACGAAATATCTCCACCAATCACAGTGAAACTGAAGGCCCAAAACGGACCAAGCCAATATGACCTGTGTATGTCCATTGTCTCCCATACTATAGCACCGCCCAGAAAACCCAGACCTCCTATCACCATAAAAATTCGCCCTGACACAAGATGAAATGTAAATGCCACCACAACATTAGCACTCACGGCCACGATGGTCATGGTTAAGAAACACGCAGTAGTTCTCAAAGGCGTATAGCCCAGGACATCTTCGAAGTACTGCATAGCGTAATATGTCAAAATACCATAAAATTCTGTCCAGCCCATTGCCACTATTACCATCGTGATGGTAAAATCCTTGCTTTTCCATATTCCCATCGGTATCAGTGGCTTTTTAGGCACGTATGTTTCATAAACCCCAAGAGCTATGATCAAGAGAACGCCGATAACCAACAGCGCAATCACATAGGGAGTCTTCCACCCCTTATCGGCAGCATCTGCCTGAGTCAGAGAGAATGCCAAAAGCGTGAATCCCGACATCGACAAAAACGCTCCAGTGATGTCCATCGCTTTCACAATTTCAAATGCTTTCTTCCAGTCAATCACCTTGTCTGTGGGGATGAAAAAGAACGCAGCAACCGCGAGAGAGCCGTATAGAATCGTCATGAAAAAATGAATAGCTCTCCAGCTAATTAGCTGGGTGCATATCCCTCCCACTATGAACCCAACACAGTTTCCAATTGGAGCTCCGCCGCTAAAACAAGCCATGACTCTGTTCTTCCTCTGTCCAGGTCTATAGGTACTCCCCAATATGCCAGCCGCAGCAGGTGTTCCGGCCGCTATAGACATTCCTTGCAATCCTCTCATGACACAAAGGGCAATGAAATTGTGCATAAAGCCTCCAATAAGCGCAAAGGTGGCATATCCAATATACCCAATTATCATTACGTTCTTTCTACCGAGAGCATCTGCCATCCCACCCAGCAAAAGCACGAACGAGCCAGACCCCAGAAATACAGACCCTGAGGCCCATGCCATCGACCCACCAGTAATCCCAAAGTGATTGGTTGTGGTAGGCATAGATATCTGGTATGACCCGTTTGCCAAGGATGATGCGGCTGGAGCCAGGGATAAAACCACCACCGCAATGACCTCATGGAAAGTCGTCCGAAATACCCTGGGTCGTTTATTTGCATCAGGGGTGTCGTAGTCTTCATTTTCAGCTCCTCTTGTTGGGGGTTGGGGTTTCGGCGATTGAATCGATGCGGCTCGGTCTTGATTCTCGAGATCCACCTCTTCCATCTTTGGTTCTTTGCGCTCTGAATATTTCATGTTCCAACAGTTTATACTCAGCTGGTCCTCAATTGTCTTAATGGAATATCATTGCGGTACATTTCCCTTTTTTATAGACTGGTTTTCAGAGACATTTTTTCAAAGACATTTGTTCAAAAAGACATTTTTACAGTGGCCTCCTATCACTACTCTTCTTAACCGTAACTCACTTGCTGCAGCCCAAAGTATGCGTGCATAAAAAGTGAAAGCCTGCATGTTCAGTGTTCCGGTTTCGGTTGTTCGGTTTTACAATTGGATAGAGCACACTTTTATAGAATGCTGAATCAGTTCTGACAAAACAATGATTCTCTACGTTTCAAACTATTAGCGAATGAAAACTTCAAACATGCCCTAAAGTTCCTGAATAATTTACTTTTTCAAAAGTCATATTCTTGCTTTGTCCTGACGCGCCTCGATGTCCTTGTTGCACGTGATTTAAAACCCAAACCGAAAACGACCCTCGGTAGAAATCCGAAAATCCGGATTTTGCCCTGCCCCAGGTACAGCGCTCGCTCGCCACTGCCATTCCTTATCCTAGACTTGGTTCATGACCCACAAAATCGTTTAGAAAGACCATGACAATTGGCCAGAGGATTGCTTAATTTTTGAGGCTGATTATGCTGATACCGTACTCAAAAGTAAGCTGATTGCCGGGCAACCAGCCTAGTGCAAATAAGGTCGTGTCAAGGTCTCGCTAGACCGGACCTGTTTCCTCGGCCCCGATTTCAACGTTCTCTTGCCGAAGCCGCATCATCGCACATTGATCCGGGCTTAGTTGCTCTCTGATCCAAGCCTCCAAGCCAATTTCACCTTTGCTTGTTTGTTTTTTCTTGTTTTTCCTTGTTGTTCTTCGAGCAATTTGCCAAGTTTCCGAGTGCTCTCGATACGCCTACAACACAATGAAATTACCTATCGTTCTCCTGAGTACGCTGGTGCCTGCCCTGGCCTGGTCACCAACAGACTCGTATGCCCCAGGGAACGTCTCATGCCCGGCCTACGTTCATCAATCAGATACCGGGTTGGTCCGAGCAGCCGACTCGCTAAGTGACGACGAGTCCACCTGGATCGACAAAAGGCACGAGATCACGGACAAAAACTTGATCTCGTGGCTCGAGCACGCGAACATTACCGATTTCAAGCCCGCGGATTTCATCAACAACGCGAACCGTTCCATCAACATTGCCGTTGCTTTCAGTGGAGGTGGATACAGGGCCATGCTCAACGGAGCAGGCCAGTTGTCTGCTTTGGATAACAGAACAGAAGGTGCTTACGAACACGGTCTTGGTGGTCTCATCGAGTCCACTACGTATCTTGCAGGCTTGTCCGGTGGAAACTGGTTGGTGGGTACTTTGGCCTGGAATAACTGGACCTCGGTTCAATCCATTGTGGATGGAAACGGCATTTGGGATCTTAGGCATTCCATCATTTCCCCTGGTGGTTTTAATGTCTTCAAGGACCTAGGCTATTGGGACGACATTGATGATGATCTCGACGCTAAAGAAGACGCAGGCTATGACCTTTCGCTTACTGATGTCTGGGGTCGTACTCTTTCTCATCAATTCTTTCCCAATTACACCGATGCCGGAGCTGCTCTGACATTCTCCACTTTGAGAGATGCCTCTGTGTTCAAGTCTCACCAGATGCCATTTCCAGTGGTAGTTGCTGATGGAAGAACTCCCGGCTCATATGTTATCAGCGGCAACTCCACCATTTTCGAGTTCAATCCATTCGAAATGGGCTCCTGGGATCCTTCGCTGTATTCTTTCACGGATGTGAAGTACCTCGGAACCCCTACCAAGAATGGAGTGCCTACCGATGATTGTGTTGGTGGGTTTGAGAATACCGGCTTCATCATGGGAACTTCGTCTACCCTCTTTAACCAGTTCATTCTTCAGCTCAACACCTCTTCGCTTTCAGGTGCTTTGTACGATATCGTCGAGCATTTCCTCAAGGATCTGAGTGATGATGACAACGATATCGCCTCGTACACTCCTAACCCCTTCTATGGTACCAAGTGGGCAGGTGTGGAGAGTATCGTCAAGAACGAAACTCTTTACCTGGTTGATGGTGGAGAAGACGATCAGAACATCCCGCTGTATCCTCTTCTGCAGTCTCAGCGTGACGTTGACGTAATAATTGCCTTTGACAACTCTGCCGATACCGACCAGTACTGGCCCAATGGAACCTCGTTGGTTTACTCGTACGAACGTCAATTCTCGACTCAGGGTAACGGTACTGCTTTCCCATACGTTCCAGATATGGAGACGTTTTTGGCTTTGAATCTGACTGCGAAACCAGCCTTTTTTGGCTGCAACGGCTCTAACCTGACTTCGCTGCTGGACGAGGTCGGAGCCGAGACCGTTCCTCCTTTGGTCGTTTACATGGCTAACAGGCCATTTTCGTACCAAAGTAACACCTCTACTTTCAAACTTTCATATACCGACGAAGAGAGAAACTCGATTATTCAGAACGGATTTGAGGTGGCCTCTCGTCTAAATATGACTTTGGATGACGAATGGCGTGCCTGTCTTGGTTGTGCAATTGTTCAGCGTGAATTTGAGCGTCAAGGAAAGTCCATTGGTGAACAATGCACCAAGTGCTTTTCTGAATACTGTTGGGATGGATCCTATGATGACGACAGTGTCATTGGTGTGAATTATACCACTGATGGTTTGACCAATGGAGACCAATCCACAGAAGGTTCTAGTGGAACCGCCAAATCAGGTGCCAGTTTTGTTAATCCTGGCTGGGCCTTGGTAACCACGGTTTTGGCTGTCGTTATGGCGGTGACTCTTTAGAGAGTCGAAAAAAGAATTGCTACTATAGTTATGATTACCACTCTATGGAAAGTCCCTGTATACTCATATACCCTAGAAAATGATACTTTTTGTTTTCATCCTCATCTTTTCAACAACGAAAAAGTCGGAGACCCCAATACCTTGGCCCCACCAAGTTCCACTATCTCCATCACGAACTGGAATTCAACAATATTCACACCGCAAGCCTCGACTACCTTTCCTGCGGCCCCAGCACTTCCCCCTGTGGCAAGAACATCATCCACAACAACGACGTTTGATCCCTTGGGCATACAGTCAATCTGGATCTCGAAAATGTCCGACCCATACTCCTTCTTATATGGTGCAGATGCCAACTTTCCAGGTAATTTTCCCTGCTTTCTCACGGGCACGAATCCTGCGCCGATTTCCAGAGCAATTGCCAGTCCTATCAAAAACCCTTTTGCCTCAAGTCCAACCACGTAATCAACCTTCAAGCCTCTTTGTTCTATGTGTTTTGCAAATGCCCGTGCCATCCCCTTACATAGACGAGAAGATCTGAATACTGGCAAGAAGTCCTCGTAAAGAACGCCTTTCCTAGGGAAGTCGAAATATTGTTCTAACGCCCCGTTGATTTCCCTTGAAATAAGCTCGATTTCATCCATATCAGTCGATATTTGTATGAATTGTCCAATCTAGATCTGGTGTGCTGGATCTCGAGGTTCTACTGGTAGCTGATGCGATAAGGGCTACTTGAGCCGCGCGCGATATCTTCGGGCCGGGTAATGAAATTTTTCAGATGTTATTTAGTGAGCAGTGAACTTATGGTGTAGCTTGATCTTTGCTAGCCTTTTTAATTTGTCGTTATCGTCTCTTCAATGGGCACAAAACGCCAAAAGACCGCTCATCACACAATCAACTACGAAACGCTGACTTTTGATGAAGTGCTCCGTAATGTGCGGTCTTTGGAAGGTCCGCCAGGCGAGGGTCTAATACACGCGTGGATAGCTGAGGTTCCCGCGTCTGAATCGGCAAAAGTCCTAAGTGCAATACGAGAAGGTGTTGATGATACGGTTGATCTTAAACATCTCAAAAGATTCGTGAAGACAGCAAATGGAACCCTGCGTACACTGGTGTGTAGCGTGGATCATATGAAGAGACCACAGCTTGAAGAACTACTGCGGTCGGTCACAATCCTCAATATTACGGAGGAATTGGTTCCGGGGATATATCCTACAACTAAAGAGGTTTCCCTGGAACTTTCTGCAAAATACTGGCCCATCTCGTGGAAGGGTAACCCATTGGTACAGGAACTCAATGAATTGAAGGTGGATGTACCCGCAGTGAAGAAAAACCTGGAGTACATCGCGAAAATAGCGAAAGAGACCACAGGAGTGAGTTAATTTGTTTTTCTTCGGTCGTCTTGGATTTCTTTCTTATATATACTAACAGAAACAGCTGCCTATTGTGACTATGATGGTTGATTCCAGAGACCCACAGAGACGGGTAGTGAGTGTGGATTCTCGTGAAACCAACCAGTTGGCGCATTCTGTTATGCGTTGTATTCAAGAGGTGGCTGATCACGAGGTAGAGAGGCGAAAATTAGGCGAAGAACGCGATTACCTCTGTTTTGGATACGATGTCTATACCACCCATGAACCATGTGCAATGTGCTCCATGGCACTAGTACATTCGCGAGTTTCGAACCTGTACTATGTCAATCAAAGTCCTGTCACAGGTGCCATTGACCCTCAAAGTGGAAGTGGCTATTGCATCCATAGAGCACTCACATTGAACTGGAAGTTTGAAGCCTGGCATTGGCTAGAGGAACTGGATGTGGACAAAATAGCTCCGGATGTCTTTGTGTGAACCTATATGATGGGCTTTAGGACTTGTTCATTCTTTTGCATACTTTTCACTCTAACGCTGCCATGATCTCAGATTCCATCTCTTTCATATTACCAGTGATTTCGCGTACTGTAGCATTCATGTCCTCATCCGGTTCAGTTTCTAAACTATCGAGAGAGTCAACGATTCCACGCATGTCTACCAATCTCTGAGCAATTTCAATCTCGAGGTTGTCCACCATCGAATCCAGAGAACTGTCCAACACTTTCATCTGCCGCACTAGTTTCTCCAAAGTCTCTTCTTCAGTAGAAACCTGGGCTTCAGCCCCATCATCGGAGTCAATTTCATGTAACTCATGTCGTATAGAATCTGCCACGTCTTTCAGCCGTGACTCGTGTTGACGTCTCAGCGTCTTGTAGAGTGTATCTTCCAGCTCTGGAGTCACGCCTTTTTGCGATTGAGACACTATAGCACGGAATCGCTTCATCGGTACGGCATGTTCCAGTGATGACCGCGAGAGCAGATAGTCCGATAAAAGGGATGCAGTAGTCATGGAATAATAGAGAAAAATAGAACAAATACACAAGACAAAGGTACAGTCAAAAAGCCAAATATACCTGATCTGCTTATCCTGAGAAAGACGCGTCTTGATCAATTCGGAGGTACACGACACATCACCAGTCTAAGGCTCGTTGAAGAGAGGCAATGAGTTTTGCAAACGAACCATAAGACATCCAGACCATCACATATAATACCATGGAATTGGTGAGTGGCGACATATTGATAGATGCATCGTGTCTTTTACTAACCGTTACAGCTACCCGAGGGACAGAAGAATACCACCGAGGTGTCGTGGGAAGACCAGCAGAAGATCAACGAGTTCTCCAAACTGATCGGAAGAAAGGACGATTTGGAACAGCAACTGGCGGGCCAGAGGCAAGAAAAAGAATATCTTGATGATGTGGCACTAGAAATTGAACTTGTGGATGAAGATGAAAGACTCAACTACAAAGTTGGCGACACCTTTGTTCTGCTTAAGCAGGAGCAGGCCGTGGAAATGCTTGAACAAGACACCGCAGCTATAGATGCCAAAATTGAAAAACTCGAGTCTGCTGATGAAGAACTTGATCTACGACTCAAAGAGCTCAAAGCTCAATTGTATGCGCGGTTTGGAACTGCCATCAATCTTGAACGTTAGTCATAATCTACAACGCCGTGTACGCCAAAAACGTTTTATGATCTATTTTACAAAAGCCATTTTAAAGTTTTTCGTAGCCTCACAATGGCTTCATTGTGCCCTCCAGCTCGTCGTATCTCCGCCTGTACATCCGACGCTTTCCTCCGGGGAACTCCTCTCCAACACGCATGGACTCGCGCTTGAGTCTGCGGATGTTTCTTTCACGTTCAATCTCACGCTTTTCAATCTCCCATTGTGATAAAGTCTCGATGGTGGGCGACCATTCGCGTCCAAGGTCCTTGATGTCGAATCTCAGTCCCTGGCACTCGTAGTTCTCGCCCGAAAGCACCTCTGGAGATGTCTGATACACCTTATTCTGCTTAGGCAGGTCTTGTAGTTGCCACAGAGCCAGCTGGGGATTTTCGAGAAACTCGCGTTTCATCTTGAGTAGCATCTCGTGGAGCGCCTGTGCTATGGCAGGTCTGAACTCGGAAGAAAGTCCCATTTCCGAAACAACGGTATATGCAAAGTCCTCTGGAGTTAAGTCTTCGTTCAACAAATCCCACTCGAGATTGTCCTCGTACAAATCTTTGTCAAGGTTAACCGAAAGATGCACAATGATGTGTAGTCCATCGCCCTCCTTGGGCAAAGGCGTGGCAGCTATAGCCTGATACTCCTCTATCTGCGAAACAATAGAGGAAGCTATTTGCTGCTGGTATGAAGGAGGAAGCTCTAGGTCCTGACACATAGTTGCAGCAAACGCCTCTGGAGTGATCAACGACTCATTGGCATTCCACATAAACGCGTCCGAAATCTTAGCTGAATTGTATTCCAAGTTGATCTTGATCGGCACCATTACCACGGGCAACGACGCATTGTAGCGAAGCTCCTGTTCTGAGAAGGCTATTGGCCGCGTTTTGGGTGCTTCCTTACCCTGAAAGTTAGATAGGTCAATGGTGGGGTTCGCGTTTGCGCGTCTGGTGATCCCATCATCGTCGGAATCGTATGTATCGTCTTTGTCTTCGTCATCTTCAAACAAAAAGTCATCCCTATCAAACTCTGCGTAGTTGATGGCAGTGTGTGCCCTCTTGGTGCTTCTCGAGGGCACCGCCGCAACATACAATGACGTGTTCTCGTTGCGCAACCGCGTGGCAAACGATGTGGCCAACGCCTGAGGAAATAACGGTCTTTCTATCACTGGTGCCATTTCAACCGAGAAAAAATGAGATGTATTGGCGTAGTTGGTAAAGTTAGCGGTGATTATGTGCCTTACTATACAAATCCACGACACCAAATATGCCCATATCCCATGCTCACATGTACGCACTCGTGCCCATGTATACACAGGGTACCCTCAAAAAAATTTGTTCAGCCAAAATTGCCCACGATCTTTCGTCGGTGGCCTCTTTCCCTCAAGTTGCATCTGTCCAACCATCATATATATTACAATGTCCTTTTCTGATTTCTCTAAGGTCGAAACGATCTCCGCCTTGAACGCCTTCTTGGCCGACAAGTCGTACGTCTCTGGGTATGTATAAGATTTGCCACGGGGCAAGTGGAACTCGACTTGTTGAAAGAGTGAAGGTTGAGAAAGTTGATGAATGCTCTTGAAGCTTCTAGTTTTTTTTTGGAAGTTTTGCCATACTGTTGTCCAACTTGCTCAATCTTCTTCTCGTGTTCTGGATCAACCGCTATTCTGATGATTTAACTTGGTCCATGTTTATGATGCGGATTCAAGACCCGTAATATGAGTATCAACCCAAAGGTGTAACGCCTATCCTGACCAATAGCGGTTTTCAGTTGACATGAAGTCGAGATTCAATTTTGTTTTCTGAATCTTTTTGCTAACCAAATCCCAGTACTTCTGCCACCCAGGCTGACGTTGCCGTTTACAAGTCTTTCCAGAAGCAATTCCCAGACTTCTCCAGATGGTTCAACCACATCGCCTCTTTCACAGCCGAGTTCGAGACCTTGCCAGCCGGTGAGGCCCCAGCTGGTGCCAAGGAGGTTGCTGCTGAGGAGGACGACGACGATGAAGTCGACCTCTTCGGTTCCGATGACGATGAAGTTGATGCCGAGGCCGAGAAGGTGAAGCAACAGAGACTCGCCGAGTACGCCGCCAAGAAGGCTGCCAAGGGTCCTAAGCCAGCTGCCAAGTCGCTCGTCACTTTGGATGTCAAGCCATGGGATGACGAGACCGACCTCGAGGAGTTGTTGGCTAACGTTAAGGCCATCGAGAAGGACGGTCTCATCTGGGGTGCCCACACCTTCATCCCAGTTGGTTTCGGTATCAAGAAGTTGCAGATCAACATTGTTGTTGAGGATGACAAGGTCTCTCTTGAAGAGTTGCAGCAGGAAATCGAGGAGGACGAGGACCACGTCCAATCCACCGACATCGCCGCCATGTCGAAGTTGTAAGAAGGGAAGTTTTGTACGTTTCCAGAGCCTATTTACAATGTCAGTTTTGAAGATTGATTCTTTTTAATGATCCAAATCGGGATGCACAGGTGTAGAGTAAGCATTGGCTATTTCATTGGCTATTTCATTGGCTATTTCATTGACTCTTCTGTTCAAGCTGTAATCAAGCCATCACGTGAAAATTTCAGATTGAAGCCTCTAGGCTGTTGAAACTTTCCAGTCACAGCATTAACAGCTCTCCATATTACTCCTACAACCTTCCTCAAAGTCTCTTTTTCATTGTTTCTTCCATGTATTTACCTCTTTTCCCTTTCCTCACAAACACGCGGTCTCCCTCTTCAACCAGTTCAACTCAGCAGATCTTCTAGGCAACAATGGAGAGATTGTTTCCCAAACTTGCTTGTGATACTCGTTGATCCAGAACTTCTCGTCAAACGTAAGCAACTTGTTGTTGATCAGCTTTCTGCAGAAAGGCACTAAAGTGATGGTCTCGAACTCGTAGAACTGTTTGGTGCCCGCTGGAATGTCCTCAGCCTTCTTCACGTACATCATACTTTCAATTCTGATACCAAACTCGCCTGGCTTATAGAATCCAGGTTCGTTACTCAGTAAATTGCCGAGTTGCAGAGGAAACTTGGCATGACCCGCAATGCGGTATCCAATTCCCATTGGACCCTCGTGGACGTTGAGAAAAGCACCAACGCCATGGCCTGTAGAATGTGGGTAATCCAGTCCGTGTTGCCAAAGATGCTGTCTTGCAAAAGAGTCAATCATCAAACCAGTGGTTCCCTCTGGGAATCGAGTTCTCGCAAGGGCAACATGGCCCTTCAACACCAAGGTATAGGCGTTCATCTCCTCTTTGGAAGGAGACGTAAAGTGCACAGTACGGGTGGTATCTGTTGTTCCTTCCAAAAATTGCGATCCAGTATCACAGAGGTAGATTTTGGCGGGATTGATCATCGCAGGGCTATGCTTTGGCGAATAGTGCACTACAGCAGCATTTGCACCAGTGGCACTGATGGTCTCGAAAGACAACCCGACAAAATTTTTTTCCTGTCTTCTGAACTCTGATAGCTTTTCATCTGCTTCAACCTCATCGATAAGCTCGCCGTTCTCAACAAGCTCGTTTTCCAACCAACTCAGAAACTTCACTATGGCGGTGGAGTCCTTGACCTGCGCCAGCCTGGCGCCCTCGATCTCCTCGCGGGTTTTTGTGGATTTCAGTTCATCCAATGGTGAGTCCACGAGCTTGAAATTCTTTTCTGTGATGTGGTTAACGATCTCCCAGGACGTGGTTTTCGCTGGGAGAGCCACCAGCTTCGACCTGCTGGAGAGATCTTTGACGTCTTCAAAGATCTGACTGTACTTGAACAACTTGATATTGTTAGACTCCAGATACTGGGAAAAGGCTGCAAATCTTTCATGGGCATCCACATAGACTTTTATGCTATCGCCGTCAATGATCAGGTATGCGAAGAAAACAGGGTTATACTCAATATCAGATCCTCTGATATTCAAGAACCACGCAATCTCGTCAAGAGCACTCACAACAATAGAAGTTGCTCCCACCTTCTCCAGTTTCTCTTTTACAAGCTTGAGCTTTTCGGACACATCGAGTCCAGTCAGACTTTTCTCCAGTATACGAATGGGTTCAAGGTGACGTGGGACAGCGACCTCAAAACGGCCCCAAATGGCATCAACCAGATTCCTGGATACCGGCTTGAGACTCACTGCTGGTTTGAGCTTTGTGTCTTTGAACCCCTCCAGTTTTTGCTTCACGATCTGGTCCAGAGATTCAATAGAGACGTAAGATGCAAGTTTGGGGTCGATTCCAATGTGGATTTCTCTTCCAGAATCCTGGGACATTTGCACAGCATTGAAAGCAGTCCATTGCTGCCACGTAGGGTCTTCGGGCACTCCCTCGCGCAAAAGAGACCAGTTAAAGTCAAGCTCCTGAGTCGCCTGGGTGAAGTATCTTCCGTCTGTCGATAACACAGAAAGCCCTTCGGGCTGCTCGTTCATACACATGGGATCACGGGTGATGACAGCAACTCCCGCACTGCCACTGAAACCCGAAATGAAGCTTCTCCTCTGGTCCGCTGGGGCTGTGTACTCTGACTGGTGTGCGTCTTCACTGGGAACAATGTAGATCTCGATGTCTTCTTTCTGCATCTCCAGTCTCAAGGCTTCGAGTCTTCTGGAGGTGTTGATCTCCTTGTCCTCCTCGGCACAAGGATTCACCACCTGATCGATGACGCTCGAGGCGCGAGTGGACTTCCCAGGTGAGCTCGGGTTGGACCCAGAACGCGTAAGCGACATCCGTTTGTAGTATGTGGAGCTCATCCGGCCCTGACGTGACAGTAGACCGGGACTGCAGTTACAGTTGAGACAAGCCCTGGAGTTTCTGCGGATGGCGGGGCCGCCGGCGCTCATATGGGTGGCCAGTGAGTAGGTGGAGGGACGTGGCTGGATGGTGTGTGACATTTGAAAACCGATATTCTTGGTTGAATGAGGTCCGATTGCACTCTTGTGGCGATTTTCCCACTTTTTAGCAAAGTTTTTTTTGACCAGAACAGCACACAGGTTAGCCAAACTGGATTGGGCATAGAGCAGGGAGAAAATTGGATGATCAAGCAATCTGGGAAACGTGGTTGCGCGCACGACGTTTTGTTTTTGGAAGAGAACCAGCCTCTTTTCTGGTGAGTGGACATTTGGATTGAGGTGGAATTTTTTACAGAAAAAAAATTGCAAAAATGACTTACAATTTCCGTATTAGTTTGCTGGTAAATGTTAGATCTCTCTTTATGGCGTTTTGGGAAAAGCAACCGGTAGTGTAAAGAAAACTCTGGGGTTATCTATCTCATCAGCGAGGTGAATTAACCCCTTTGGGACTTGGAGTGAAATTTCGATCTGACAATGTGGTCTGTATTCTGGTGGAAATTTCTTTTGTATTATTGAAAACATAAATCCAAGTTGCATTTTCTGTTAACTTAACATTAAAATTGTCAAATTCGGGCAAAGTTGGGGGATTTACGGCGTTTTCAGGAATCCGCTCGTGCGGCTCGGCTGTCTAACTGGGCCCGACTCTTTGGCTGTGAGTCTATAAGCTTCCAAAATTGGTACTTGAACTACTATTTGATTTGAAATTTGATTTGTGAAACCTAGGCATTTTCATTTTCTACTACTTTTGAATCATTCGATATTATGAAAACGTTTAGCTCGAGGTCATAACCTGCCAGACACGGATGAGGTTGTCGGTGTAACCGGAGAACAGGCTTTGACCGTCGGCGGACCAGGCGACGGAGATACACTCAGGCTCCTTTCCACCGGCAGCGGAGGAAACCTCTGGTTTCAACTCGTCCATCAAAGATTGTGATTGCAAGTTGTAGATCTTGATCGAGGCAGAGGTGGCAGCACACAACCAGTATCTGTTTGGAGAGAAGGCCAAGTCGTGGACAACGTCACCGGATGGCAAGGTGAAAAGAACCTTCTTTCCGGACAAGTCCCAGACAATGATTCCGTCCTTTCCACCAGAGGCACACAAAGTGGCATCTGGGGCAATGGTGACGGCGGAGACGTAACCGTTGTGTCCAACGTAGTCGGCGTTCACGGAGAGGGTGTTCAAGTCCCATTCCTGTTGGATGTTAGTAAGTTGCGAAATGAAATGGGGCACTCCGAAGAAGCTCAACATTCTCAATTCCTTTCCGGGTTCCGTTGTTGTTTTGGTAATCAGAGATCTTGGTGATAATTTTATGTCTCATTCGAAGCTGGTGGGCAACGTCTGAAGTAGCAAATATTTGATACATCATCTAGAAGCGGAACCTTTGGAGGAAATCGAATCTTTGAGCGAGTCCCTTGGAATAGTTAGAAGGAGAAAAACATACCTTGACAACCTTGTCCCAGCCAACAGACAAGAAGTTAGTGGACTCGGAGGTTGGGAAGAACTTAACGGTGGAGACCCAGTCGTTGTGAGATTTCAAGGTGTGAACACAGTCACCAACGGTGTTCCAAACCTTGATGGTCTTGTCTCTGGAACCAGAGACGATGTGTCTAGAGTTGGATGAGATGGACACGGACAGAACGTCACCTTCGTGGCCGACGAATCTGGAGACAGACTCACCGGTCTCCAACTTCCAGAGACGCAAAGTCTTGTCCCAGGAAGAGGAGATGGCAAAAGCTCCATCAGGAGAGATGACAGCATCGGAAACGATGTGGGAGTGACCCTTCAAGGCTCTCTTTGGGTAACCGTACGATTGCTCGTCACGGGTCAATTGCCAGGTGATCAGGGTCTTGTCTCTGGAAGCAGAGAGCAAGAGATCTGGGTTAGATGGGGTGGTGACCAAACGAGTGACCCAGCCGTTGTGGCCTAGAAACTTGAGTTAGTATAAAGTCCGGGAGGATGTATTTCAGTGGATCGCTTGAGGTTGATGAGTGAAATTTTGAAGTCTTCGAAACTGAAACTTTTCAACGTTGAAAATTTTCGAAATTCTTGGCCGAACAAGTTGAAAAATAGGCAGTCAAATCTTGTCAACAAGACAATCATGCAAATTCTATCTGCAAAGAGATTAACCGACTCTGGCCCTGTTTTCAGCACCCTCAACTTTGACCGGTACTGTTCACAGCTCATAGAACTCTGCATGATTCTCGACTCTTTAATCACAGCCTCAAATGGGAAATCCCTGGATCTAAAATGCCAACATACCTTCCAAGGTACCTCTCAAAACAAGAACTTCAGTCATTATTGGGGAAAAATGTGTGTTCTTTGTGGATGTAAAGACGCTCTAGCACTGTTAATTTTTTCACCAACCAAAGAGCGTTGATGGGCTACTGCTTTGGAGGTTAGGCGGCCCTGGGTGTGCACAAAAACGCTGCCCGGAGCGGTAATTCGTGCCAGGGACGACCATCTGTGGGCGTTAAGCAAAGTGCCGTAATGTACGCATACCGGGATGGTGTATACTTGGTGGAAGCGTGACTGTTCTTTAAGTGGGATAACCAACATAGCGCCGCATTGGAAATGAGACGTGTGTACACCGATTGTTGTTTGCACTATATTGGTTTTCGCACTTCGCTCATAGAATGAAGGGACTAACAGGTTAGTATAGCTGGTGTCGTACTTTAAATACAGCTCCTTCTGGTTTACATTCCCTGAACCCTTATTTCTTGCTTGTTCTATCCGATTATGAGTGAAGAGTCGGACATACGGTATATCCAGGAGAGACTGGATTCTCTGTATGAGATAGACACTGTGAGTCTCGATCTACTATCTCTTTCACCGTGACCCCAACTAACAGTATATTTCTCGCTAGAAAATAGTTACACTGCTAGATAACATGTCCTCAGCCATATCAAATCTGCACGAGGGAAAGAAGATGATTTCTCAATCGAAAGAGGAGTCACTAGAGGAGGTGAAAAAACAGTTCAAGGAGAACTGCGGTAACGTTTACGAGAACCTGTCTAGTGCAGTCATAGGATTGAGACGTGAAATTAAGCTTCTGGACCATCGCACAAATGCAAATGTGGTGTCCGACAAAGAAGTTAGGATTTTGCCCGTGAACATCAACAAGAAAGCCGTTTGGGTGGGCGAGTGGAAGCTGAACCAGGAGGTGGAGAATCTGGAAGCGATGTTGGAGGAGAAAGCGAGCTGATGCGAGCTGTCGCCAATCAAAAGGATATAAGCTTTTTTGGATCCAGATTCGTGTTTTGAGCAGAGCCCGATTCAAAGATCCAGACCTTGTTCTGTGATGCATTCTCACACTAAACCACCAAACCAGCCCCAGATTCCAGTATCACAATTCGAATAAGTCTCTCGCGCACTCTGCCATTCAATCTGCATTCCCTATGGACCTACCAACAGACTATTTTCCTCAACAGGCCTCTGCAGTTGGTCTCCTCACTTAGCAACCAACCTCTCCATAGGCCCTCAAGCAATCGCACGGGCACGCGCCCAAATCCGCCAAGAGTTGTTCCACACTTTCAAAGAACTCCCACAATTTGTACAATATAACAAAACACGAGTAAATATAATTTTTTGCCCCAAAGTCCAAACACCGATTCCCTATTATTCCCAATGTTGGATCATGCACGCCCCAAACCGGAGAACACACGCAGCCCGATGCTTCGGAAACGAAAGGGGCTCATCTGCCAAAAACGGGGCCATTGGAGATTTACAGTCGATCTTTTCGCGTGGTACTTTTCCCAGTGGATACTGGGGTTCAAAGTGATTTTGATCCTTATCGTTTTTCGGAATTTTGAATAGTTCACGAGCCATGAGATTGCTGATATCGGTGGCTTTAACTTTGTCTATGCTGCTTCAGGCAGTTAGCGGTGCCCCCGCCGTTAACGACGCTAAACAGAGACCGCTTATTCCAGACTCTACTGCACTGGAAACGCTAACTTCGACCCATTTGAAGGAGGGCAGTGATAGCGAAGATCTGGTGGTTTACAAGGATGATCACGGGTTCATATACGCGAAATTCGATCTCGTGCATCTGATGAAGATTTACGGTGGGGAAGCGGATGATGTTGAGATCGGCGAAATGGTGTTGATGTCCACACAATACTTCAACTTGACTCAAGGAGCAATTGATCTGGAGAGAGATAGTGAAAAACGCCGTGTTAAGGCATCGGATGTGGAGTCTGGGTTCAAGAGACAGAGAGCCAAGTTTGTGTCCATTGAGGTTTCACCCGAACAATCGTTCGTGAGAAGTGCGTATTCGTCTCGGATGAGCAACGAGCAGCCGCGTGGAGCTGCAAGTGCTAGAAGTGCAGAAAAACCAACTTCTTTGGACGACGGGCACGATCACGGGTTTAGACATGACCCTCAAGACTCCTACGCTACGCTTGTGCATGCGCGTTATGGAAAGTGTCGTGGGGTCCACAAACTTGTTCTGAAGGGAGAGATAATTAATCTTGAGAGCAAGGAAGTTGTTACCCAATTCAAGGCCACAGGGAACATTCCTGTGGATCCTCTGGATTACCGCGCCCACAGAACCACTCTGGAGTCTTTCAAGAGCTTTGGTCGCGATTGCTTTGAAAAATTGCATCGTCTGGGCTCGTTGTTTGATGAAGACACCATTCTTGGATTTGCAGTACTGAGTTTTGTGATTTGTGCTGTTTATGCGATCAAGGACGTGATCAAAGCTAAACTACATGACTCTGAGGAGGATGAGATGAACGAGCAGGAGAAGAAGCAGAAACTGGTGAGGGAGTTGTTCGCGAAGAATTGACGACTATTGGTGCGTCCTCGGGAGAATGTGGTGTTTTTGTGTTGGCGAGAGTCTTCAAGGAATCCAGTGATTTGGTGAGAATCCGAAATTTGCTGGTGTTTTGCATCTCTGGCGTGAATTAAGAGGGAAGTGGTGTTTTTTTTTATCAGCATACCTAGTATGTACGGTTTCGGTGGGTTATTTGTTCGTTTATCTACTTCTGGTATCAATTTCCAGTTCCTATAGCTATTCATTAATGATGGTTTATACCGCGCGTTTGCTGTGTCTGTAGTCTAAGCATCGACGAAATCGTCGAACCTGTTCTTGAACTTGAGTATGTTTTGCTTGATCTTAGATCCATCCACCCAGGTCAGGTAATCTTCTAGATTCCTCGTAACCAAGTAGGCTGGGTCTGTGATCACATTGGGGCCAATTCTGATGTGGCCTTGCTCGACAAATTTCACGGCATCCGGTGTGTTCTCTGCCATTTTGAGCCTCGTCATCACTATCGGCAGTCTTCTTCTGCAGATAGCCGAGACCGTCATCTTATTCTCAAGATCAGAAATCTTAGACTTGGTGGCCAGAATGCCCATATCGTAAAGCTTCTCTAGCAGCATTTGCTCGTGTTTGATTCTGAAAGGGTCATTCGGCTGTAACAAAGACAGTCTGTGTGCTAACTTCCGCACATCTCCGCAGATCTTGTTGTATTTGTGGTAGTCCTCTCTGTCCTGAATGTGGTAGCGTCTCATCACCTCCAAGTCTCTGTGGCCATCCTTCCAGTTGAGGAAGTCTACCTTTTTCAGTAGCTTCTGCTCATGATGTTTGAGTTTTCTGACCATTTTAAAGAAGACCGTTTATGCAAACCAGGATATATATATGGTCGGATGTATCAGTTAGTACCCAATAGCTCAATCGATATTTCACTCCTAGCCCAAATAAAAATTTACTAGGCTCATCTCTTAGGGGTTACCCGGGCCTTGGGATCCAGCGACGAAATTTTGGCTCCACGACGGAATCGGTTCACGTCTCTGAATGTTTCCTCCAGTTCTTACGCCATCTTTTTTGTGGTTAACGCTGTTTCGAAGCATTGTTCGAGATGTTGTCGCGTAATATAGTTCTCCAGCAACGGCTGTTTTCAACCGCGAGACCGGTGCTGTCGCACATCGGTTCGGCCCCAATCAGAGTGCCTGAAGACTTCAAGATTGAGATGAATGATCTTTTGCACCCAAAAGTCATAAGGAAGGGCAGAAATCAAATTGTGCTATCGCAGTTACTCACCTTCAACGGACCAAAGGGCTCCATGGATCTGGTTGCTCCAAATTTCATACAGGTTGAGCAGCAGGATGGAAAGATGAACATATCCATTCCCAATGCTAAGGACAAGATCCAGAGGTCTCTCTGGGGCACATTCCGCACTCTTATAGACAACAATATCAAGGGTGTGACCGAGGGACATGTTTCTATGCTGAAATTGCGCGGCACTGGTTACAGAGCCATGTTGGAGACGAAACCAGACGGAAAGAAATGGGTCATGCTGAAGATTGGTAAGGCCGATTTACAAGGTTTGCCTATCCCAGAAGGTATCGAGGTATCTATCCCAACACAGACATCGGTGATTCTCGAGGGAACAAACCTGCAACAGGTGAATCTCTATGCTGCCAGACTGAGGAAGTTCCATCCTCCTGAGCCATACAAGGGTAAGGGAATATACATGAACGATGAGACTATCAAGCTGAAAGATAGAAAGGTGAAATGATCGCATGACTAGATATTGAAAATACATAAACGGCCTGTAAATACGTCCTCCGAACGTGAGCTGTAAGAGAGAGGCAGTGGTGCTTTCAGGCATATTCTCTCACAGAAACATGTACTAAACCAAGCGTTACTGTATGGATTACACATGGGTACGCTTCCTAACTTTTTTCAGTAATTTCCAACATTTTCTTGGACCTACAACTCTTCCTAATTTGCATTTCAGTTCTCCAATTCCCCGAGGCCGTCTTATGTATCTGCGCGGGGCTGCGTAACCACCTCATCATAGAAAAAAAATCTAGAAATAATTTTGAGTAGCTCCACGCGAACACCCTATACTGACTACTCTCCAACCAGCACGCATTTGCCCTAATCAGCATGTCTTCAGTCAGACAGAGAGTTCCTGAAGCCAGGAATCCAACCCTTCCCGCACAATCTACCCCAGAACAGCGGTATTGGAGGGGATTTGTGAATACGCAGCTTGTCAAAGAGCACAATGCCGTCACACACATACACTTCAACCCGGTGTCTCCACATGATTTTGCCGTGACAAGCTCTACCAGAATTCAAATATTCAGCTCGAAGACAAGACAAGTGATCAAGACATTTTCGCGGTTCAAAGACACCGTGTATAGTGGGGAGTTCAGAGACGATGGAAAGCTACTTGTTGCTGGAGATGCAACTGGTTTGGTTCAGATTTTCGATGCATACCAGCCAAAAAGCTTGCTAGTGACGATAAAGCCCACCAGTCATCCTGTTCATGTCACAAAATTCAACCCAACAGTTTCTACTCAGCTTTTGACTGCCTCTGATGACCGCTGTGTGAGACTGTACGACATCTCCAACTCTGCAGCCCCATTACTTACTTTGGATGACCATTCCGATTACGTGCGCACTGCTAGTTTCATCCCAGGCACCAGTTTGATTGCCACTGGTTGTTATGACGGATATATACGATTGTTCGACCCACGCAGTGGAGACAAAGTCGCGCAGTTCAACCAACAGGATCCCGTTGAGGATCTTCTTTCGCTCTCGCCAACAAGTCTCGTTTCGTGTGGAGGCCCCAGTTTAAAAGTGTGGGATTTGTCTGCAGGCAAGTCTTTTAAGACCTTGACGAACTTTGCTAAGACCGTGACATGTTTGTCCAATGCTGGAGAAAGAGGCATCCTGGCTGGTTCTATAGACGGTCATGTCAAGGTGTTTGACAGCTCCAGTCCTGAGTGGCAGGTCACGTTCGGCTGGAAATTCGGCAATGGTGTTATGAGCTGTGGAGTTTCTCCAAACCATAAGCATTTTGTTGCTGGTTTAAATTCAGGTTTATTGGCTGTGAGGACGAGAAAAATTGAGTCTACCAAGTCCAAGCAACTGCCCAAGGAGAAATCCAACGCTTTCGCAAGAATGCTTAAGGGTTCCGACTATTTAGGAGAATTTGAACACCAGGTCATTAATGACGCTCAGCAACAGCAGAAGAAGCTGAGACAATTTGAAAAAGATTTGAACAGTTTCAAGTGGTCGGATGCTTTGAACAGTGCTTTCGTTTCGGGATTGCCCAAAGAACATACTGTGGCTGCTCTCGAGGAGCTCAAGAGAAGAGGAAAGGTTCGTGCTGCTTTGAGTGACAGAGACGAAATGTCACTGGAGCCATTGCTGACTTGGTCTTTGAAGGCTATTGAGGATACCAGAACGGTAGGCATAGTCTCTGACTATGTGGGTGTGGTACTGGAATTGTACGCGGATATGGTGGAGAGAAGCCCAATTCTGGAGGAATTACTTCTTTCGTTGGACAAAAAGCTCAGCTCAGAAATTGTCAAAGCTCAAGAAGCCCAGAAGATCGAGGGTATGTTAGAGTTATTGAGTGTATAAAGGAAGAGCCGCATACTAGTCAGCATGTAGCAACCTCAAAAGATATCCAGATCATATTCATCTCCGTTTAAAGAACTTCCCCCTGTTCTTCTTATTAATTTTCAGTCGAACGAAATTGTTGCTCACAAAGGCGTTTCGCTTCTGAGCATCCAGCTTGGCCCATTTAGTCTTCTTCGCCTCTTCGTATTCACTCTCGTCTTCTTCGCTGCTGACTTCTTCACTTTCGTCCGTATCTGGATTAGCATCTTGTTCGATTTTGCCTAATTTCTTGTGAATGTCAACTGTAGCCAAGTCGTCCTCCATATCCATTGGCATCGTCTTGATCCGCACCCTTCTGGTGCTTCTCTTCTGCGTCCTGGCCTTTTTTCTATATACCGGCTCTGGCTCTGCTGTAGTTTGATCAGCTTCATCTTTAGTGGTGTCTTCGTCGTTTCCTCGAGTTTCATTAATTTTTTCCTGTGATAGAGCAAGGTTTTCACTCTGGATAAGGAGCCGTATATCCTCGTCCTCGATATCACTCTCGTGCATATTTTCGCGCTGCCTCTTCAGTTCCTCAATTTCATGGCCCATCTGAAAAATGGATTTGTTTCGAGACTTCAATACCGGTGATGGCTCGATTATCTTCGTGGGCGAGATCAGTTGGGCCTTTGCCCACTTGGTTGGTGTTAGCTGTGTTGGGTCAGATGTTGGTGCGAGAGTAGGGCTGGATCCAAAGTGAATCGGCTCCACTTGCCTGCTTTCTCTCCGCAAGTAAATTGGTGTGTCCATCACTTCTTTGGACGGAGATCCGTTCGGTTCTTGGAGAACCCTCGCAGTTGAGGGTGTCATATCCCCAAAGGTCAGTAGCTTGGCCTTCTTGGTAGGGGTCTTGAACGTCGCATCCTGCTTTTTTGTTGGAGTTTCGGGGATCTGTGGCTCTTTTTCCAGTAGTTTCAGATCGAATAGTCCAAGGATCCTTCCTCCCAATTGAGGGGTCGGGCCCAATTCGGTGATCACCAAGGTCTCCTCTTCCTCTTCTTGTTGAAGTTTCGTTTTGATATCATCGAACTCATTATCATTTAATTGACTCTGATCAACTTCCACCACTTTCACTGCTTCAGACTCCAAAGTGCTTCGCAATGCCCGCTTATATTTCTCGTATTTCTTGTACTTCCGCGCCATACCCTCGTTGCTCTTCACGTCCTTGAACTCAGGCAATCGCCCGTCGTTGCCATTGGCAAAGCTGTGTTCCCATTGTTTGATCTCCTTCTTCAAAAGTCCGATTTTCTCCTCTATCTTTGCCACAGTTGCCATTTTGTCACAAGCCGAGCCCGAGATGCTTGATTTTTTACCCAGAAATGTAAGCAGCTTGAAGTATAATGGAGAGTCGCGCGTGCCAAAACGCGAAAACCGCGATGAGCAAGGCCGATGCGTGTATTGACAATATGCGAGGTCTGGATAGACGTTTAGAGAAATAGACATATATTCTTATTTCTTGTTCCCTATACCATAGAGAATATAGTGCATATTGATATAGCATCTATCTATATGTTTCACAATGGCTAGTTCAGACAAATTCGTCACCATATATGTGCTCGATCAGAGTCCCGCGATGGCTCCCCATTTTGACCAGGCCAAAGCGTATGTGGAAAGTTGTCTGGTGGGGAAGGTATGTTCTTATGATTATTTGTTGTTTATTGTATGCAACTAACCAGATATTCAGGTTCTCAAGGGCAAAGTACTTGATCAGGTCAATGTGATCACCACTCATAGTGGAGGTAAGTTCTATTTGCTCTATTCATGCAAATGTCGGGGTCCCATGCTAACTATGACTAGAAACGTCAGCTTCTGAGATTGTTGATCCTGTATCCCAGCTACAGATATTATATGACCATTTAGAGGAGAAACGACCTCATGGCCGGTATTCCGTCACCCCTGGCTATGAGAGCCTGCAGAGGTTTCGAGAGAGGGTGAACCTCAATAGTGCTCCCGTGCAGGAGCAAGAGGGAACTTTGGTGGATGGAGTATTCCTTGCTCTGAAATGCATCTCAATGCTCTTGAAGAAGGATCTGACTACTGGGAAGTTGGTTCTTCCGACAGAAAGACTTACAATTGTAGTTTTGACCAATTGTGAGTCGAATACAGGAATCCAAACAGCCGATGTGGAACTGCTTCGAACGATGCTCCGTATAGGCAATGTCACCCTCACGGTGGTGGACTACGGACTTGGTAAGACTGAGTCTTCATTTGTGAAACAGGAGCAGGAATCGAAGTGGCTGGAGTTTTTTGGAAGACTACCATCTCGAGAACTGGACTCCGTTTTTAGCCAGCGATATCTGATGTCTTCTATCGTGAGCGGTGAGAAGGTGAATCGTGCTACTTTTTATTGGCAGGATGCACCTGTGACGACAACGTATCGTCCTGTGAAAGCTTTTAGTGGTGAGATACGACTTGGATGTGACGTTTTGAAGGAGGAATTGGTTTTGAGCGATCCGAATGCAGTCCCTCAAGTGCAGAATCAAACCATTAGGATGAACGCCGAGGGCTACTCATTGGTCAAAAAGGAGCCACCTTTGAATGCGAGCAAGAAGGTGGTGGAGAAAACTAATGAAGGATATTATTCAGCAGGTAATATCAAACAACTCAAGAGCTACTACACTGTGGAGAGTGTTGTGAATGAATCCACCGGAAAGGCTGATAAAGTGCAGCGAGAAGTTGATTCCTTCAGGATACAGCGAAGGTATAAATTCGGGACCTCTGAGATACCCGTTTCGGATGTCTCAAGGGCCAGTCTCAAATTTCCAACTCATCCAGCCATTGATGTGATCGGATTCCAAAAAAAAGCTGATTTACCTCCATGGTATTTTGTTCACGAGCCTTTGCTCATAACACATCCATTGCCTGATGCCGGCACCAAAAGCGAGCAACTTTTTAATGTTCTGTGCCAGGCACTTTTGGACTTGGACTATATTGCCATAGTGCGGTTTGTACAGAAGAAAGACACTCCGGTAGAGGTTTGCGCTATGATTCCATTCCTGCTTGCTGATGTTCGGTCTCAGGCCTTCAAGGGTGTCATTTTGAATTTGAAAAGAGCTCGAGATGATAAGCTGGAGACCAACTCATTGGATGGCAGTAGCTACTGCTTTACTTTGATCAAGCTTCCGTTTAGAGAGGACGAGATGGTGGCTGTGTTTCCACGCAATAAGAGCTCTGTTGATGAGAGTCCCTCTGAGGAGCTTTTGGACTTCATGGGCGAACTCGTGGATATCCAGGATTTGGACGCTCCAAATAAAAACTTCGATTCAAAGCCTGGAAGAGAAGGCAAATATCTGGAATTACAGTCATATCCTGATTTGACATTTCCGGAACCTCCATTCTCCAGCAACATATACAATAAGGTAACGGAGCAATTACTCGCGCAGAGGAACCCTACGATAGAATTCACCTCGCTTGTTTTGCGGAGATTGGTGTCGGAAATAAATATCTCTGGCGATGAGTCGCATTTGTTTGATACGTTGCTAACGAAAAGTCCTACTCTGGTTGATCAAGTTATCACTAAGGTTAATGAAGAGTGTGGGCCATTCAAGCCATCACTATCCACCCCGGCGGTTTCCCTCTCCAAGGAACGGGTCGAGCACGTTCTTGCTCTTTTTGACAACAACGAGAGACCACCACGGGAAACAAATTCGCGCGATAAGTACTCAAAGAATAGGATCGTGGCAGTGGATGCACCTCCACTGCAGCTGTGATGAGCCGCACGGGAGCTTCTTTTTATGTGTGAGTAGCTCCAAAAGTGCCCCGAAATGTAAAAGAATCAGCTGAACGAAACTCATTGAGTTGTTGAGAGATATGAGGCACCCTAATGGCTGTTTTGGGTGTATCTGCGCAAATTCATATGCCTCTTTTTGGAACTTTCAATTTAGTAGCATGCAGGTGCTGCGCATGGAGGTCGATCTCTCTGATAAAACCCACCTTGGTAACCTTATCCATATCCGGAGGCCAAGCCCAACACTCCAATTCCCATTGCCAGTTCAAACTCACTCGCGACTCAAATTATATTCGTCGAATATAATACATCACAGGTTATCCGCTTCTTTAGCTCAATCAAAATCAAAAACTACAGTATGGTAGTGTATTGTCAAATATGGCTATCCTGGTTCCTCATTCAGATGATCCCAGATTCCTGAGCCTCGTTGTTTTCAATCCGAGGATACCAGGACTACCAAGAAAACTTGCTATAGATAAATGTCAATTGAAAGGAGTATGACTGATTTGCCTTTTTCCATTGTGTGATGGTTATTCCTTTTTTTGCTTTCCAGTACTAACAATTCTCTTCACTACAGAAGCTACTTGGGCCGCGCTCCCCTCTACAACAAGGGCCGTTTCGGTTCACCTGTCGTACGATCTCAAATCTGATAGGCTGGCATATGCTTCAGGAAAATCGGTTTACTTGCGTTCTGTTGCCAATCCGGCCGAAACGGTGCAGTTCAATGGTCACAACTTCAACACCACGGTGGCCAAGTTTGCGCCCTCTGGTTTCTACGTGGCCTCCGGAGATGAGTCGGGTAATGTCAAGATTTGGGACGCTGCTGGTGACGAACAGATCGTTAAGGGCGACTACACGGTCATCAATGGCAGAATCAATGATCTTGCCTGGGATGCTGATAGTCAGAGGATTATAGCAGTGGGTGATGGTAAAGAGAGATACGGACATTGTTTCACGTGGGATTCCGGCAACACCGTCGGTGAGATCTCGGGCCACAGCGCCGTTGTGAATGCTGTTGCAATCAGGCCTGTTAGACCTTACAGAGCAGCTACTGTTTCAGACGATGCAGGGCTTGTATTTTTGCAGGGTCCCCCTTTCAAGTTCTCTATGAGTGTCAGGGGCAACCACACCAACTTCGTGCGCGATGTGGCTTTCTCGAAAGATGGAAACTTTATTGTCAGTGTTGGTGCCGATAGGGCAATTGTGCTGTATGACGGAAAATCAGGTGAATTTTTGAAAAAGATTGGTGAGTCTTCGTCTCATGAAGGTGGTATCTTTGCCGTTTCGTGGGTTCTGGACAGCACCACCGAGTTTGTAACCGCGTCTGCCGATGCTTCGGTCAAACTGTGGGATGCCGAGTCCGGTGAGTTGATCAGAACCTGGTCTTTGGAGAAGAGTTTGAGCAACCAGGTTCTGGGAGTTGTTTCCACGAAGGACTACATCATTTCCTTGACCTATTCGGGAGACTTGTACTATTGGACAAAAGACTCCGACTCTCCTGCCAAAATCGTCAGTGGACATCAGAAGTCTATAACATCTCTGGTTGAAGTTGGCGACAAGCTCTACTCCTCAAGTTATGACGGACGTGTTGTGAACTGGGATCTCGAGTCTGGGTCTGCGGAAGTCGTTGCTGGTGAAGGACACTCCAATCTTGTAGTCGGCATTGCAAAGTCTGAAACCGGTACCTTGACAACTGCCGCCTGGGATGATACAGTCAAGACCATAGCTGGAGGTAAATTCACATCGTCATCTTCGCTTGACCAACAACCGGTGGGAATTGCTTCAAATGGAAAGATCTCCGTTGTTGCTACGGAAGATTATTTGGCCTCCTACGAAGGTTCAACTCTGCTGAAAAAGATCAAGCTTGACTTCCCAGCAACCACTGTGGATATTTCGTCGTCAGTTATCGCAGTTGGTGATGCCAGTGGCTTCAACGTGAAGCTGTACTCCACGGACCTGACTCCCTCGTCCTCGTCTCTGCCTGCTCTGCGTTCCAAACCTTCATCGCTCAAGATTTCCCCAGATGAGAAATACCTCGCAGCAGGTGATGTAAGTGGAAAGATCACCCTTTACGACCTGGCCACTTATACGGTGAAGACATCCAGGTGGGCTTTCCACACAGCCAGCATCAACTCGATGAGCTGGCACAAGGACAACGACCATCTGGTGAGTGGGTCTCTGGACACAGGTTTCATTGTGTATTCGGTCTCGAAGCCGGTGAAGAACATAAAAAGCACTAATGCTCACAAAGAGGGAACTAACGCAGTGGAATGGTTGGACGAATCGACTATCGTCACTGCTGGGTCCGACGCGGCTCTCAAGTTCTGGAAGGTTACTTTCCACTAGAGAAAAGTTCTGGAAACTTATGTTTTATTATTCTGAAGTGTCATAATGTATCTATTCGTGTATTCATCAACCAACTATCGTATGCTATATCGGTGGCTGGACGTGATTTAACACATCCTCCACTATGAAATCCGCATTCCAACGCATGATCATCTCTTGGACCAATCGGATATCGCTACCCCATTGTAGAGTTGGCTCGTTTTCTGCTTTTTGCAACACCTGGATTCTCATTGGAAGAAGCTTCCTAACGGCTATCTTTACGACTGAGGGTATGCAGTACTCATAGTCATTCACCACACAGATAGCTCTCATGAATTCCTCCAGATCCCGAATCACAAAAGTTGCAACTCCTCCAACAACCATCCGGTGCAGCCGAGTGTATACAATAATGTCATAGAGATATCTTCGTATTTCTGGAACAATCGTGACGCTGGAAACTTTCTTCCTCATAAGTAGTACTTTTTCCAGCAGTGCTGACTCTGACAAAACGGTTCCACGGCCCATCGAAAACCCACTGGAAGATCCAGAAGTCAATGAGGAATCACCACCCAGCTCGACCGGGACGTGTGGTTGTCTGAACCATAGTCTCTGCATTAGTGGCTTCGCCAGCTCAGTCTCTCTGTTGTTCCTTGCCTCTATAACAGCTATGATTGTGAACAGGTCATGTGGGGCCTTGAAGTGTCTATTTTCCAACACGAACTGTTCCGTTCTTAACATCTCTGCCATTTGAATCTGAGTCTCTTCGGTGGTCTGTTCCAGTCCCGTCACTAGTGCGACTGAGCGAACGGCATCTTCCTTAGTAGGGTTTATTAGCAGGGAGCAGAGCGATTCAAATGTGGTTGAAGAGTCACATCGTATTGTCAAGACGTCTTGCGCATTCCACGTGCTTCGTATTATCTATGGCTTGGGGTTAGAACCGGTCGTTTGTTTGTATCCAAAGGGGGGACTTACTCCTTCAATCTCTGTCTGTGTTCTGACTATATCTGGAGACGATACCATCAGATGTCGCCTTGCTATTATGGCCATCCACACAGCTGTGTACAAGTCCTCGTCGAAATCTGCCGTTATCTTGTCCGACAAGCTATCCGAGGACTTCTTATCCATTTTTTGCTGGAGGAAATATGATGGGTAGTCGTGAAGTGCCAACTGTTTGTAATGTTGTACTCAAAACATATCGAACTGCACACTGCCTCTATCGCGGCTTCTCTGATGCACGCTTTGGGCAGCCTCTCTTCTCTTATTGGCCACTTTTTGAAGTACAAATAAGCTTTAAAGCAGGCTTTTAGAAACTCACAAATAAAGGTAACTGTTTTTACTCGTATTTCGTATTTTTTCCCGTAATTTTCAGTGCAAAAAACGGAGTTATGGTTCCAATTCTACCGAATCTCCTAATCTCAATTGTCTTGAACACGACCTCTGCAGCCTACAGAAAAAAATTTGAAATATTTCACCTGATAGATCTGATTGTTGCTTTATAGACACAATACGAGCATACAACCATGGCGAAATTAGTGCATAATGTCCAGAAGAAGCAGCATAGGGAGAGATCTCAGCCTCAGAACCGGTCGAGACTTGGGCTTTTGGAGAAGAAGAAGGACTATAAGCTGAGAGCCGAGAATTACCATAAGAAGCAAAAGGCCCTGAGCTACCTCAAGACCAAGGCTGCCAATCGCAACGAAGATGAGTATTACCATGCCATGACGAGCCGTAAGACTGACTCCGATGGAATTTTGCATGCTGATCGTGGAAACGAGGCCATGACCAACGAGGAGGTGCTTTTGCTGAAGACTCAAGATACCAACTACATCAACGCGATGCGGACGAGGGAATTGGCCCAGATACGAAAGGATGGTGCCGATATCCTGTACAAAGCAAATGGGAAACATACGGTGTTTGTGGAGTCGCAAGAGGACAAGGACGCGTTTGATCCGGCCGAGTTTTTTGGCACTGATGAAAGACTGTTGGATAGGAGAGAGAACAGATTGAGGCTTACTCAGTTAATAGAATCGGAAGACAGACTTCAGTCTGCTCCCAACGATGAAGACGGAAAGCTGCTGAGGCAACGTCAGAAGGCTGATAAGCTGAAAAAACTACGGGTTCTTGAGAAGAGAATAGAGAGAGAGCAGAAGCTGAAGAGGGTTCAAGACTCTATGAACCTCCAGAAGGACCTCATGAAGAAAGGCGAGAAAAAGAAGGTGGAGACCAAAGAAGGGAGGACAGTGTTCAAATGGAAGAATCAGAGAAAGAGATGAATTATATGTATATTAGTAGGTAGAAAAAGAGCTAAAGTTGGAGGCATTTAAGTAGACTGAAAAATAGCTAATGTATGCATGTTTTTCATGTTTTTCACGTTTACGCATTATTTCGAAAAATTACGCAAACTCTCAGGAATCTCAAAATTTACAAATTTATACAAGATCTTCAATGTCAGGAAGCATCAATCTAGAAATATCTCCACGGCTCTTTTTTGGAGAACGAAGCTTGAGATTCGGATTCTGATCACCACCAAGTGTTTCATATAATGCTTTCTCCTTCGCAACTTTGTTCAACAGCTTCCTATCAACACCGGGACACATTTTCTTGGTAGCAAGGGTACAAAGATCACATCTCGGTCCACGAGGAAGACAAACCACCTGACCAAACCCAACGAGAGTAGGGTTGATCTCTTGCCAGTATTCTTCCGGTAACCAACTCTCAAAAGCGGCTCTGGTTTGCTCCGGCGTAGGCGATTTGGTCTTGGGCACCCATCCCCACATATTCGCCAAACGAAACATATGAACATCTACACCAATTCCGGTGGTGATATTCCAAGCACCTTGCAATAGCAAAAAGCCCATTTTCGGCCCCACTCCGGGGAACGCGGTGATGCTATCTATGTCTTTGGGTATATCACCTCCATGTTTCTCCCTCAGAATCTCCGCCGTTTGCTTGATATATTTGGCCTTTCGATTATGGAAACCTACCCTGTAGATCATTTTGTCCAGATCAAATTCTGAGACATCCAGCATCGCCTGGAGGCAAACACCATCCTCGTATCCCTTGGCCAGAAACGCCTTCTGCATATCGGCCATGACCTGGTGGTTGACTTCATCTTTGGTTTGCGACGATAACATCAAAGTGATCAGGAGCTGAAATCTAAACACAAGACCCTCTTGAAGTCCTGAGATCCGCGTGGGAATGTTATGGCATCCCATGGTGTCGACTGGTGCTATCACCTTTGCCCGCATCTTCTTGACCTCGTCATAGATGGGCCAGAAGTTTTTGGGCGGTGACGGCCTATTTGGAACTTCAACTTCAGAGTGTCCTCCTTTGACTTCATTATCCTCGATTTTTACTTCAACTTTCTCGACCTTGATCTTTTTGCGACGCGGTCCAGGGGATTTCGTCTCCTGTTCCTCCGCGCTTGCCCTCGCCGCTTCCGATAACTTCTGCTGCGAATCGCTCACGGACTGGAAAAATCTACTTGTTGTCGGCGAAACCTCCTGTTTGATTAATCTTGCTGAACGTCTCATGATGTGTTTTCCTCGGTGTGGTGCTGAGTTTTCACTGGATCAAGACTTGCCTAAAGTAGTTAAAGTGACGAAATATGTGGAACCTCATCGCCTGCAGGGTGGAGGCCCATCGAATAGGAACGGCTCCTATGGTCACCCGTGCAGACTGTGGGTTAACTCTACAAAATAGACTAAAAAGATTTCAAAATTACACCAGATTTGGAGTTGAGACAATTCTAATGGTCATGTCTAATCTATTCAACTATCTAAAATCACACTATCAGCTCGAACTCGGATATCAGCGGGATATGATCGCTGGGAAAGTCTTTATTAGGCATGGGTGTATGACTTGCAATGTACTCGGCTCGTATTTGGCCCAGATTTCGCACCAGATTCATTCTGTGGCTATTATACCAGATGTAGTCTATAATCTGAACCTTTTTGTCTGTGTAGGTGCTTGTGGGGAAGAGTCCTTGTTCGTAAAGCTTTCTGTAGGCGGAGGTCAAAGGGAGCAAGTTCGAGCGAATGATCTTTTTTTCAAATCCGTAGTCAACTTCTGGAAAACTGTCAATCTTGGCCAGATCAATATGCCCATCCGAGTAGAATTGATGGGTGATTGAGTCGTTTTTGGAGTTGAAATCACCAGAGATGACAATTGGCACCATCCTTTTTTGCAGCAAATTGTCCAACTGTGAATCATTTAGTTTATGCGCACGTTTGATCTCTTGCTTGATCACATTCGTTAGTATCAACGAGTGATATAGGTTGATATCGAGGAACTTGGGCGACCAGTATAGGTGGGTCGTGGCCACAAACACGGTCTCTTTTGTTTCCACATGCTCTAGAGTCGCAACTATTCCAACGGTATTTCTTGGAATAAGTCGCTCAGTGAATGAGTCCGTGTGATGGTACAATTCCGGGTGTTGCAGCGCGAAATCGGCGTATTTGAACGAGACTGTGTTGATGATCTTGAATTTGGACCGACGTACAAACAATCCCACTCCATCCATAAGCTCGGGAGCCTTATCCCAATACTTGGGAGGATCTTTAATCATGAAAACAGAATCATAACCTTCAAAAACGGGGCTTTTCTTCCAATGACTCTCATACACGTCGTTCTCCATCTCCTGAAAACACATAATATCTGCGTCCAATTCCGCAAAATTAGAGTCCAAAAGTTTCAGACGGTAATTCCAGTCTTTGTACTCCTCAGGGACGTATTTGTACACAGAGGGCCACACATAATGCTGATTCAGGATATTGTATGTGGACACCTTAAATTTGGACCTGGTACCCTGGTACTCCGACCGTGTCTCCCCCGATTCCACCCAATCTCTAAACTTGTATATGCTAACGGGTTCAGAATGATAGCTTCTCTTTTTTATACTCGGCACTGCAAGTCTGAACATCGACCTGACGCAGTATCCCATCTGTCTCTGGAGGCCGCATTTCAGATACTCCACGTTGGTAGACCCCAGTTGGCAGCTCAATCGCCGCCTGCTTTCGTGTATCAGACCTGAGCTCAGACTCATATCTCGTGCTTTCCTCTGTGCAATATTGGAAGACACCTTCCACGATTGACTTGTAGCTACATCAAGCAGTTGTATGCGTAATGCCCGGAGCGTATTTTAAGAAGGAATAGTAGTGAAACAGGCCAATTTTAAGCCGCAAAGACCGGGCCGAGGCATCGCCCGAACCGCCGATACGGACATGTTGAATGAATAAAGAACCAATAGTTATTCGACAATTCGATATTTTCTAGTACAATCTACAGATAGACCAAGTCACTAATATGGCATTTATCGGCAACCTAAAACTCCTTTCAAATTTTTCTGCTCGAGTTCGAAATGGACTTAAAGTCCGCTTTGAACCCGTCCGTCTTCTTATCCTTCGACTTCTTGATCTCAAACTTGACAACCAGAGGGATGTGATCGGATGGGATTTCTGGATCAGGCAACCCGATAACATTCTTCAGATAATCAGGATCAACTTGACCCAGAAGACCCTTGACCACAAGTGTTGGCGTAGTATACCAGATATAGTCAATCACATCGGTGAAAGTTGGAGACAAGTTTGTGAATGGCAACTCACCAATGCTGTTGTAAGCCGAGCTGAAATGGAACGGATGCGAAAACCCCTCCTCGGTAAATTTTCCGTAGTCTCTGCCTTCGATATCCGAATGCTCCTTCACAGTACCTTGCGAGAACAATTGGTAAACAGCACTGTTGGTTTGAGAATTCAAATCACCACACACAACTAGCGGAATCTTCTGCATCTCGGAGGGAGGTCCGTACTTGGCCAGTCTCTTGGTCATCTGTTGCAATTCGTCCAGAAGAACACCGACTTGCAAAGTCTTAACATCGTTGAAAGCAGGGTCCCAATGCAAATGAGTATTTACCACGATTATTTTCGTGTCAGTGGAAATGTGGGTCAATACCAGAACTGCACCAATGTTATCCTTGTTCATAAAACGGTTGAAGACGTCTTCCGTCTTTTTGAACTTGTCCTGTCCCATCACGATATAACCGTATTCCAACAGCTTCTTCTCGCTGAGTTCGAACTTGGAAGTCTTGTAGAAAGTAGCACATCCATCCACTTTCTTGGCTCCCTTTTCACTCATCGTTCTCGCTCTGCTCTTACAGTAAAAAACACCCTTGTAGCCGGCCTTCTCCATCAACGGAACCCAGTATTCGTCGTAGGTTCTGCTCTCAACCTCCTGCAAACAGATAATATCGGTACCGACAGACATTACCTCCTTGGTCAGGTGGTCCCTTCGGTACTCCCAATTCAATGCCCAAGAAGGCACAAACTTGTACATGCTTGGAGTGGCATAGTGCTGACACAACGTGTTGTAGCTCATCACCGTAAAAGCGTTGGAACTTTCCGTCACATCTATCTCTCCCTGATCCACAGGTTCTCCGTCGTCACCCAAAGTGATCCATGGTCTCTTCTTAGGAGGCGAAGGAGGCGGCGCGGTATCACGGAGATGTACCACTAAGCCCTTGGTGCCTTTTGAAGCCAAAATGCGCAAAAAATCGGGATTCATAGCAGTGTTTCCCTCAATTCCAAGAAACTCCAAGCTGAAGAGCTTTCCGAACTCATAGGGAACGGTGGTGAGATTGTTATCGAAAGCGTAGAGATATCTCAAGTTGAACAATGTACCAAGCTCGCTAGGAAACTCAGTAAGTTGATTCTGAGAAAGATCCACCATTCTGAGACTCTTGAGCTTAGAGATTGCCGGTGGAACAAACCTAAGTTTGTTGCCGTTGAGATAGAGTTTGCTCAAGAATTCGTAGTTGAACAGCTTGGGTGAAACGTTCATCAGATCTTGTCCAGACAAGTCTAACGAGGTCCACAACTGCTTGTTGTTCTCCTGTAGCCTTATTCTCTGTTCTTCTTCGTCGTCATCTATTGTGTCATTAGTCAGTTTCTTGTGCTGTAATAAGGGGTTTCGGTTTGTCTCACCATTGGTCTGCTCTACGTCCTCCGGAACACTGCTCAACAGGCTCTTCGTCTGCTCCACTAACGAGTTGGACTTGGTCTCCAAGACAGAAGTCCCATTTAGGGCCTTTCTTGAGGATGCAGCCGCTTGTCTTGCATAGAAATGGGGAACGCTGGAGTTTCTGGACAGTTGGGCTAGTTGAACTTGATGCTGCCAGTGAACAGAACTTGCCAAAGACGCATCCATGTCTATCGAGGCATGAGCGCGATCATTCGGACGAAGTTGCTGGGCCAATCCCAAGACATGTGACTGGGGTGTTCCTGGCTGCTGTTGCTGTTGCTGATGCTGCTGTTGTTGTAACTGTTGCTGAAGTTGCTGGTTCAATGACTGGATCTGGGATTGGCCCTGCTGAGAAGCGTTGCCTTGTGGTTGTACCTGGTTAGACCTGAACTGGTTCTGGTAGATGGTCTGGGCCAGAGCCGAGGCCGGGTTTAAAACCGACTCTCTCTGCTGGGGTTGAGACCCATATCCGTCCAGTGATGAGTAGATGGGCTGACCTTGCTGCTGTTGCAGTTGCTGTAGTATATGTTGCGATTGTAATTGTTGCTGTGATTGGTCCGAGCCGGATTGACCATGCTTGAACTGCGATGCCACGTTCATCGCTTAAGGACCGTTAGGAGATCTCTCTATTGCGAATGAGGAGGTCTGGTTGGGGCGAATCTGGAACGGGCGTTTAACTCGAACACACCATTCAGTTTCGTCTGTGAGTTGCACGTGACCAAATTATCCAGCTTCTGTGAAGTTGTGTACCGCTAAAACAAGCACAATATATATCCTGAAGGATGAAATAGACAGGAGGTGCTCTGTGTTTTGACCCCAAACTAGAGGACTCCATCAAACTTTCGTCGAGGGAGCTGGGGACGGGTAACCCTAATTTGGTAGGGGCACATACGTAGAGATTCAAGATAGGCAGCTAGCTTGGGTTGATCGCAGAACTGAAAAATTACGATATCATGGTATTTTGGTAGTTGGGGGAACGTAATATTGTGCTATATGATACAAGCTACTGATAGCCTGTATTATCCTCGGGTCCGAACTTGGAGCTCTTGGAAACGCTGATGATATCGGTAGAGCTCTTGAACGGCAACTTGTAGCTCAACGAGCCTCTCACAATCAACGTAAAGGGATTATTTATCACCCTTCTCCATTTCCCATTAGAGACAGTTCCATCTGCCAATACGCGATCACCGTCATTTCCAAGAGCATTGGCCAACAAAGCATCGTAATATCCGGGTGGACTCGCCAGTCTGATCTGAGCCACACTTTTGGAGAACCCAACCAGGTTCCGGTGGTTCATGTAGTACCATACCGAGATGAATTGAGACTTGATGCTATTAGATAATGGGGGTAACGGCGTGGTCTTGGAACTGGACAAGGGTTCAGCCTCTATCCCTTCGTAGGGACTATGGTTAATCAATCCTGTGAACTTCAAAGGAATCACAAACGAATTGATATTTCCCAGCAAGATCGTTGTATCTGCCTTGGCAGAAACGTGAGTGGGATCTTCATCATCCAGAAATGCAGTTTGTATGAATATGTCCAGATTGGACTCAGTTATAGTGACATCTTGCAAGTTGACGTTTCTCGACATTGTGTTGATGTCAAACACCAGCATCTCCTCGGTGACGATCAGCTTACTGAGCTTGTTCACGTTGAAATCCAGAAGAGGATTATCCATGTTTTTCATGAAAAATGCACTGGCAAATGCAAGCACCATCAAACTGAAAAGGCCCAGTCTGAGCAGAAGAAAGAGGATCTTCAAAGCCATGTTCTTGGTAGCCTTTGACGTTCTATAATCGTGCGGATTCGTATAGTTTCTGTAGTTATAACCAGAAGGAAACTGAACATGTCGCGGAGGGTTTTGGAAGTCTGAATAGGACGAGTACTTCTTCGCACTATGCCATGATTCGGGGTCACCGTATTGGGCCCCAGGGTAATGTTCATTATTGGTAGATCCATAGTTCTCATAGAACGTTCTATAACGATCATCTGGTCCAGCATGGAAATCCAGAATGGGATCCTCTTCAAACGCCTCGGTGTAACTTTCCACAGACTCCAGAGACAAGCGCCGCCTTCTATAGTCATGAGGACGTGAGTTGAACAGTTTGTCAGAGACTTTTCGCACCTGAGAAACAATTAGCGTCTTGGCAGCAGCCCGTGGTGTGCGAATAGATGAATCATCACCGTTGTAGTTTGAATAGTTAGACATCAAAGCGTATTTCTCCAATCTGCCGTCCCTGGGCTGGTCACCGGTACTGGGCAAGTACCTCTGCTGTACAGGTGACAATCCTGAGACAGAATAAGAACCATTGTCAGAAAGACAACCGTCGTCATCCATGACATCACCGTTATCCTCAGAGGGCCCATTGTTGATCACGCTTCCAGCCTTTGAAGCGTTTCTATGCGCGTTACCATGATTGAGGATTATGTTTGGCAATCTCTTATTCCCATTGGAAGTATTCGTATTATTGGCTGCCATAACATTCAACAATCTTTTCTGATGATTCAGAAGCTCCACATTCATGTGAAGAGGATTCTGACTCGCAATTGACTCGTTGTCACCAACCACCCTGGAGCCCTGTCTTGCCTTTTGCATGCTAGACAACGGAGCCAATCCCAATCCCGCGACTGGAACCGATCCCGCAGTAGACCGGACTGAAGCCTTTCGCATAAGAAACGGCCTGTCATTGTTCTCAATAAACAACATGTTAGTGTATGAGCTGTTCTGACCGCCATTATAAAGAGGAGTTGAAGAGACACCTTCATACACAAACTCTTCCTCTTCATCGCTCAAATTTGCATTCTTCTTGCCATGCGCATCCCCGTTGTGCCCCAAAAAAGTGGCGTCACTGATCGAATGTGTATAAAGGGAAGCGGCCTCATCCACCATTGGAGTCTGGGGTGCGATATTTTGAGAAACATCGTTGAAAAGAGTCATCGTAGACGTCTTATCTGCTGTCACATGTTCTTCTATCACCTTGAAATTTGCCGTAGAAAGGCTTTTGCTGGGTTTCCGTAACGTTTCATCTGTCGTGAGGATTATCGCAGCGGCTTTGTTCAAAGCTGAAGATTTTGGTCCATTTGTCTTGTTGTTCGTATCTGACGCTGCCGATTTAGCATGCTTTTGAGAAGAACCGGACTCGGCACGGCTGATGGCGCCAGGTGTAGAAATCGGCAAACCCACCAGATCTTTGGAGCTGACACCAACTGTACTTATCATTGGCTCCTTGTCCCTGCCTTTGCCGGAAATCCCCGTCTTCTTTGTGGGGGACATCGGTAGATCAGCCATGGTGTTGTATGCAGAGGGGTGTGAGTATGCACTATAGCATGAGACGGGTTAAAACCCAGATTATTCCACTAGCTGCTTATAGCAGAACCTAATCAGCCCTGTCTTCGAATCTTGACCTCTAAAATCAATCCTGGTGGATGTAGTGGTTGTCGCATGTTTATCACCGTCAAGAATAAAAAGTCAGTGTCGTGCATTAACCATGGGTTACAAGCCCCGGCGCAAACATGGAGCCCACGTCTCTAGACATCAGTGGCAATGCTACCAAATCACCAACTGAACAAGTATCCACACCATTGATCAACATCGCCTTGAACTCAAAGCGTTTAGAGCCTAGATTTCACAATGGCAACCTTGGAAGAACTTGAAAACACAGATGAGCCGGAAATCGACACCGAGATTCTGGGGTCGTCCACAACGGACATCACCAATCGCTCAAAGCTGTTGGATAACGAGATCAAGCTGTTTAGATCGGAACTGCTGAGACTGCAGCACGAGAAGACCGTAATGCTGGAGAAAATCAAAGACAACAAAGATAAGATTGAGAACAACAAGCAACTACCCTACTTGGTGGGGAACGTTGTCGAGCTGTTAGATATGGAGGCCGAGGAAGATGCCACTGAGGAAGGCGCTAACGTGGATTTGGACTCCACCAGAGTGGGAAAATCCGCTGTAGTGAAGACCTCCACCAGACAGACCGTGTTTTTACCCCTAATAGGACTTGTTGATCCTGCTGAGCTGAAGCCTGGTGACCTGATTGGTGTCAATAAGGACAGTTATCTGATTCTGGACACGCTTCCAGCCGAGTACGATTCGAGAGTGAAGGCCATGGAGGTTGAAGAGAAGCCTGCTGAAACCTATTCGGATATTGGTGGTTTGGACAAACAAGTGGAGGAGCTTGTAGAGGCGGTTGTTTTGCCCATGCAGCAGGCTGAAAAGTTCAAGAATTTGGGTATCAAGGCCCCCAAAGGTGCTCTTATGTACGGACCTCCTGGAACTGGAAAGACTTTGCTAGCTAGAGCATGTGCAGCTCAATCGAATGCCACCTTTTTGAAACTCGCGGCTCCACAATTGGTCCAGATGTTTATTGGTGATGGTGCTAAGTTAGTGCGCGATGCCTTTGCTCTGGCCAAGGAGAAGGCTCCTACCATCATTTTCATAGATGAGTTGGATGCCATTGGTACAAAGAGATTTGATTCTGACAAGAGCGGTGACAGAGAAGTGCAGAGAACCATGTTGGAGTTACTTAACCAGCTGGACGGGTTTGACTCCGACGACAGAGTGAAGGTCTTGGCTGCCACCAACAGAGTGGACGTGCTGGATCCAGCTTTGCTGCGTTCTGGGCGTTTGGATCGTAAGATCGAGTTTCCATTACCCACTGAAGAAGCCAGGGCTCAGATTCTGCAGATTCATGCAAGAAAGATGACCGTTGATGATAAAGTCAACTGGGAGGAATTGGCCAGATCCACGGATGAGTTCAACGGTGCCCAATTGAAGGCGGTGACCGTGGAAGCAGGTATGATTGGCTTGAGAAACGGACAAAACATGATCAAGCACGAGGATTTCGTGGAGGCCATTGGCGAGGTGCAAGCGAGAAAGACCAAATCTGTCTCATTCTACGCGTGATGCGAGAGTTACGTAATTGCTGATAAACACAATCAGAGAAGATGTTTTATTCGTGTAGAAGACTTTTTTTATTTCTCATTTAGTGACAAGCCCTCTCTTTTGGTCATTAACTTTTGGTAAATCGTCTGATCTCAATCACTCATAGTAATAGATCTTCCCCTTGGCTCCACTGATAGCCACCTTACTCGTCTCTTGCGGATGCGCCTGAATACAGCTGATTGGCATATCATCAACCTTTAGTTTAGTAACGACTTTGACAGTTTTCCAGTCCCAAAAGTAGGCAAATCCATTGGAATCTCCACTCATCAGGATCTTACCATCTGGAGTGAAATCCAACCCGACAGCATAGGCTGCATTCTTATGACCCGAGAACTTCTTTTTGACACTTCTCTTGAACTTGTCTCTCGCGCTGAATGTAACTATAGTATTGTCCATACTCTGAGCAACAACATAGCTGGAACTGGGATGTAGAGATAGCCTGGGCATGGAATGCTGCGATGGATCAGATATGTGCTTGATGGGCATGTTCACCTGCCAACCCCAGACTCTGAGCGTTTTATCATCTGAAGACGACATGAATTTGTTGCCGTTGTCAACAAAACAAATATCATTAATCGCACCCATGTGATGATCGTAAGTCTGGACGGTTTCCTCGGTTCTAGAATCAAAATGCTCAATCTTGTTATTCGTCAGACCAACCACGAACTCGTGGTTTTTGTCTACATTGGTGTTATACCTCACCACGTTGGGCAAAGATTGCAGCTTATATCTGCTCAAACAAACGCCTTTCTCTGTATCCCATAATTTGACTGTTTTATCATAAGAACAACTGAGGAACCGACTGCCATCATGGTTGAAATCGACATCTTTCACAGCCATCCTATGACCAAAATAACCGCGCAGAAGCTCTCGTTTATGATATGTGTCCCAAAGAAAGATATTGTTGTCATTTCCACAAGAAAGCAACATATGGCCAGATTTGGGGAAAAATTGCAGTTTTTGCGTGCCTTTCTCGTGACCAGCCCAGGTATGGATCTTCCTCTTTGGAACATAACAGTTCTGGGAACCCGGATCTTTCAACAGGTCAATTCCTAAGTCCTGTGGTATATGCATGTAAGTTCTTCCAAGATAATCCGTCTCGGACTTCGCGTAGAGTTTCGTGGTTTCCACATCGTCATGTACGGCTTTGTATATGTATTGCGGCTCTTCTTCTGGAGTATCAACGGAATCCGCCTCATCATCGGATTCCGAGCTGGTCTCAGAGTAGCTAGCCCATGGCCCTTTGTAGCCATCCACGTCTTCTGGCGAGCCTTTCTTTCGGGAACGTTTCACTTTAGAGCCCTTAGGTCTAGTGCCTTCATCGTCACTTGCATTCATCTCGTAAGCCCTTTTCTGTGCCTGAAAAGAAACTTCATCCATTAACTCCCTTTGAACAAATGCAGCTGCATTTTTGCGCACACTATTATCGTCCGAGACCACCATATGCACTGAGTGTTTGTATTCAGCCACAGCAGCTGCGGGAGCTAGTTCGAGCGTAGACCGCTTTGGCGTCAGTTTTTCGTCATCGCTGGAATCTGACGAAGATCCATATCCTGTTAGTAGGGGCATGGTGAGAAAATTCCCCAAAAATTGGACGCAAAGGGGATGCAAATCGCAAAAATATCAATAACAAATGGAGAGGCTAAGATGATTACTCGGTCTCAAAGTTTACTTCAAAAGTTTACCTCATCGCGACCTCATCGCCCTATCTGAAAAATTTCGAAATGTCCTTTTCAAGAAAACACGACTGTGCTAAAGCAACCAGAAGTAACTAAAATCAACAAAAAAGAAGGCCAAAATGAGCAAAAGAAGAGCAGACCAGGAAGATTCGGAGCCTGATATTGAACTGAGTTCAACCGATAGTGAAGACGAAGAAATGAACGAGGAGGGCGAAGAGGATGGAGAGGAGATGGTCAACGTTGATTTTGACTTTTTTGATTTTGACCCCATTGACTTTCATGCTACGAAAAACTTTCTGAGACAGATGTTTGGAGATGACTCCATCAAGTTTGACATATCTGCTTTTGCAGACCTGATTTTGAGTAACAGCCACGTTGGAACCACTATCAAGACAGAGGGTAAGGAGAGCGATCCTTTTTCTATACTGTCAGTTGTGAATTTGAATGAAAACCTGTCGAAACAATCATTCAAGACTTTGGTGCAGTATTTGTTTGAGAAAACCTCCAAAACTGCAGAGTTCAGCATGACTCTGAGACAATTGCTCTCTTCAGCCTCGAAGTTCAAGACTGGCTGGATCGTTAGTGAAAGACTCATCAACATGCCTGTTGAGACCACGCCTCCCATGTACAAAATGTTACTAGAAGAGATCGAAAATTCCAAAAATAACAAGGAGCCATTTGAGTTCGACTATTTTTTGGTGATCTCCAAGGTGTACAAACTGGTGGCCTCTGCCACTGATAAGGCCCTCGAGGAGGACCAGAAGAAGAGCAAGAAGTCCAAGAAACAGGGCGAGGAAATTCCAGAACTGGACTACTTCCATTACGAAGATCAAGTCTTGGAAGAAAATTCCTTATTCCATGGATACTTCAGCTATACCAACCAGTCTCAAGAGACCGATTCCAGAAGGGTGTTCAATGACTATGGAATCGAGCCCAAGCTGAGTGTTATACTTCTTACGAAAGATAAGTTGGCACTAGCTGCTACTCAGATGGCTGAAAAATTTCCTCCATATTAGAAACTTTGAAAGAGCTATCTGTAAGAATCTATGAAAATACCTGGAATTTTGTACGAATTTGAGACGTCAGAGAATATTGCCTGTAACTTACAATAATTTTTCAGGCCAGTAGATATCGTGCATAGCCAGCAAGATGAGGGTCTATCTGAGCTTTATATAAGCTGTTTGCCCTGACACACCCACCATCTATTAAGACTTGACATTCCATCTTTGAAATTCCCTTATAAAGAAAAAATAGATTGGGCAATACTTATACAATTCTGTGGATCATACATCATTCAACGTAATGTCATCTTTTTCTGATCTCGCTGTTAGTCTACAGAAAGGGTATGCCTGTGCTGAGAGAGACCACCAACAAGAGCTGCTGAACACGCTTACGGCAAATTCAGGCTTTCAGAACCTCTTGAGGACCAACCAACTGGCCAAGACCATTCTGGGACTCACAGATTCTATGAATGCTTACAATAACCCCGAGTGGCAGGAGCAGGCGATCGAGATCATCATTGCATCTGATGTGTACTCTGGAGTTGAGAGGAGAGAGCGAGAGCAGAAGGAGGGTAAGGGCGACCAGAATTTGGGTTATACCGATTTTCTAGTGCTTGAGTTGCTACACTGGTTTAGACACAAGTTCTTCAAGTGGGTTAACAAGCCCGATTGCGACAGATGTGGAAATGCAGACCAGGACCAGATCGAGCCCGCGGGCAATGCACCTCCAGCAACGAGGGAAGAAATACAGGGCCGAGCAGCCGGAGTTGAAATATACAAGTGCAAAAAGTGCCAAGAACAAATACGGTTTCCCCGACTTAACAATCCCTCGTCGTTGCTGAAGAGCCGAAGAGGAAGGTGTGGGGAATGGAACAATTGTTTCCTTCTACTACTCAAATCTCTCGATATCAAATGCAGAAGTGTGTGGAACTCTGAGGATCATGTTTGGAGCGAATTCTACTCCGAATCGCTCCAGAGGTGGGTTCATTTAGACTCTTGTGAGGACGCGTTCGACAATCCACATCTGTACAACAGGGGTTGGGCCAAGAAAATGAGCTATGTCTTTGGTTTTGGTGAAGACTATGCGATAGACTTGAGCGAAAAGTATATTTGCAAAGACTTGGATCGCGCGCTACCGAGAAATAAGATAGATGAAAGTTCTCTGAGCACAGTGTTCCGCTATGTCAACGCAAAGAGATGGGCTTCCGAGACCGACGATACAGGTCTTTACAAGAAACTTGTGCAGTACAATCTCGAGATCAACGCATTAACGCGAACATCTTCAGCCAATTCTTTTGCGAAAAATCAGGAAAAATCCCAAACTGAAATGAAGCCAAGAGAGAGTGGTAGTGCAGAATGGACCAAAAACAGAGGTGAGGACGGCCGATGAGGTTACCCGGAGACGATTTTTTTTTCAGATTTATGTTTTTGTATAGTGTAGAAGCGTAAGAAGCCTGGATTTGAACCTTTTTCTTCTTATAACTTAGCATAGCCTTTTGTGGTCATAAGATTTGTCACTGGATTATACTAGTGCATTATCTATCAGATCCGAGGGTGTTAATTGTTGTTATTGCGCCGCCTGCTTACAGGAAAGTTCATTACTCCAGATGAGTGAATCTCAGGCCATGCTCAACATCATGGATTCGCAGATATTGCTGGATCTGACAAAAGTTGACCATATCATTGGTGCATATAGGAGTGTCTATGAAAGAAGGTCTATTCCTGCGTTTTATAGGTTTGACAAACAGAAGAACAATGCGGAGAATCTTTTCATTCTCTCATCGTTCTTCCTCTATGAGAGCATCACTGCTCCAATCGCACTTGCATACTCCGATATTCTGTTAGAACTGACAGCTAGGGCAATTACCAATGAGGAGGTCGAAAATTATTGTATCAGCCAATTTGAGTTGAAACCAAGACAGATACCTGGATCTCTAGTGCTGAGTGCCGTGGCCAAGGCTCATTCGCCTGACTTAGGATCTTTGGTTGAATTTTTTCTCGCTGAAAAGAACTTTTTCCAAAAGTTGGATACAGAAATTGCTAATGAGGAACTCCAGGAGATCTTGCTTGCATTTTACAGGCTGTTGAGAACGGATAGACAGAGATACCACAGGTTTGTCCAGCCGTCGGTGCTATACTCATGCATGAATTCCGAATCGTCATCCAGCGTGAACAAATATCTCTCGATTCAGATACTATACCAATACTTGAGCTTGTCTGAAGCGGCAAGAAATACAATGTTGAAAAACTACTTGGGAAATCAGTCATTGAAGAGCCACTATGAAGGAGATAGAGACGTGGACTTGTCCTATTTGAATTTGTTGGAAGCCAAACGACTGGCAAACATCACTACCGTTAAAAACACCACCTATGACGAGCACAAATGTACTGAATGGGTGAATATCAAACCTGAAGACCTTTCCAGAGGTGTTGCTATTGTGGGTGAGATCCTGGTTCCAGATTTGCCTACTCTAGCAAACCCACACAGAGAGGCTCTCTTCACCACATCCCAGTTCGTTCCTATTGCCAAATCCAGTAGAGCACTCCGGGAGATTGCACAGTGTATCAAAACGTGTACTCCAGTCATGCTGGTGGGTGCTTCTGGATCAGGAAAGACCTTTTTGGTTAACGAAGCGGCCAGTCTCATGAAGCTCAAATCAGATGACGTGATTAAAATTCACTTGAACCAGCAGACTGATTCGAAGCTCCTGTTAGGAACGTATTCCTCGGGTTCTCAGCCTGGTAGTTTCGAATGGAAAAGTGGTATATTGACAACTGCTGTGAGAGAAGGCAAATGGGTTTTTGTGGAGGACATCGACAAAGCCCCAACCGAAGTGTTGTCGGTCTTGCTTGGACTTCTGGAGAAACGCGAGCTTTTGATTCCTTCCAGAGGAGAAGTGATAAGAGCTGCTAATGGATTTCAGTTGCTCGCTACTCTTTCGATTCGCGAAGATAACGATAGTGTGCCCGACCTCATCGGTTCCCGAATGTGGAAAACTGTCTATACCGAGCAACTAGATACTAGCGACTTGTCTCAGATACTTCTGGCCAAATTTCCAGTGCTGAGGAATCTTTTGCCAGTGTTTTTGAAGTGCTTCTTTGATGTTGAGCACTTCTACACATCGAAGAAGTTCCTCGCCATGAATAGAGGCTCGCAGCCCAGAAACATATCCACCAGAGATCTGATGAAGTTTTGCAAGAGATGCGAAAGAAGCTTCCAGAAGTTTGGTTTAGTCTCAAGTGATGATCTGATGCAACAGGAACTGTACGACACATTGTTCCAGGAGGCTGTGGATTGTTTCTCCAGTTCCATTGCCGACCAGACTGCGTTGGAGGCCCTCATCAAGCAGATTGGAGAGTCTCTGGAGATTCCAACTTCAAGAATCAACTTGCACGTCAACAAACACGTTCCAACGTTCAACAACAGTGATGACCATCTGTCGATTGGCAGGGCCATTCTTTCCAAGGCAGTGGGCTTTGCCAGCATAAAGAAGAACTCCAAAAGCTCGGGTTCCTTTGCCAGGACCAACCACTCGCTGAGACTAATGGAGAAGGTTGGTGTTTCCATTTCGATGGTCGAACCTGTGCTATTGGTTGGAGAAACAGGTACTGGTAAGACTACCGTCGTCCAACAGGTTGCGTCTCTGCTTGGAAAGAAGCTCGTGGTGATCAACGTTTCTCAGCAGACGGAGGTGAGTGATTTGCTTGGTGGTTTCAAGCCCGTTACTGCTAAGACAATTGCTTTACCTGTGCAAGAGGTTTTTGAAGAACTTTTCAATAGGACTTTCTCTGCTAAAAAGAATGCTCAGTTTCTGCAACTGCTGTCGAAGTGCTTCAACAAAAGTCAATGGAAGGCAGTTGGAAGACTCTGGAAAGAGGCCTGCAAGATGGCCGACTCTCACCTCACCAAACCAGAGAAGGAGGATTCGGAGGAAGGAGAGGCTCGCAAGAAGAGAAAACTGAATGATAACGATAAAGAACGTTTGCACAAAGAATGGAGCTCATTCAAATCTCAAGTTTCTGACTTCGAGAAAGAGATGGTAAATGTGGAAAACTCATTTGTGTTCAGGTTCGTGGAGGGATCACTAGTCAAAGCAGTCAGAAACGGAGACTGGTTGCTTCTTGATGAGATCAACTTGGCTGCACCGGAAACACTCGAAAGTATCTCTGACCTTCTTTCTGAGGACATTCAGCAGAGAAACGTTCTTTTGAGTGAAAAGGGAGACATAGAGAAGGTTCTTGCTCACCAGGAGTTCAGGATATTCGGTTGTATGAACCCTGCAACGGATGTTGGCAAAAAAGAGCTTCCTTCAGGAATTCGTTCGAAGTTCTCAGAGGTGTATGTCAGCTCCCCGGGTGATGATATTTCAGACCTCCTCATGATCATTGACAAGTACATTGGTGCCTATGTTCTCGCAGACGAATGGTGCGGCAATGACATTGCTGAGCTTTACATTGCAGCCAAGAAGATGTCAGACGAGAACAGAATCGTGGATAGTTCCAACCAGAGGCCTCACTTCAGTATTCGTACTCTGACTAGAACACTGACATATGTTCGGGATATCATCTCGATCTATGGACTGCGAAGATCGCTGTTTGAAGCGTTTTGCATGTCCTTCCTGACTCTTCTTGATGCATCTTCGGAGCAGATTTTGAAGCCTTTGATCGAGAAATATACCATTCAGAGGCTCAAGAACGCAAAGTCTGTTTTATCTCAGATTCCTCCAGATCCTTCTTCGCATGACGCGGAGTTTGTCCAGTTCAAATACTACTGGATGAGAAGAGGTCCGCTTACTCCACAACCCCAGGCCCACTATATCATCACTCCTTTTGTTGAGAAAAATCTGCTCAACTTGGTCAGAGCTTCGAGCAGTCGCAGATTCCCTGTTCTCATCCAAGGTCCAACATCCAGTGGTAAAACATCGATGATTCATTATCTTGCCAAAATTACTGGACACAAGTTTGTTCGTATCAACAACCACGAGCACACGGATCTCCAAGAATACCTTGGAACCTATGTTTCCGACGATACTGGTAAACTTGTTTTCAAGGAAGGTATTTTGGTAGACGCTCTCAGGAATGGTCATTGGATAGTATTGGATGAGTTGAATTTGGCTCCTACCGATGTCCTGGAAGCACTTAATCGTTTGCTTGACGATAACCGTGAGTTATTCATTCCTGAGACTCAGGAAATCATTCGCCCTCACCCACACTTCATGCTGTTTGCAACTCAGAACCCCCCCGGATTGTACGGAGGCAGAAAGGTTTTGTCCAAGGCTTTCAGAAACAGATTTTTGGAGCTGCACTTTGACGACATTCCACAAGATGAACTGGAAGTGATTTTGAGAGAGCGCTGCCAGATTGCTCCGACCTATGCCAAGAAGATTGTTGCCGTGTACAAAGAGTTGACAGTCCAACGTCAGTCCACCAGACTGTTTGAGGAAAAGAACTCGTTCGCGACCTTGAGAGATCTGTTCAGATGGGCAACCAGAGAAGCTGTTGGCTATGAACAGTTAGCGGCCAATGGATATATGCTCCTTGCTGAAAGGGTCAGAAAGCCAGATGAAAAGGCTGTTGTTCAGAAAGCTGTTGAGAAGATCATGAAGGTAAAACTTGACATGGATGCCTATTATTCTCAGCTCGAAGATCCAAAGGTTCTGAGTGTGGACAGCAACGTTATCTGGACCAAGGCCATGAGAAGACTTGCCGTTTTGGTGAAGACGGCCATGGAGTACAACGAGCCCATTTTGCTGGTAGGTGAAACTGGCTGTGGTAAGACCACGATATGCCAGCTTTTGGCAGACATCTCTGGCAAAGAGCTTATCTCAGTGAATGCGCACCAGAACATGGAGACTGGGGATCTTTTGGGTGCTCAGAGACCAATTCGGAATAGGACTGATATATTGCGAGACCTTATATCATTGCTGAAAACTCTGCTTGCAAAGATCGATCTGACTGACCTTGAGGAGAATTCTCTGGATGAACTGCTGAAGCTTTTTGATCAGAACTCTAGCTCCTTTTCAGACGAAGAGAGAACCAAAGTTCAAGAGAAGAAAGTGCAGACTAAGGCTCTCTTTCAGTGGTCTGACGGACCTTTAATACAAGCACTGAAAACAGGTTCCTTCTTCCTGCTTGATGAGATCTCTCTTGCCGACGACTCCGTCCTTGAAAGACTGAATTCGGTGCTGGAACCAGAAAGAACTATTCTTCTTGCCGAAAAAGGATCTGACGAGGACTCCATAGTTGCTCGTGAAGAGTTCAAGTTCTTCGCAACCATGAACCCAGGAGGAGACTACGGAAAGAAAGAGTTGTCGCCAGCTCTAAGAAACCGTTTCACAGAAATCTGGGTTCCTTCTATGGAAGACTTTGACGACGTTCGCCAGATTGTTCAGGCATCGTTGGTTGAGGGCTCAAGAAACTTGACGAACGCCCTGGTGGACTTTTCAAAATGGTTCGCCATGGAGTTTGGTGGAGGATCCACCTCAAACGGTGTAATATCTTTGCGTGACATTCTCGCATGGGTCCGTTTCATCAACTCAACTCAAGACTCGGCGCAGATTCCACCAGCTGCCTCGCTGCTCCATGGTGCCTGTATGGTGTTCATCGATGCACTCGGTACCAACAATACGGCATATCTTTCTGAGAACGAAGAACACCTTCGCAAGTTGAAGCTAAAGTGTGTCCACAAACTGTCCGAGTTTGCTGGTGAGGATCTGAGCGTCTTTTATGGCGATCAGCCCAGCGTGACCATCGAAGAGGGCCGTTTGACATCTGGATTCTATAGTTTCCCAACTAAGGGAGATATTGAAGGGATTGACTCGTTCAACCTCCAGGCCCCAACAACAGCAGGCAACGCCATGCGTGTCTTGAGAGCGATGCAAGTGCGCAAGCCCATTCTACTTGAGGGTAGTCCTGGTGTTGGAAAGACCAGTTTGATCTCAGCGTTGGCAAAGGCAACCGGTAACCCATTGACCCGTATCAACCTGTCGGAGCAAACAGATCTCATTGATCTGTTTGGTTCTGATGTGCCTGCTGAAGGCGGTGCAGAGGGTGAATTTGTATGGAGAGATGCTCCTTTTCTGAGGGCAATGCAACGGGGAGAATGGGTTCTTCTTGATGAAATGAATTTGGCCTCCCAGTCTGTTCTTGAAGGATTGAACGCTTGTTTGGATCACCGTGGAGAAGCTTACATTCCCGAGTTGGATAGATCTTTTGTCAGTCACCCCGAGTTCATGGTATTTGCGGCTCAAAACCCGCAATACCAAGGTGGTGGTAGAAAGGGTCTGCCCAAATCGTTTGTGAATAGATTCAGCGTTGTCTACATTGACATGCTCACGGGTCTCGACCTGGAGATGATCGCCTCTCACCTTTATCCTAACATTGATACCCAGCTTTGCCAACAGATGATATCGTTTGTCTCCAAGCTGGAGAAGCAGGTTGTGATTGACAAGGCCTGGGGTGCTTCTGGAGGACCATGGGAGTTCAATCTGCGTGACACGTTGAGATGGCTTTCGCTTATGAGTGCTTCCTCGTTGAATCCCGTTTCAAGTCCTTCTGACTTCTTCCAATCCTTGATAGTGCAGAGATTCCGCTCCGTTGAGGATCAGGAACATGCTTCTGCACTCTTCAAGGAAATCTTTGTCGAACTTCCTAGCCGTGACCCTTACTTGAAGGTTGGTCAGAATTTTGTTCAGGCCAACTCCGAGCTCGTGGAAAGATCACCTTTCATTCAGTACACCCCGGCCAGAAACCTTCAACCTTTGCAGTGCAACTTTGACTTCTTGGAGACGCTGTTTCGCACTACCAAAAATGCCTGGCCTCTGATTCTAGTCGGTCCATCCGGCTCAGGAAAATCAGACCTCATCAAATATGCCGCAGGTCTTGTTGGAGCACAGCTCATAGACTTCCCCATGAACAACGAGATCGATAGCATGGACTTACTGGGTGGATACGAGCAGTCCGACATGTCTCGTGAGGTGTCGGATCTCTCAAGAGAGTTGTTCCGTGTTACCCGTGAGATCATTGCTGAGAATTTGTGTTCTGAAGAGTCTGAATTCAACTCCATGTTGGCTTTGTTACAAGAACTTGACGGTCTTTCACATGTCAATGGTGACACAACTTTTTGGGAACTGGACACGACCTACAACAAGATCAAGGAAATCGCTTCTTCCAACGAAAGCTTGAAAGCACTTGACAAATCATTCAAGACATTAAAGGCCAAGGCCAGCAATGGAAATTCGGCTTTGAGATTTCAATGGTTTGACGGTACTCTTTTGAATGCGGTGGAGAAGGGACAATGGCTTGTTCTTGATAATGCAAACTTATGCAATGCTTCTGTGCTGGATCGTCTCAACTCTTTGTTAGAGACTAACGGTTCGTTACTCATAAACGAGTGTGACTCCGACAATGGAAGCGTCAGAATTGTCAAGCCGCATCCAAATTTCAGATTGTTCCTGACTATGGATCCTAAGTATGGTGAATTGTCTCGAGCCATGCGTAACCGTGGTGTGGAAATGTACATGGACACTCTTGATGTCAGGGCGACTGAACATGACAGAAAGATTCTGGGACTGAGCGAAGTTTCTCAGAAGGAGTCTGACATTATCATTGATATGGCCAGACTTCATCCATTCTCTTCAGAAGTGTGTTTGCCTGCTGGTTACCTAAACGGGTTTGACTCTAGAGATGTTTCATACTCTTCTCTTCTGGACCTGTCAACTACTCCATCCTGTCAGCCTGAGATTATTGCTTCAATCGTGTCATTTGGACAGATATCACAACTTGGTGGCTTTGCTGAACTCAATTCGAGCTCTGCAGAGTTTTCGTCAGTCAACATCGCCTTCATGCAGGCCATTTTGGACCCTATTGAGACTTTGCAACAGAACGATCTGGCCCAGCCTTTCTTTCAGCTTTACTCTGATGCGTTGAACAAGTCTGAGACGTTGAAGAAAGATGCAGAAACGATTCTGTACCAAAGCCTCAACCCATTGGTAAACTCCTATCTTGTTCCGCTCATATCTGAACTAGCTCCAGCAATCACCTCATCGGAGCCATTGTACTTCTACACACTTATTTCGAGACTCAGCAAGAACAGACGTGATCTCGAGAGACATGACAGTCGCTCCAAGGTTGTGAAGTTGTCAGAGTTGACATTCATCGAGAGTTCCGCTGCTGTTGCAAACGGCCGTGCCCTAAAGAACATTCCTAAACTGAATGTGTTCCGCTTGACCATGTCTCTTCTCGAGTTTTTAGCCGAACAGGTCAATCTTTCAACCCGAGAAGGCTCTTTTTTCCAGTCAAAGGGTTTGTACGAGCTTCTTTTCAGAGCACAGATCATCTTGAGTGTGATCATTGACTCTTCTCATGTCAAGGACGAATCCAAGTTGCGTGTTCTGCAAGTTGAGGTTTCCAAATGGTTGAAAGAACTTGAAATGGCATTGCCAGGGAGTTCAGATGTCATAGATAGGTTTTCCAAGGAGCTTTCCAAGTTTTCTGAACCTTTGAAGCTCACCAGAGGTTTCTCTGTTCAAAGAATTTGGGAATCGTTCCGTGGTGCTTATCCAAGCTCAGACCTTGGCTGGTACTATCAGGAAAAGATAGCTGTTCTTTCGGCGGAGTTTGATCTCATCTCTCAGAAGCAATTCAAAGAGACTTTTGAGATGGTCGGCGATTTGAAGGTGATGTTATTGGAGATCTCAAAAGCAAGCATTCATCGCCAGAGCGATGATATCGATGAGTTACTAGAGAAAATCGCCAAAGGAATCGATGCCCTCAACAAGGTCTCTGAAGGGTTTCTGACTGCAAAGGTTCATCCATACAAGGAGGAGTTCTCTATGATTATGAACTTCATAGAAACATATTGTTGCAAGAACAGATCCTCTATTTCAACTTCGCCCAAGTTGCTTGAGTTGGCTCACCAGGCCGGAAGGCCAACATTGTCGCTTACAAGCTTCACTAACTCCGTGCCATTCAAACCTTATCCAAGATTCTTCGAGAATCTCTGGAATTTCAAGCAGGATGATGCTGGCGTTTGTGGTTTGTTTGGTAACGAATTTATGTCCCGTTTGGTTCTCTCATCGAAGGATTTGGCTTTGGTTGAAGGAAGAAACCTGGATCAAGTCTTGAGTGACCTGAAAGATTTGAGTTCCGCAGTTATCTTCAATTCTGGAAGCATTTTAGTTGACCAAGTTGAGCAATTCAAGAGTATTTTGATCCAATGGATGTCTTCTGTGCTGCTGATTCACTCTGAAGTGTTTGCATATGCGGAAGGTATGGTATTCCATCAGCTTGTCTCTCGCCTTGAAGACCCCACTACCATTTTCCATGCCACCAAAGAGCTGGGTGCTTTATTCCAACTGTGTCCAGATAAGAACCTGTACAACACATTTTTTGATTTCATCCAACCAGCGTTGTTGGAGATAGCTCAAGCAGACGATGTGAGGAAGCTCGGTCGTTCATGGGTATTGTTTTCTAGTGCTTTACTGCAGCTATTTGTGCCAAGCTCGTCTTATGATCCCGCTGTTTCGGACCACATGGCCAGACAGTTGTTTGAAACAGAACAGCTCTCCATTAAATCCATGTTCGAGTCTTGGATTACTGCAAAGAGGTCTTTTAGCGGAGACAAATCAACTCTTCTTGAGTCCTGTTTGCCCATAGAGAAAGAGGGATTCAATGACGAACTCGAAGTTTTCAGACCTCATGGATCAGCAGATGCTCTTTTCGAAGAGTGGAATGCGTTTATGGACTCTACTGCTGGTATGATACCAGTGGAAAAACTATTGAAGGGAGTTGACGAATTCTCCACAAATATCGCGAAAGAACTGGAGATCTTCCAGAAGAACTCCTCAAGGTTCATCTTGCGTCTGCAGACTAACTTTGGAAAGTATGCTGACATGAATGATATCATTGCTGGATACGTGTATGGTATGAAACTGGGATTCTCTTTGATGACCAGCTTCGCAAACTCCACCTCATATGTGAAGGACTTATGGACCATCAACCTCAAGAACTTCTTTGACAATGAGTACACCATGCACTATATTGATTCAACTATGGCTGTAGCCAAGGCATGTGCAGTTGAAGATGCTTCTGCTGAGAAATTCTTTCTTCATCTCATGAAACTCTACTCTTTCCACAAGGCTCAGGGAACCTTGAGTGATGATCTCGAGGTCGCTTACAAGCAATCCCTGACTGCCCTATACTATAGATGGACTTTGAGAAGACTCAAGGAGGAAGAGAAACAGTCAATTCACCAAGGCATCTATAAGTACGACGACCCTACAGTTGATGCTGAGAAGGATTTCATGAAGATGTTCCCTGATTACGAGGACGTTCTCGATATTGATACCGAGGATACTACCAAAGACTCGTCTTTGGAAACTCTTTTCTTCTCGATTGCCAATGTTTATGTGCAAACATTTACCGAGTCAGACGAATACTCTCTGCAAGAAATTGTATCTTCTGGCACTGATTTGTATGCAGAACTTCATGGCTCTGATCTTTTGAGGGATACCGTTTCGAGTTCGGCTACACTGATAGTTCCTGTTATGGATCAGATGTTTGCCTCTTTGAACAAATTTCAGACCGACTCAAGTTCTGAAGGACTCGATTTCTACCACGGATTCAGCATCGCAGAAACCAAACGTGCTGGTTCAATCGTTAGGAAGCTCGAAACTGCAGTTGATCGTTTGCTCAAGCAATGGCCCGAACATGCAACTTTGCAAAACTTGCTGAGAGTGACCAGGGAATTCTTGACATACCCAGTGAAGACTCCACTTCAAAGACTACTGCAAAAGATTGAGCAGATCTACACCTTCATTGCCGAATGGGAGAAGTACGCCCATAGCGGGGTGTCCCTCAAAGAACAGTTTGAAGAATTGGCCCAGCTAATCATCTCGTGGAGAAGATTGGAACTTTCTTGCTGGAAAACCATCTTTGCCAACGAAGACAAGGCTGTAGAGTTCAATCTCGGAGCATGGTGGTTCCATCTATTCGAGAACATCATTGCCCCAGCACTGGCTGAAGAGCGGTTGGACCAAGAGCAAAGTCTCAAGTTTTTGTCTGCAATCAATGTGTTTCTTAGTCAAACCACATATGGTGAGTTCAGACATCGTTTGAAGCTGGTGAAGGCCTTTGCGGCTCACTTGAACCTTTTGGGCAAATCGATACTGCACGATTCTCTAAGAAATGTGATCAGTTTCTATGAGCAGTTCTTGCCCTCTGTCAAAGAATATGAAGCTGCTGGAAAGAAAAAGCTGGAACGTGACATCAACGAGGTAATCTTACTCGCAAGTTGGAAAGACGTCAATGTCGACGCTTTGAAACAGAGTGCTCGTCGCTCCCACCAGAGTCTCTTTAAGATTGTCAGAAAGTACCGTACTTTGTTGAACGAGCAGCTTAAGCCTTTGATTGAGTCTGGTATTGCGTTTGAGGCCAAGGTACCTTCATTTGCCTTCCAAGTCAATCTCACAAACTATGTTGAGGTGAACGTCAACTACTCCCTCTGCGAGAAGGTGGAGAGCTGGAAGGAGAGACCTGCCAGACTGCAAAGGTCTGGCGTTGTTGAGAAGAACATGACCCACTATGTTGACCGCATAGCCCAGGAGTTCCTGCCAACAATTTTGGAAATGGCCTGGGATCTTCTGAGTGAGACAGAAAGACTCAGAAAGGAAACGCCCACAGTTGCTACCGAGGACAATAAGAAGGAATGTTCTGCTCTGAAGATCCAGAAAAGCCGTCTTTTCAGTGACACCATCAAGGAACTAAGAAGAATAGGTCTCAAGCTTCATACAACCACAGACATTCAATCTGCTCTGTCCAGTGTGAACAATGTGTTTGTATCCGCAAAGGCCCTGGATGACAAGCATATTGAAGGCTGTGATGTGTATTTCTTCCGGATGCTTGATTTGCTGCCACGTCTCAAGGCTGTTGCGAACAATCCTGCTCAAGATGCTCCTGTTTCGGACGTTCAAAAGGGACTGGTTGCTTCTGAGAACTTGTTGGTTTCGTTGATTGCTACCCGTTCAACCTTGCAGACATTGGCCAACAACCATCTTGGATTGATTAACCTGGTGAATGAATACAACACTTTGTACAGCAAAGATGAACACGCATCATTGATTCCAGTGTCCGTTCACAATTCAATGGCTCAAAAGGCATCGTCGTTGCAAAACTACCAATCACTGCTTCAAAAGACTCTCGAGTATCTGATTGGCTTAGTTGGTAGCTGTGCCAGGTATGCGTCTATCAAGGTGGACTCTTCGGTTTTTACATCCATTAGTGCAAGAGTTGCCAGATGGCCTTCTAGTGCTTTCCCGGAAAATTCAGAGGTATTCACTGTTGACCAATTGGACGAGATCAGATCTGTCACTGGTGATATCGAAAATTTCAAGGACGAGCTCACTCAGTGGATAGTGCAAAACGCACCAGTTTCGTTTATTGGTGAGTCATTACTGGTGTTCCTCAAGTCGCTCAACTTTGATGTGTTTTCAAGCACCAGTCTGACCGCAGTATTCAACCTTTCAGATCTAGAGCTTTCTCTGAGACAGGTTTGTATTTCCATCATGCTTGCTTTCCAGAAAATCATTGCTTTGAATGAGGAAGAGGAGATTGACGAAGAGATGGACCAATGGCTTGTCAAGACGGGCAAGAGACTTACTCAATACAGTAAAGCTCTTCGTACTAAGACTATCATAGCCAAATTGACAAAGGCCTTGAAGACCATGGCAAGCATTGAGCACAACGAGTCGTCCTCTTTAGTTTCCAAGGCGCTGATGGCCTCAGCTTTGCCCTTCATCAGGCACTACCAGAACCTAGTGACTACCGTTTTGAAGAAGAACGCCGAGAATTACTCGGAAACGGCCTATGGTACCTATCTGATGTCTTCGGTACTGTTCAATGTAGCCAAGAATGGCTTCTGTTCCCCTGAAGAAAAACAAACAGAGAAGCAGGATGACAATCTTCATGACGGAACAGGGCTTGGTGATGGTGAGGGTGCGAACAACGTTTCCAATGACGTGGAAGATGACGAAGAGTTGGACGATTACGCCCAAGAGAAGAACAAGGAGAAAGATGACAATGAAGACGGAGACGAAAACGAAGATGCCGTCGACATGGAAGGTGATATGGCTGGTGATCTCGAAGACGCTCCTCCAGAAGATGAAGAAGGAGAAGAGAATGAAGACGGAGAAGATGATCTTGACGAGGAAATCGACAATATAGACGATACCGATCCGAATGCCATTGACGAGAAGATGTGGGACGAGGAGTCCAAGGAGTCTAAGGAGAAAGAATCCGAGCAGATGCCAGAAGACTCTAATAGCAACGAAGACGTCCAAGGCAATGAGGACGAGTCTAAGCAAGAGCAGGAAAACAATGATGATGCAGATGCTCAAAAGGATGACGATGAGGTTGAAAATGATGAAGATGGTGAGGATGAGGAAGATGTTGGAGAACAGCAAGACGAAGTCAGAAACGAAGAAGATGAAAAGCTAGAAGAAAACGTTGACCAATCTGAGGCGTTGGAGTTGCCTGACGACATGAATCTAGATTCCGATAACGATGAAGACGAAAAGGAAGGAGATGCGAAAGACGATTTCGATGATGGCATGGATGTGGATGAAGAAAACACCGATCTAAAGGAAGAACCTGCAGAAGAGGAGAATGTCAAAGATGAAAACGGAGAAGAGGAAGATCAAGACAATGCAGAAGAAGCAGAAGGAGAGGACATCATCAGTGAAGGCGAGAATGCAGAAGATGACGAAGCTCTTGACAGAGACGAAGAAATGGATGCTGGCGAATCTAATGTTGTTGAAGAAGAGCAAGAGTCGGAAGGAGAACTTGATGATGCCAAAGGAGAAGAAGCCGACGAGAAAGACGAGCAAGATAAAGATACCCTAGAGGGTGCAGATGGTGTCGAAGATGAAGGAGCGGACGAGGCCATTGATGCTGATGCTGCTGCTCAACAGAAAAGCGGCAAGGAATCAGAAGGAGCTCAAGCAGACGTTCAAGAAGAGAGTGAAGATGTTGGTGCTACTGGTGCTGCAACTCAGCAGTCCGAAGAAGAGATCAAGAACGAGAATGATGGCGACAATTCAAGAGACCAGGCTAAAGAGTCTCTGAAACAACTTGGTGATGCCATGAAAGAGTTTCATCGCCGTCACCAAGAGATCAAAGAGGCTGGCGAGATTGACGATATGGTTGATCAGAAGTCTGGAGAAAGGCCAGATGAGTTCCAACACTTGGAAGGAGAAACTGCTGAAAACCAGACCCAAGCTTTGGGAGCTGCCGATGAAGACCAGATCCAACACATTGATGACGAAATGGCCATCGATGAGGAAGAAGAAGAGAAAACAATCAAGAATGAACCTACCGTCAAAGAAGAAGCTGAGACTGAAGACGTCGAAATGGAAACAGCTGACCAGGATAATGGAGACGGAAACACCGAATCTGAGGCCAGGGCTGCTACCGTTGGAGACAGAGAGAGGTTTGCAGAGGTCTTTGAGACAGATGGTGCGTTGAAGGAAGAAGAGGATAGCGAGAGCGAATACGAGCTTATCGGAAATGACAACTATGCCATTACTGAAAATCCAACCATCTCGCTGGAAGAAGCTCGTGATCTCTGGAGACAGAGTGAAATTGCTTCTCAAGATCTTGCTGCTGGACTTTCCGAACAGCTTCGTTTGATTTTGGAGCCTACCTTAGCAACCAAGCTGAGAGGAGACTATAAGACGGGTAAGAGACTTAACATGAAAAGGATCATCCCTTATATTGCCTCGCAATTCCGCAAGGACAAGATTTGGCTCAGAAGAACCAAGCCAAGCAAGAGACAATACCAGATCATGATTGCCGTTGACGATTCCAAGTCCATGGCTGAGTCTCAGGTGGTGAAACTGGCCTTTGATAGTATCACACTTGTCTCTAAGGCATTGACTCAGCTTGAAGCTGGTGCTCTTTCTATCGTTAAATTTGGCGAAACAGCCCAGGTCTTGCATCCCTTTGAGAGACCTTTCTCACAAGACTCTGGTCCAAAGGTGTTCCAATGGTTCGACTTCCAACAGACCCGCACTGATATCCGCAACCTTGTGGCTAAGTCGCTTGACATATTTGCACATGCGCGTGCCAGTGGAGACTCCGAACTCTGGCAACTCCAAATTATCATCTCTGATGGTGTTTGCGAAGACCATGCCACTATCCAACGTCTAGTACGTCAAGCCCGTGAAGAGAAGATCATGCTTGTGTTTGTCGTTATGGACGGAATTAACTCTAACGAGTCCATCATGGATATGAGCCAGGTTTCTTACGATCCCGACTCTAACGGTAACATGACGTTGAAGGTGAACAAGTACCTTGATACATTCCCATTCGAGTTCTATGTGGTTGTTCACAACATCAAGGAACTTCCAGAAATGCTCTCGCTCATCCTGAGACAGTATTTCACCGAATTAGCATCCACATGAATACTCTGATCATAACAGAGAGGCAGCATACTTGTACTATAGGTTTTTTTATATCACAATATCAGTTTAGAATCATATTTTGGTGTAGAGTTCGAAGCCTGGTTGAAAATGACCTAAAAGGTTCTTCTCCAGCTTCCACAAGTTCCCCAAACCGGTCGATCTGATCACTAACTGTGTTACTTCGGGGCTCAGTTGTTCTTTGAATCTTTCTACGAAGATAATGCTATCGTTAATAATGTGGGGAAACATTGTTCTTCACCGCTTTAAGCTTGAATGGCTTATCTATTAGCTTCGTGCACGTCCTTTTTTGACAACTTGCGCATCTGAGCATCACCATGATAGCGAAATTTGACGTTTTGACTGGCACACTACTCGACCAGCCCCCATTTAGCCGATCTAGATAAGAGTCATCCGAATACACCCTTCAATTTGCTCTCATTTTCCTTTTATAGATACATTTCCAAATGTCGTTTAGTGGTTGCTCAGCCGTCGGCTCTGCATCTGTGGATAGTTCTTGGGTATCAACTGGTTTGGATACAAAATACAGATATCTTACTCTGCTTTCGCAGTCCTTGAGCCCATGCATCAAGGTCGAGGTGTCCGGGGCTTTGAAACGTAGCTTTCCGAAAGTTTTCAGGTTGGAGGCAGAATCTCTGGAGTGGGAGTTGCTGGTTATCATCATGAGTTTGACGGATTACCAACTGACGCAATTTGAGAAAGAGGAAGGTTGCTTCGGCTATGATGGCTCTTATGATTTCGGTAACCTCTGGGATCGAAAAAAAAAAAGCGTGCGATACAGCGTGGATGAAATCCAGTCTAGGCATTTGAACCAAAATCCCATAGCAGTTTTGAAGCTATCGAACAAAAACATGGACCCCGTAGTATATCCTGTTGATTCGACAGGACCATATTGTGTCTATACTTGCTTAAGTTCTGCAGAGAAGGATCTGGAGCTGAATCTCGAGACTAATTTCCAACAGTGGTATGGGAAACTGAATAAATGGGATCACTGGGATATGTATAAGAATGCCTTCATTTCCCTAATTTACCTTTTCAGTTCCTTGTTATATTTCTATTGCTTTTCCTCCTCGCTGCAAAGTATCTATAA